TCATATTATTTATTTTAAAATTAAAATTAATTTCAATTGGTTTCCAGTGTTCTTAATTTTCTAATTTACTGACTAATCTTACTCAGTAGATTTTTATTAATTTGTATAATTACATACATACATACATTAAAAATAACTTTTAAATTCTATCTGTCATTCTAAGTAAGTAGTAATTAAATTTATGTATGTACATACATATATATATTTATAAATCAAAGCTCTTTTAATAAAACACTTGATTATTGTTACTAAGTTCAAATTTTATTATTTTCCTATATTTGATATTAGTTAACTAAGTATAAAAAACAATATTAAACAAAGAAAACCAATTAAAAAAAACAAAACAAAAATCAAAATATTTTTTTATCAAAATATTGTACTACATTAAATTTATATATGTATATATTATTTATGTATGTATATATGTACATATAATTATAAGATATATCCAATAAGTTATAATGTTGTCATGTAGATTATGCATAGTTATAATATTATATATTTTTATAAGCCCACTATAGACTACCAAAAACAAATAATCGAAATAGAGTAAGCATTATTGGTGTATATAAATTATTATATATATTATTATATAAACATAGTACAGGTATATATACAAATTTATAATTATACTGTATAAATTCTTGACATCTTTAAAAAATTATAATTAAATTTTAAAGATTATATCGGATTAGGAAATTGTCAATTAATTAATAAGATTTCAAATAAAAGATTTTTGTTTTTTTTTTTTAAATTAATAACTACATGTATGTAAGTATGTACGTATGTATATTTATGAGTTATTTGTATGGAAATTTATTTCTTGTACTCAATTTAATTTAAGATAACAATATACATAGTAATATATGTATTTATTAATCACTTCATTGTTTATAATATTTGTATTAAAATTTATAAGTATAATTATCCCGTTATTATAATATCAGTAAATATATATGTATATGTATGTAATTAAATATAAATATGGGCATAATATAGTTAGAAAAATTATCTACGATTGTTATTACGAGTATATTTGACCTACTTTCATGAAACAAATGACAGTTAATAATTTTTTTTCTTGTTCTTCTTCTTTAATCACAAAATGATATTAAAAAAAAAATGTTATTTCATACATACACAAATAAAAATGAGTCAATCGCGTAAATAGTTAATAAAAATACTTGATGTTTGTGTATGTATGCATATAAAATATGTATATAATTAGTATGTATATTTAATCATAACATACAGTAACACTTAGTATTTAGAGTGTTTTGCATAAGTTGGCAAATTATTTCACAATTTGGTCAAACAATTTTTTGCTAGAAATTAATCAAAGAATTAATTTCTGAAATTAATTGCCACTTTACGCGAGACACCCTGTATAATACATATCTACATGTTTATTCACTTATAATTATTTTATTTTTTTTATGTACATAAGTAAATTGATTTTACAATGGTAAATAAAATATAAAAATTTGCAAATACATGAAGGTATAAGAGCTTGCATGTGCTTAAATTTGTGTTTTCTTAGAGTAGATCTTTTAAGCTAGGTTTTATACATAAGTGTATGTACATATGTATAATATAATTGAAACAAAAAAACTCAAAAGTTGGGATTTATTTTGGAAATCAATTGAAAATCTAGTAATTTATTGAAATTAGAACTCTCATATTTTGTAATTTGAATTTTTACATTTTCAAAAAGATTTTTTTTTCAAATATATCAATTTTTACTAAATTTTCATATCAAACTATTATTTAGTTACGATATCAGCATATTTTTATTATTTATATATATATATATATATATATATATATATATATATTATTGATTAAAGGGGTTCAATAAACTTATTAAGTTATTGCTTGTTTTAAAAATTCACATTTTTGTAGTGCGAAAAAATCTAATATACAAATACCTACTTCAATACTGAAGATATTTTAGTTTTATGAACCAGAATGAGAAATTTTGAGATTTTAAAAGTTTAGCCTTTCAGATAGAAGTCCATATAAAATTAACAATAATTTTCAATATTTTGTGTAATGTAAAAGGATATGTATACGTGCATTATATCATTACATATCGCATAATATGTATATAAACATGGATATAAACCGTTCTAAGCGCTGGATTAAACAATAATTATTTCACTTAGACCTATGTAGCATCATAACCCGTGAGTTTATTTAATTGTTCTGCTATTATTAAAAAAAAAAATTGCGAAAAATCTTTCTTAATGCATTCCTAAATGATTTTATATTCTGAAAAGTTATAGTATTAATTTCAAATCTATTAAGATTAACAAAATTGTTAGTAAGTACACTTTTTCTACCGTAAGTTGATAAGAATTATTATCATTCGTCAATAATGAAAATTGTATTATTAAAAATAATAAAAAATAGAAATAGACTTTCAAGCCAATATTTTTTGCATAAATTAATAAAAAAAAATTTAAACCTACAAGATTTATTTAATTATTTATTAATTACTCATTCAAACGGTATCATTATATATATATATATATATTTATTGGGTCAAGAATCTGTTAGTCATAAACATTCAAATGGGGTTTTTTTAAAGGAAAAATAATAGATAGTGTTTTTAAGAAAATCATAAAAAAATTACATATTATTAAGTATATAGATTAATTTTATGCATATGACGTGTTTTTTTTGGTATTGATAAAATATTTATTACACGAGTAAATATGGGATAAATATTAGAGTTTTGAAGTGTGACAAATAATAACCAATTAGTTTTTGTGAGCTATTTTACATTACGGTATCTTAATATATTTACATATAAGTAAATAAATCTCGTGTTATGAATCCAATTTTAAGCATTTTGCTAAAATGCAGCTGCCCTTACATAGTCCCATACCTCATATTATAGGTTACTTAAGTTGATAAATTTATCTAAGCAAAGTTCAAATATGCAAACACTTAATATTTATAACAATTATATAAGTAATTAATATAAAAAATTTATAAAATTAATTTTTATCTTATCGAATAATATTAATTATCCTATTTATTTACTTAAGTTTGCATATCTAAAAACATAAAAATTTTTTAAAGAATTATATAAGTATTGATTATTTAATATCACATAAGTTTATTTAACTGAAAATATTTAATATCTAAATACTTTTAGTATTGAAACTGGCATATACAGTCAAACACGTTTAATTATAACACGCAAAAAAAGTATTAGCGAGCCATCTAGCGTAAAACATAAAAAATAAAAGTTAATATTCATTATTATTATATATCGTAACTACATATGTAGACATTGTGATCCTTAGTGCAAAGTTGACATAAAGTTTTTTAAAAATTGTCCATTTCTTATTTTCATAAATAATTGCAAATCACGAATATACATAAATACTTCAGTCAAAATATAACTTCAGTCAAAATGGTGTGCATATACAATAAGTGTATTCGACTGTATACGATAATTTAATTCACATAAGTATATATATATGTACATATATGAATTTTTGTTCGGGTTAAAGTTGTTACAGTATTGCTGTGAATACGATATTAATTTTTTTATTGCAGCAGTAATTACATTATTATATTTATAAAAATGCAATTACGTTTTTGAATTAATATTTGTTTTTTTATTTATTTACAAAATTATATGCAAGTTATGTTTAAATATCTTTTATATTTTGTTTATTAAATTCGTAAACGAGCGTGTGTCTACATATATTTGTACAATATACATTAATTGCTTTAGTTATTTTAATTTTAATAATACTTTCTCTATTTATCTTTGCTAAAGTATTTTTTAATAAAGTATAGGAAATTAAGAATAACCTAAAAGACCCCCTTACCTGAAATTTTTGAAATTTTAAACTTTTCTCTTTATTTTACATAAGGTGTTAATGTCATCTGTCATCCAATTTTTTTGGTAAGAGTAATATATTTTGTCATCTCGCCTTTAATAAATAAATGTTTTGTAATTTTTGCAATTAATAAAAATTTAAGAAGACAGAACTATATAGTATCTACCTCTAACTAACAAAATTTTACAAATTTTTACAAAACAATTGCCGTATATTCTTATTGTGACTTCGACTGACTTTATTTTTCTTCCAAAAATTCTGATTATATTTTTGAGAAATATTATTCGAAAAATCTTTTTATTATAAGATCCAATCGATTATTATAATTAGGTTTTTATTCAGGGAAAGGTATTCTTTGAAGACGATGCAATAAATCTGAATTTATTTACAAAAAAATTTTTTGCATAACAAAAATTTCAGTGATTTTTCAGAAATATTGCTATGTTTCATAAATACGGAATTCTCTGTAATAAAAAAACAATCAGGTAAACCATACTGGGTGTCATACATAAGTGTCTTTAAAAAATATTATTAATCGCAAAATGAATCAGCTTTAAATTTCTAAATACATATACATATACACTATGAATATAATTATATTATTATTATTTTGTTAAAAACAACTAATCTCTACACACTCTTAAGATAACAACGCGATGATAAGCTACAATATTTAACTGTTTATATCTAACATTATTTTTTGCGGTTACTTTTATTTTTTCTTCTTTTTTTTTGCTGAGAGAGAAATTAAATGTAAATTTTTTATATATTTTAATCCAGTTAAAAAGAACTTGTCATAGAGGAAGGGTATTAAAGTTTTTAGTGCGAATTTTTTTTTTTATAGATAAGTTATAATTGTGATCGGATATTAGAAATTAAGAAATACAAAAAAAAAAAAAATTAAATAAATAATCATGAATTGTTTTTATGCTGAAGGCAGTGATAATTTTGATTTATCATTTCAACGTGCAATTACAAAATTAAAAAATTTAATATGGTCCAGATTTCGTTTAACATTGTTGTTAGTAATTGTTTTTTTTTTTTAATATTTGAAGTATTTAATTTTTTATTTAAAATTTTATATTAACTAATTAAAATAATTATTTTTAATTTTTCTTTTTTTTTATTAATTTTTTACAGAAAAGCTCGTCGCAAAGAACGAGATGGCGATCAAAGTTCAACAGATACTAAATTATATTTAGAAGAGAGTGTTTTAGAGCGTAAATTACCTGATGCTGATCTCAAAGCCTTAGTTGATCTTCCAGCTGGTTTAGACTATAATGAATGGCTAGCTTCTCATAGTAAGTATATATATATAAAAAAAAAAAACAAAAATTTCTTTTATTTATTATTAAAAATAAATTTCATTTGCTAAATAATTTAAATAAATATTAAATATTTAATCATATAATAAGAACAAATGTTTTCAAAGAACAAATTGTGTTTGATATGGATTCTATTTATTTAATTTTTATTTAAATAAAATCTACTGTATATAAGTTTCATTTCGAAAATACTGTGTATGTGGTTTCGTTATGATATAGAGAGATACATAGAGATCTATTCAAATTTTATTCATACGGTTTTTAGTATAATTTATATTATAAAGTAATAAAAATGTAAATTACGTTTAGTTATGAAATAATAATTAAAATATATTGAGAAGAAATCCTTACTTACATACATATGTATGTACACAATTATTATCGTTTTCAAAAAATTTGAGAAAAAATAAGAGAATGAATATTAATGATTTTATTACAAATTTTTGTCTAATTTTAATAATTCTAAATTCAAAATATAATCATTATGAAATTACTTTCTGACGTTAGACTTATATTTAAAATTTCTAATATCGTGAATAAAATCTCGCTGAAATTAGTAAACAAAACCAGAAAATAACTAGTTATTGCTTTTTTTCATATAATATAAATTTACAGGGTATAAAAATTTAAAGCTTTAGATATTAAATTAATTTATTATAGTTTGTGTACGTATTTATGTACATGTGTATATATTTATCTTATATAAAAAAAAACAAAAGTAAAAATAATAACGGTTTTAATTAAAATAACTTTTTTTTTAACTTTTTTCATTTTATCATTGTGGTCTAACCTTAAAAATTTAATTACATTGATTATATTGATAAATTTAAGAAATTTATTGGCATTTTAATGCGTATAGCCTATATTATTTGTATTTTTAACACGCAATATATCAAAATTTCTATAAATTTAATTAAAAATTTTTGTTATATTGTAGGTTTTTATAAAGTATATATAGAATTTTTCGAATAGCTACATATTTATTATTAATAGTGTTTGAGTCAATAATTATGAATTGATTGTTGAACGAATTTCGGAAATAATCCAAAATAATGTCTAACTTAAATATTTTCTAAAATTGCCTAATTGGTTTTCAAATGATAAATTTAAATTCACTTATTAAATTTATACATAAATCTATTAGTTTTGCTAATATAAATATTTACAAAATTTCAAAGGAGCTTTGATAAATGTAGTATTTTCAGATGGATTTTAGGAAAAGGAAAATAATTTTCAATATTAAAATTTTGTAACTTAGATTATTTTAATATCTTATATACTTATATCCTTAAGATATAAGCCTTATTATGAATTTCGTTCGTAGCTCTGAAATTCGGAAAATTATCAATTCCATATTATCAATTCCGAATTCCTAAAATTCTTCTCCGAATATTTCTAAAAACGAAATTTAAACAGGTTTTTTAAATTTTCAACTTTTAAATTTTTGTTAAAAAAATAAACATTTGAAAGTTAAACTAAAATACTGACTCCGAAAAATAATGCTCCCATTGCTGATTCATAATATCTACGAAATGATTTTGTAATCATTCGAAAATCTACGGCTAAGTTCGTAATTTGTATAGGATTCTGCGAGTAGATTTTATGATATGGCTGATAATAATCTCTAATATAAATTATGAAATTTATAAGTGAAAATTTTACATATGTGTCATAATTTAACTTTCTAACATAATATGCCCTTATTAGTCATTTGATTAAAAGTTAGTGCCCCGTACCTACCTTAAAGCTTTGACTTTTTTTAATATGTATATGTATCTACATTTTTACATATTGGGTTTGGCTTCAATTACATTGATTATAAAAGATAAATATTAAATTCAATATAATTGTTAAATTCGTCGCATTATCAAAAAAAAAGAATTAATTTATTGAAACCGGAAGTATACAGATCATATGTAAGTAAATATTTACAGTAAAGTATTTCATAAGAAAAAGGGTGCAGTATTATTATTTTACTGGAAATTATTTAGTTGACTCATTAGAAATAACCCTTAGTACATATGTACGTACATATGTGTGTTATTGCAAAATAATTATAAAGAAGTTTTACTGTTTAAAATTTCTCTAATAAAAGCTTATCGTCTATTTTTCTTGGTATGTACATACTCACCGACCACCCTATCGGTCATAAAAATATTAATTTCCAATTTAAATTATATTTTCTTGCGAAATTCATAATGTAAACAGTAAAAATATCAATATTAAGAATTTGTTTCGTATACATACGTACGAACACATACTCACTTTTCGAATAAAAAGTGGTCTGTAATCAAAAGATATCAACTACCTATTTAAATATTGTACTCAATTATTGAACATTATAATGTGCAAATTTTAGATTTCAAATTAAATAACATACTTACATATTATTTACATCTAATTATAGCCTTATCAATCCTAGATATGAACATTTTTTTTTCAAGTGGTCAATTTTAATTTTTTTGTTTTTGTTTTTGGTTTCTAATGGCGTTCAACTGTTAGTGATAATTATATTTATAATTTTGAAGGCATAAAAATTAATAAAACGTGTACTAAATTAAAATAGAAACAAAAATGTTCTTGTAAACAATTCAAGTATTCAAGCACTTAAAATCAATTAGAGAGTAGGTATTTTTATAGTATTAAAATTTCAAGATATAAGTCGATTGATTGTATGATTAAAAAAGTTAACTAAATGAGTAGTGAAAAGTTTTATACAAAAAATGTAAGATTTCGTATCTCTTTTCTTTTTAATTTGAGAAAAACTGTATATTAGCATTGTGTGCATTATATTTTGGATTATGTACAATGCGCATAGTAGATAGACTCTACGTACATGCACACTAATATATTGAAAATGAAATTTGATCAAAATTTTTATTTAAATTTTCAATACATACTCTCATTGAATATTTTATGGCTTTATTTAAGGGATCATTCCTGAAGAGTAACATTTTATTCTTAATTTCACATATTCTTAATTCATGACGGTTGAGACGATTTGACAAGGATATTAAGAGTTTCTAAGAAAGATTTATGTAGTGACTATGCGTGAAAATATTTTTTCATATATTTCGCCGATTATTATAAAAATTTAAATAAAAATCTAAAATTGAAATAAAGTTAAATTAATTTTTTTTTAATTCATAAATGATTTATTAAAATTAATAAAAAAAAATTTAAATATGAAAATTTGTCCAATATATTTAAGTTGTGCCAAAAGAGTTATAAAAATTCTAAAAGAAAAAAATAAACAAAAAATCGATTATTATGTCATCAGTCAAAGCCACCGTTAGCTATAGTAAAAATAAAGTATGTTAAAGAATATTTAGAACTAGGTGGTGCGCCACTTAAAATATAATTTTCGTAAAAGTTAGCCCCATTCTATCTCTTTAAACAACAAAATATCATAACAAAAAGTAATATGTACAACAACAAAATATACTTTTCCAATATAAATAGCCAAAAAAAAAAAAAAACTGCACTATGACAAATGTTACTATCATTATAAATGGTATTGTCATTTCCAAAGATAAAAACAGAATTTATGAATTCACCGAACATGCATTTATTCAGAAAGAATCAGAAAGTTCAACAGAGTGTAAATAAAAATGAAAAAGAAAATCATTTTCACATATTATAAAAATAAACATTTTTTTTAATAATTAAAATTTAGGCCTTCTTTTTTTTATTCTTTGATAATAAACACAAAATTCATCCTCCTACTGTTTCTGTACTTATTAATTTAAAATGAATTTTATTTTAAATGACTGGCTATATGCCAAAAGAAATTTTGAATTTTAGTAAAAATTTAATAAAAACTAAAATAATAGATTATACGTATTTTGTACAACCCTGTATATTAAATTTTTAATTTATTAATTTTTCTTTTTTCCTCTGACCAACTAAATTTTTTTTTGATAATTCTTTTAATATCACACTTAAAATAATCATTTAGATTATTCACATATTTGCATATATACATATGTAATTTTCAACTTGAAACATTTACATACTTATACGAGTATTATATTAAAAGAGATTTAATTTAAATAAGATTTATTCGTGTCATTTTTATTATAAATTAACAATTTGCTAAAAGAAAATTTACTTTAATAATTCTTACAAATTAATAAAATTCGATCTATTTAAATTCTTAAATTTTCCTACAAAGAAATTTTATTTAATTTTATTAGACAAAATACAAAATATAAAAATAAACTTTACCATTTGGTACGAGTAATTTAACTTATAATAAGAACAACTTTCCATAAATTAGCTATTTTTTTCTTTGAGACAGTTGCATACACAAGATTGCCCATAAATATGCAACCCCAAGATTAATTCGGAACACCTAAAACCTCAAATTATCCTATTTGCATAAAATAATACATGATAAACTCTAAAGTTTACATTGTTATAATTGTTAAATTTTCTAATTTTATTTAAAAATTTAACAATTAATTAACAAATTATTTCATAAATATTAAACACGTGTTGATTTCTTCTAAATTTTTCTAAACCAAAAGTTTGTACTTTTTCCAATAATAGTAAAAAAATTGCATTTTTACGGTTTTTATTTGGTTGTAGCGAACTTTTGGTAAAAACTATCTTCTACCGAAATTAGTTCTAGTAAAAATCAATTAACATAATATGAAATTTTAAAGCGTGTAAAAGTTTTGTAAATGAGTCCACGAACGGACGGAAGGACGAACGAACAGAGTGAACTAATAAGCACTCCTTTTTTAAATTCTTTTTTGGAAAATTGCTAAAAACCAAATAACTTTTAAATTTTGTTAAAACTATTAAAATATTTTTAACATTGAAAAAAAAACTCTCTAATAAACATTATTTTTTTTGTTTCAGCACTGGCACTATTTGAACATGTCAATTTAGTTTATGGAACAATTAGTGAATTTTGTACAACATCAGGCTGTCAAGACATGACTGGACCTGGGAATAGGTAAATTTCCAGAAATATATAATTTTTTAGAAATGTATTGTTTTTTAACCAAAATCTTAATTTGATTTTAGAACGTACTTATGGTTTGATGAAAAAGGGAAGAAAACACGTGTTGCTGCCCCACAATATATTGATTATGTGATGACATTTACCCAAAAAACCGTTAGCGATGAATCAATATTTCCTACAAAATATGCAAATGAATTTCCAAGTTCATTTGAAAGTATCGCACGGAAAATATTACGCTTGCAATTTCATGTGATAGCTCATCTATATGCGGCGCATTTTAAAGAGATCGCCCTATTAGGTTTACATACACATTTAAATTTAACTTTTGCCCATTTGACAGCATTACATCGACGTTTCAATTTGATAGATGAAAAAGAAACTGATGTTCTACGCGATTTGGAAGTAGCATTACGTTTAACTGATGAGTTTAGTAATAACAGTGGAGGTAGTGGTACAAGTAGCGGTGGTGGTGCTGGAAATAATTCAACAACATCATCATCAACAAATGGTAGTAACAACAGTACTATAAATTCTAGTAATAATCATCATCAAGGAAGTGGTGGTGCAGGAATAGGTGGTGATCATCATAATCATCATCAACAACATCGTTTACTGCTGGGCGGAACAAATGATGATAATAATTTATTAAATAGTGGTATAGCTGGTAGAATTGATGTTGTTAGTAGTAATATAAATACAAATAATATACTTGGAAATAGTGGACATAGCGGTCTCGTTGGTGGAGGTTTAATTGGTGTTGATATAACAACATCATCATCAGCAAATGCATCACCAAGACATCCAATATGTACACAACCAGAAGCTATGAAAGGTTTAAATAGTGATCAATCGGACATAAGAGGTGGTGCTGGTGGTGGTAATTGTACTGATGGTAGTACTTATTTCAAGGGCGGTCATAGTCATCAACAAGTTATAAATTTTAATAATAATCATCATAATAATAGCACAGGAGCGTCGGCATATACAGCAAATAGTATGTTACAACAACAATGCAATAATAGTAGAAGTAGTCAAAATAATAGTAATAATTCACCACATACCACTACAACCGCATAGTTACAAATTATTATTATTATAATAAATACATATTTATTTACACACACCTATATAAAACTATAAAAATAACAAATTGAAATAAAATTAAAACAAAAATTTAAAAGAAATGAAATTAGTTAATTAATTAAATAAAAAAAAATGAAAATTATCAAGAGAAGAATAAAAAAAAATGAATTCAAATTACAGGATTTTTAGTTTTTCTATACTTAAATTATATTATTACATATTATATGTTCTTGAAGAAAAAAGATTTTAATGAAATAAAAGAAAGAAAACATTTAGACAAAAAATTTTAAATTTAAAAGAAAAACTATAAACACATATTCAAAAAAAATATGTACATAAAAAACTACAGAAATATACATAATATATATATACATGCATATACATATATCTATATATATATTTATATTTAAAAAGAAACTATTATGTAAAAATAAAAGTATGTAAAAAAATACATTATTTAAAAATAAAAAGTGAAATAATAAATTATGTTATATAAATTAGCAGTTTGTTGTTATAATTACTATAATATTTTCATTTTATTATTTATATGTTAATAATTTTCAACAAAAAAAAAAAACAAAACTCTAACAAAATAAAAGCAACCATAGTAGATGTAAAAAATATTATAATATGCAACTATAATTGAGTCATTCGGCAAGCTTTTTTTAAATGTAATTTTAAAACCAAAAATTTACTCCACCTATATTGTATTTTATGCAATTATAATTATATGCGAAATATATTTTCATTTAGTATCTTACTAGAAGAATCTTAGATAAATTTATAAATTTTAATCAAAAAAAAAAAAAAAGTATATAGAAACCATAAATTTATCATTAAAGTTTCAAATTATGAATTAATCGCAATCTTAAGCTAAATGATAAAAAAGAGCGCACTGCAAACATTTTTATAAAATATCTTCGAAATCTTATTCTTAGTATTACTTAAATAAATGAACATTTCTATATTGTTGGTGTTGAACTGCTAGTACTGTGTAAAATGCATTATAAAAAAAATTTTGCAAAGTATAAAAGTCAGCAAAACAACGCAATACTTTATAGTTTCCCAGAAACGAAAAAAACATTATTATAATAATTACTATGAATATTATTAAAAAAACAAAATTGTTTTATAAAAATGATAACGTAGTGAAATACAAAAACAATTATAGTTGAAAAGAATGTTTTACATGTAAGCGTATGGTACACTATTCTGTTTAATTTTTTTTTTTTGGTCTTAAATAATATCTTTTTGTAATTTTGGAGTTATTATGATTTTACTTGCTTTCTATTATGAATGCTGCATATCCATCTTTTTTATCAATTCAAAATTGTATAGAATGATACTAAAAGAATATTAAATATATTCAAAACTATAATTAATAAATAAGAGTAACTAAATAAGCAACAAAAAGCGAACATGAAAGAATAATATGATTTCTGTTCGTTAACAAATGGAAAGTATAACATTCTTATAGCAATTAATAAAAAAGTATTCAACTATTTCTTATACATTTGATCTTCTATATTAATCTTTATTAAATGTGCAAATTCTTACTCTATCACATTTTTCAAATTAATTGCAATTATAATGAAGTTCTTAACAAATAAAAAAAAAAGAAGTCCATATTGTCCACTAATGTGGACATTTCAAAACAATTAATAATTCATTTTTTTAAATTTATACCTATAAATCTATTTATGTTCATAATTTGGTACTTACATGATTTTCAGAATATATTTTTGAAATTCATTAAAATAGAATTTAATTTCACTTGGTGAAAAATAAAATATTTTATAACAGAATTTGATTTTTTATTCTAAACTTTAAATTACAATACATTGTACTTGCATAATGATTAAAATATTGCAATTTCATATAATTCGTACGACTATTATACGACAAAATGATGGAAAGTGAAAATATATTGAAAAAAAACGTCTGAGCCAAAATGAACTCTCATTTTCTATTTCTTCAAATTAAAAAAAGAACAGAGAGGGCAAAGTTTGTTTTCTTTTAAACACAAATCGATATTCCAGTTTCATCATGTCTATCATATTATGCTAAAAACGTGTATAATTCTATAATTTGATATTTTTGACAGAATTTTTACAATATTTGTATTTTAATGGAAAAACTAATGTCAATTAAAAATAAATATATTTATGCATATGTATATAAAGAACAAAAGCTTTATTTTGATGTTTGTGCGTTAATCATTATTTCTCAATATTATAAATATGTATTTGAAATGTCAAAAACGTATCAAATTTATGTTGTTTTTTATGAACGTTTAAAAAAAAAATTTTGTCTTTATATTTCCGGGTTAATCAAACTGCGGTGACAGAATAATTTACAATTCACATAATGTTCGTTCTCAGCTAAGTTTTCTGCGATTATTCAAAGTACAATTTCGCAATATGAACAATATTCTTTAAAGAATTTATTGGTTTTAATAACAAGATGAATTTATTGAAAATTCCACCGAATTGATCCTATTTTTTCTTTTTTTTTTTGTTTGATAAAAACAAAAATCTATTAAAAAATATTTTAAACAAAAAAGGTATGAATAAATGTTTGTAATGTAAATTATAAAATTATGTTAATAATGAGTAAAAATAAAAAATTAGAATAAAATCACAATGCAAACACACCAGAAAAAAATTATTTTTGTTTTTTCGAATTGTAAAAGATTATTAAAAACAACAAATCTAAAAACACTTTCAATATAAACACGCTAAAACAATTGCTAAGAATATTATTAACACACCATACACACACTTTTTAAAGCAAAATAATAATTACTAAAATATTGAATATTAAATAATAATATTATACTTATATGTATCTACAGAATATAAATATACATGTATATGAATAAAAAACAAACAAACAAAACCAAAAATTATGTTGAATTAATAATAACAATACTGTAAGGAAAAGAAATAAAATAAAATATCTTATATTTAAAAAGAAAAAGAATTTTTTTGAAATAAGGAGCTCTTAAAAAATTATTATATATTATGATTATTGTAAAAATGTATAAAAAAAAAACACAAAAAAAATACCCTTAAAATGCGAAAAAAAAATTATTAGAAAAAAAAGAAATGAAAAAATTATATTTATCTACAATTAGTAAAAAGAAATAAAAAAATTTAATAAAAATAATTAATGAAAAAAAAAAAAAATTGATATAAAGAAATTACGAAAAAAAAAAATATAAAATTAAAAAAAAAAAATTCGAATTTGTTGAGTTTTAGTAGTATCATCTAAAAATTATATAAAATATATAAAATAGAAATAAAAAAAGAAAAATGATTTAATTAAATTAACAAAGAAGAAAAAAACAAACTAATTTTTAATTTCATCACAATATTCTTGACTTTTTTTTTCCTTTTTCTTTTTCATTTAATATTTTTATGATTTTATATGTCTTTTTTTTAACATTTTTATCAAATTTATTTCATTATATCGTCGTAAAATTCATAAAATATTTTCAATTAAAAAGCTTTAAAATTTTCAAATTAAAAAAAAAAAATCAATCTTAATAATTTTATAAAATAAAATTTACATACACTTTTACAATTATTGTGATAATAATTTATTACTCTTTTCGTTCTAATCAAAACATAAGAACAGAAAATAGTTTTGAAAAAATAAAAATTCATTTTTCCATTATCGAATTATGAGACCTGTCATCATTGTTTGCTTTTATCACTCAATTTTTAGTGAACCTATCACTAATTTTTGGTGTCATCATAAAAAAATTAACTGTCATAAATAGTTTCCATTGTTGTATTGTAATTTTATATAAAATCAAAATCATTGTCATCATTGAAAAAAAAAATGAATGGAAAACAGTGTTATTTATCATTCACTAATTTTTTGTCTTTCACTAATTTTTCTTTTTATTAATTTTTTTGATGGCAATGATGACTGGCGCCTAAATTTTTGGTATCACCCATTAGTTAATAAATATCCTAAAATCCTGAATTCAAGATAGTAATTTTTTGAAATATAATAAAATAAAAATTTACATATCGATAAGTTCAAGACAAAAAAAAAAATCCGTACCATAAAATTCAAATAAAAACTTTTTTACATCAAAAACAATTCATTTCAAAATAATAATTAATTATATATATATGTATAATACATTTAATTGTCACTTAAGACATTTGATATTGAATATTTTTAAAATCGTATCATCCAATATACTTAAATACACATAATATATGTATAATAATATTTTATAATTATTAAAAGAAAAAACGAGTAATATAAAAATTAAAGAAAAAAAAATATCTATTTTTTTTTTATTTAGACTATAGACTGAGTTATAAAAGTCATCGATGTCTTTTAATTCACAGAACACTGTCACAAAATAACAATGTAAAGCAAAAATGTTATATAAGTTGAAAAATATTTTATATAACGTGCTTGTTAACTGAATTTTACCAAAGTAAAAAATTAAAAACAAAAAAAAATAATTTTTTTAAAACTTAAACTTGAACTTATCAATATTAATTAACTAAAAATAAAAATGTCTTAATATAGAAAATAGTAAAATTTTATTATTATCACTTAATAAATTTATATAAATAATAAATTATTAAAAAAAAATATATATTAAAATTAATTAATTTTTTTAAATATTTTAGAATTTTACAAAATTTACGACGTTTTTCTTTAATTCCTGTTTATTTTTTTTTTCTCAAATCTTTATTTTTGTTCTTCAATCTATAAATTAATTGTAATTTTGTGGCACAGAAGATATTGTTTTAAAAATTAATGTGTTGTGCCTCAAATACGAAATATTTAAAATATAATTTCATTATATATTTTAAAAAGTAAAATTTCTTTTTGATTTATTCAAAAACAAAAAAAAAACAAATTTTGAAAAGTTTTTAAAACTTTTATTTAATTTGAAGATTAAATATTTTAATAGTTTTGTCGTTAATTTGATTTTTATTTTAATAAAATTAATATTAATAAAAAATATGTATTAAAAGTAAAAATTTATGTAAATTATAATTTAAATTTTGTTTTTATAATTTATGTATTATTATTATATGTATGTATATACATAAATCCCGATTTTAAAAAAATTATCTGTTGCGTTTTATAATAAAAGCATTTTATAATGTGTATTATGTTCAAAAGAAGAAGAATTAAAAAACAAAATATAATAGCAAAGTTGTAAAGGTTTCAAATCCAAAGAAAACAATTTAAAAATTCTTTATTTATTTAAATTTTGATATTTAAATATATATTTAATATTATTATTTTTTTTTTTTTGCATAATCCTTTTCCTTTTAATAATTATAATGATAATCTAACAATAGTTACAAACGATCGTCATTTTATTATTTTTTTTTTTTGCGAAAATAAATATTTATAAATTACCAACAATAATAAGTAACGAATCCAAGTAAATACATACATACATACATTTAAAAGGACAATCAATTTTATTTTGAAATTAAAGAGCTTTTTTTCGGTTAATTTTATTTAATATTTTCCTAAGCTTCCTAAGAGAGTTATTAGACTATGCCCGCCCATAAGTCTGCAATACGAAATTTAAATGTCACGAGTTTCTCCATCAACTTATAAGTGGAATATATTTTCTAGTATGTTTCTTAATTATTTGAAAACTTGTTAGAGTTTTTCAATATTTCAATTTTTAAATTTAGAGCATTAAAGCTTGATTGTACAAATTATGTAAAGTTTTTGAAGCTTAGCAGTTCTAATTTTAAGAGCTAAAATATCGCAAAACTCTATAAATATTCTGAACCATAACCGAGATTTTATAAAACTCTTTTCTTTTTCTATTTGTTACTTGGGATAATTGCAATAAGTGAAATTGTATTTCAAAATAACCGAAGTAAAAGCAACAACTTTTTTTGTAATTAATTTTTTTTTTTAATATTTTAAAATTTGTTTTAGTTTTTTTTCATTTAACCACCTGACTATTTATAATTTTACAAATTCTTTATTTAAAATCGGTTTCCGTAAAATGAACAAAATAAAGCGTTAAAAATATTGGAGGAAAACTAATGATTTATGTAAAAATACGCTGTTTTACTAAATATATTTATATAGTTTCAATTTAAATTTAAAATTATATATTAAGTTTTCATTAATTAATATATATACATATAAATATAAATATATATATTATTTTTCTAAAATGATATAAAATTACATATATTTCAATAAATAATATTGTTCAATTCTTTACGATGATCCCTGTTTTGTGATGTAATTTAAAAAAAAAAAAAAGAACAAAATATTTTAGAAATGAATTTAATTGAAAAATATTTAATTTAAAGAGAAAGAAGGAAAATAATTAATATTAAAATAAAAAAAAAATGAGTTATATAAATTAATTTAAAATTGAATAAAATAAAAAAAATATATAAAAATAAGAATGCTTTTTTATTATTTAAAATATTTTCGTTATTCTATATAGGAAATTCCCTATTAATTATGAATTGAAGTTGCAATATTCAAAAAATTTAAAAAAATGAAGTTTTCATCCTTAATTGAAAATCATTCTTGCTTTGTAATAAAGGCGAAACATATTTAAGGAGTAATTTATCAAAAAAATAAAAAATATTCATCTTGAAAAGAGTAGTTAAAAAATAATAAAAATCCTGTGTTATTATAAAGTTAAACTATTTTATTTATTATTTATAAATTTTATTGATTACACCATATCTTTTTTACTTAAACACAAACAGATTTATTAACTGCATAATAATATTTTAACATATAGATACATATCTAAAATAATACATGTTTTAAAATTATATTTTGATGCACTTAAAATACGTTTTCTTTAATTAAATAATAAAAAATTAAAAATTATTAAAATTTACTCATAAAACTAGTATAAAATTATTGCTGTATATCATTTAAAACTACTTGTATTGTTTTTTCTTCAATCAGTAAAAAATTTCAATGAATGTTATTTAAAATTATTTGTCACTGCTATCTTCATTCTTGTTACTGATCTCGGTCTTTTCAAGAAAATCGGATATTATTTTTATTTTCTCTTGATTCGAACAATTACTATCATCGCTGTTATCAATTCTGTTTAAGTTTTTTGTAAGTTCAATATTATGTGATTCAATATTGTTGTCATCATTATAAATATTGTTATCTTGGAGCCATGCAAAATTATCATTTTGCTTTGTAGGAAGTTTGTTCTCTTCTTCATCCTCTTTACACTCTGTATTTAAATCGCGCTCAAATTCGTCCATTTGTTCATCATCAATTTCAGATAAATCAATATCTGGATCAGCTTCGCCAGTGACATCTAAAAGACGGGCACGCAATCTTTGATTAATTTCTTCTAATTCTACTAATTTTCTTTTAAATGCTCTACTTAAAGTCATATCCATTGCCAAACCCAAGTCTAAATCAGCACAGTCAAAATTGATGTTATTTATTGAATTTTTAGTATTCAAAAGAGATATGCTGCCGGTAGATTGCGTGTTTACTTTCTTCTCGGTAGGAAAATTTTTAAATTTAAGAACATCTTCCAAAGGTTTGATGGTTAATTTTATTTGACCATTGACCTTTCCACTGAAGTCTATAATGTTATACCATCCTGATATTAAAGGCATCCTAGCCATTAATACAGTCAAATCTATTGAAGAAACACCAATAATAGAATCTTCCATTGGAGTTGGTAAGAGCCGACAATGTGCTAAGTCTGTCGCAGCCTTTTTCCATACTCTTATCATGAAAGGTTTATTGTCCTATAACCATGTACATATTTATTATAAAATTTTTATTATACAAATTGAGCACAATTTACTTACTTTTCTTAAATATTCTGTTGATAAACAAATTTCGAAACGTTTTCCCCAAGATGGATTTGAACATTTTTCAATTACATTTGTGGCGTAAACTAAACCTTCATGAGATTTAAACATTTGACCGTATCCTTCTTCAGCTTGAAAAGTTACATATGCGCTAGGTTCTTCATTAGGAGGAAATCGGCTTTGCTTTCCCTTACATCGCTTGTTACTCTTTTTACTCATCATTTTGATAGGATTTCTTGGTAGGTGTAAAGCGCATTCAATTTCCAATAGTATTTTAAAAGTGTTAGGAATCGTCGTAGATGCAGCTATTGTCTCTAAAGCATCACCTTTCTGAGAACTAGTGCCATTTTGAGGTTGTATTAAAGCTTTTTGTAACATGTCAAGCAAATCGGAAGTTCTTCTCAATGAGCTTTGATTATCAACTGGTTGCTGTTGTATAGTTGAGGAGGTAATGCATGACGAAACGTTTGGGGACGAAGGTGGAGGTAATTTTTGTGATAAATTATCTAAGAAATTGCCCAAAATATTTGAAAGTTTCTCCTTATTATTTTTATTATCAACTGTAGAAGAGCAATTGGCATAATTTTCCTTTATATCGTTAACACCATTCGTTTGAATCGCAACATCATTAAATGCATGTTTTGAAGATTGTTTCAATTTTTGTTCTTGAATATTTCCCGAGTTTGGTACAGCGATGGCTGAAATGCAAGTTGAAAGCATACTGCTTTCATACACTGGATTTAAATTAAAGCCCCTCGATTGTTTTAAATTATTTAATTGTTCTTCCGTCCCAACACACAGTAGACATTGTATATGACCACATATAATTCCACTTAAGGGACTAAAAATGGGCGTTAAGCCATCGATAGAAATAACAGGAAGCTGGAAAGAATTTTTTAACAAAAGAAAAAATAATATTTGTACTAAGAATACCTTTGCTTTACACAAATGATCCGCAAGTAAAGGATCGCGGAAGGCAATATAAAACTGGTGGAGTGGAAGTCGTATAATGCCAAATAATTTTTCATGACTTTCTTTAGATTTTTGCCATAATTCTACAACAAGGACATTATTTCGAACTCTTTCTAGAAATTTGGTGTCATTAATTATGGAAAATACCTGAAATAATTTTTTTAGCAAATAACAAATAATTAATATTAAAAAAATACTTCTAGAAAGTTAAAGTTGTTGTCGTGAGAGAAGCCACTAGAACTTGGGTCATCTTTCCAAAAAGCTCGAGCGACACAAAAATAATCAGCATCTTCTATATTATTCACACATGTCATTCTTCCAACATACAACAGGCCTTTCAAAAAAATATATTTTTCCAATTGATGTTTTTCACTTGTTTGAACACTGGAACGGTCTTGGTTTTCGTCATCAAACTGCGGTCGATTTATAGTTGATAAATTTACGGAGGTTTGATAGGTTGCACTTGCGGTTTGTTTTGCTCTATCTAAACTATTATTTTGTTTTAAGCTATTTGCACTGTGATTCTCATTGTTCGGAGTTTTGGTGACTTTGTAATCTCTTACATCTGGAAATATGCAAGTGGGGCAACGATTTTCCTGGGATGCCATACTATACCGGCAACGTTTAAATTGGTCATTAATTCCTTCAAATAATTAAATTTTATAAGTTTTACTAAAAATCAAAAAGCTTCGACATTCGACATTACCATTAGACTCACTGCAAAAGCAATTGCTTTTCGATCTCAGCACAAGTCTACAGTGTAAATCAGCCACATGAACACCAGCTGTGCAAGACTTAACTTTTAAAGTCGCATCTTCTTCTCGATGAGATCTTGACAGCAAGTTAGTAAAACGAAATTTCGTTGTACCTAAGCAACGAGAATATCTCGAACCGTATTCCCTCCACCAAACGGTAAATAAAATTTCTGAATGGTCAACCAAAAATTCATTTATTTCTTCACATGCTAATTTAATAGGTCTTACTGCTTCTTTATTAAAATCAATTCCTATTGAATAAAAGACATTTTATTTACCAAAATAATTAATCATGAAAATTAAAACTATTATTACTCTGTTCCTTATCGTCAAACGTATTAGAGTAAAATCTCATAACGTCATAATTTAGTCTCCTTTTAAGGTCCGTGTCCAAAAGGTTGGGAGAAATTTTACATTCTATTGTGAAAGTAGTTTTAACAAGAGATTTAACATAAACTTCTCGAACCCCAGGAGGCAAAAGTTTAATATACTTCACATTCAAATATAAAGAGTCAAATTTATCACGAAAAGGCTGTGTATTGTGACAAAAAGCTACATCCTCATCATATGGGGTTGAGACTTTTCGATTTTGTGGTGATTTGGGTATATTTATGCATAAATTTTCTAAAAATTTTTCATTTAATGGTGAGGTTCTTTGAATTTCTTTCAAGGCTTGTTCCTCTTCTTTTTTACTCATTCTTCTGCCTGATAAATAGTTCACTATTCTAGAACTATGTATTTCATCCACTTTGTTTAAATTTCTCTTGCCTTTAGTGTCTTTATAACATCTTGAACTGCATATTAACTCAACTTCCTTGTCCAGTTTTGATTTTTCCGCTTTTAAAAACGTAGTATCAAAAGCGCTTTCCCTTACACTAATTGGATCATGAAACATAATTGTAAATTTTAAGAAAATTTCACCTAATTCTACTCCTTTTTCACTTTGAATAATGTACTTTTGTGTCTCTGTGCAAGCCAAAATTTCGTTTAACAAAAAGGTTTTACAACTTTTAGTAATTTTTGTAGGTACTTTAGCTTTAACGACTCCTATTTGATAATTACTTGTTCGTGTATATAATATTATTGTAACTGGTTCGCAGTTAATTAAATAATTGTAAAATAATTTACAATTCGTAAGAATTGTATATTGAATTACTTTAGACTTGAGATTTAAATTCCTTGCAGATAATTTGTCTTGCCCCCACCAAAAAATTTTGGCAACAATATCATAGTTTTCAAATCGTTTTGCTATAAATTTGGTTTTCCACCTTATATTTAGAATTTCAATTTCTATAAAACCTCTTGATTTTCCGCGAACATTTGGAGGTAATATTGAACTTTCCTTTAAGGAGTTTTTCTGCATTTTATACAAATCATTTTAAACTAATTTATTTAAACAAAAAAAATACTGAAAACAAAATTGCCTTTCAGCTCAGAATTGAGAAACAAATTATGTACATAATTAAGAATTAGTTAGAAATGTCATTGTCAAAATCCCAAATTGTCAATCAAAATTTTTGTAAGCGACTTCCGTAATTACATATAAAGATTTTTACTTCAACCCCATAAACAAAAAACTAACATTCTTGTGTGTATCTTTTGCAAAAATTTTTAAGGATATACATAGTTAAAATGTTCTAATGCTAAAAGTTTTGTATAGAGTATATTGTTTGCCCAAATTATATTTTCCGCACACTTTGTTGCAAATATAAGAATAAGTAAAAATATACACCAGAGCAAATATTAAAACCATGCACAAAGCTCTAAGAAAAGTATAATTTAATCTAAGAAGCAATATCGAAGCATATTTTTATATGAAACAACAATAATCTCAATCACAAATTTATACAAATGCTCGGATACTCTAATATTAGATTAATTTTTGCTGTAATGTAAAGACTCTCAATATTTATGTAAAGCAGATATCTGTAATGAATGTCTCGTCGAAACGTTTTGTTAGGAATGTTCGCATTTTTTTCAAAGCGGATTCAGATTGACCAAAAAATAAATCCGTGTTCGTTTCTCACCGTAACGCGTTCAGAGTTAAGAAATCGAGTGCTTTTTTATGATCTGAACAATTATCAAAGTATGCTCAGATTCCATTCTACATACTTTAAGCAATTCGTTTTTAAAATCATACTCTTTAGAATTACAGTTTTTTTTTATCTGACATTTTTTTAATTTGATAAAATACAACCTCTGAGAAATACAAATTCAGCCCATTTGATTTTAAGGGATACAGTGTTTTTTCTTAAGTCTTCGCCAAGGGACTGAAAAAAAAAAATTGTTTTAAAAAGATTGACAATTTTTATTTTTAGTATGTACTAATTAAAATTTGAAATATTACAAAACACAACCAGTTTATTACTAGAGACATCTTCACTTTGAAAGTTAAAAAAAATTGACATTTTGATTGTTCAGTTAGAGGTTTACAAACTAAAAATTTTAAATTAATTTTTGCAACAGCGTTTGCGGGTAAAAATAAATAGTTGGTAATTTTTTATAATATCATAATTTGATTAATTATCCAAAATAAAAGCATTGAAAGGCAAGAATGGAAGTTACTTCGGAGCCTGGTTTAATAAGGCATTTTACTGGTCACAAGGCAAAAATAACTGATGTCGTTTTTGATAATAACACAAACCAAATCGCTTCTAGGTAAACTTTTACTTAAATACGTATATGTATGTATATGTTTTTCATCTAAATATGTTTAAAATGCAAAAAATATTCCATTGAAGTAATATTGTTATAAAAAATCAAAAATAGTACATATTGTTGTTAAATATATTTAATTTGTATTTACAGTTCCTTCGATGGAACCGTCATGGTCTGGAATTTTCATCAAGTTGCAAGATGTATGCGTTTTAGTACTCACACCGATAAAGTAAATTTGTTTACATTATCTAACTATAAATTTTAGTTTACAAAGCTTTATGACTAGGTTAATTCAATAGCTTGGTCCCCAACAGCAGATTTAATAGCTTCGTGTTCTAATGATAAAACAGCTAGAGTATGGCAACCCAAGATTAAAAGTTCTGTAGGTGAGATGTTTTGCCATTCAAACGTTGTTAGATCGGTCGATTTTGATCCAGATGGAGAAATTGTAAGAGAAAATAATTTGTAAATAGACTTTGTATATAATGTGTTTCGCTTCAGCTACTAACAGGATCAGATGACAAATCTCTCAAATTATGGAGAGTAAGTAATAAAAAGTTTATAACTTCATTTACTGGCCATACAAATTGGATTCGAAGCGCAAAATTCAGTCCTTCTGGAAATTTAATAGCATCATGTGGCGATGATAAGACTATAAGAATCTTTGATGTTACAAGTGGAACATGTATTCACACTTTCCAAGAAAGACAGGGGATGGGCCGATATATTGCCTGGCACCCTGATAGTAGTATTGTCGGTAAATAACAGAATTAGTTTACTTTCATAACTTTTTTGATAGAATTTTGATAAAGTAAAATAATTTTCAGCCGTAGCTTTGACTTGCAATCGAGTCAAAATATTTGATGTACAACAAAGGAAATTAATTCAATTATATGCAGTTCATTCGCAAAAAGTGAACTCAATATCGTTCCATCCGTCCGGGAATTTTTTGATAACTGCAAGTGATGATACAACTATTAAAATTTTAGATTTGCTGGAAGGAAGGCCGATATATACTATAACAGGGCATTTAGATGGAGTTACGGCCGTATCCTTCTCACAAGATGGCAATTATTTTGCAACTGGCGGTCAAGATAGACAAGTAAATATTATTTTGTTTATTGTTTTGAAAAAGTGAAGACCATGAAAATTTTAAAATTTAATTAGCTAATGATATGGAAAACAAACTTTTGTGATGTGGACTCTCCTAATCATTCAACAAGTCTTGAAATGAGCGGAATAACTCCATTGCTCCCAGAAAGTGATGATGCTTTAGTGGAAAATGCTCATCAATTAAAACGAATCGGAAATTTAGAAGGAAAAAATAAAAATAACCAAGATGCTGATCAAAGCGTTTTCGTCGATCCAAGAAACACAGAAGCTTACAAAAATAAAATAAGATTTTCAGAATATGATTCGTAATGATTTTAATTATAAAGAGGGTACAATAATTATATTAGATTATTTTTAATGATATGTATGTTTTTATTTATAACGTCTTTTATTGTATTTATGTCTTCAGTTTTTCGTTCAACTTCTTCTAACATTTTTTTATTCTGCCCAGATTTTTCGGCTATTAAATTTACCTACAAAAAAACTATATGGCCTAAACTATAAATTATATTTAATAAAAACTATTATTACCTTTGTATCAATTTCCTGGAACATATCTATTCTACTCGAGTCAATTTTTAAATTACTAAGTGTTCTAGTGATTTCTTCGTTAAGTACTATGTTGGGATGTTTCTGCAAATACAAATTATCTAACATTGAACTTATTGTTTATAATTAATCATAAAAATGATGAAAACAATTTTACAAAATTTATGTAAACCGAAATTTTTAAACCTGCAAGAAATTATCTGTTTTTATACATACCTGTTTTGATGCCCAAATTTTAGCTTCTTTTTTCAAAAGATTTCCATATATGCCAGGGATTTCCTGCCTAAATGTTAAAACTTGCCATAATAAATCCTGCGTTTCACATAATTTAGAATATTCATTTTCCAATTCTAAATATGACTGCTTCTCTTTCTCTACGACAAAATTATAAAACATAATCTCAGAAACTCAGGTATAATGTATTTTTCTAAAAAAATTACCCATAGACAAATTTAATTATAATTCAAAAATATTTTTAAAAACAACTAACAACAATTCAAACTAATGACAGTTTAGTTCTTTATAAACATTATAAAAGTCACAATTGAACAAATGTCAATGATATCTGTATAATTCACAATTATTGACATTTAATAAGACGCTTACTGAATTAAGATGGAACAACAGCGCTTAAACGCCGCGAAGTTTTGGTAGCCAACCTAAACACTTTAAAAACAAAAATAAAGAGAAAATTATAAAATTTTTATTCCAGCATTAAATTATTATTATTTATCATATTTTAAACGAACTTAAAGCTAAAATGGAAAATTTATATATTACATTACTTTCAACAATTAAGCGTAGATCTTTATATGCAAGTAAGGAAAATTATTCAAAAATTAGTGAACTTGTTTGAGATGATGGTTAATTTTAAGGGTCAATAAACAGCCCGGCATTTGGTTACAGTTCTTTATGGTAAATAAAGTAATTCCTAATTTTTTACGTCTATCGAGTTTAAAAGTAATTTTTATTTTGAAGACTTGCTAAAAGCTCGCATTTGCAAATTTTGAACTAAGATTTGACTAAGAGAGAGGTAAGAAAAAATGAGTTCTTTAAAAAATCAATAGATCGCTCTAATAGTAAAAGAGAAACTGATCTTGGAATCACTTCGGAATCAATTAACTACAGACAATAATTTTGGAAAAATATTGTAAAATTTGGAACAAAAATTATTTTAAATTTAAAAATTTTGTATTTAAACGAGCGTAAAGTTTTATAAAATTCAATAATAGACTATCATAGTAAAAATACCGTATGGAAGTGCCTCATATTATCTTTAGTGTTGAAAATTTGAAGACTTATGAGAATTTCAAAATATAATAAATTTTAGTCGGAAAAAACACTTTCACGTTTCATCGTAAACTAAGATCTTCGAAGCAAATTTAAAATTGGCCTAAATCAAAAATATTATTAAGTTAGAGCTCGTAGGATATGGGTTCAAAACACTTTTTCAGTGTTCATTAATAGTATTATTTTAAAACATTAATACACAATATATTTTTATTTTTTAAAATTCTTTTAACATCAAATGAATAATTTTTTTTATAACCATATATTAAACTAATTTTACTTTAGGCATTATTCTTATAAATATACAAATACATCATCTGTGTGCAGTTTTATTTGTACATATCTACATATATAATTTGCATATGCTATGTACATATATACATGCATACATATACTATAATAAATATTTTTTTCAGTTTGTATATGTATTTGATAGGTATTAAATTTATAATATAATCCTTTTATTATTCAATGATTTTTTATAAAAATACAATTTATGCATACTTACTTTTACATTTAATCAGAATTACAATTATAATTATGTTTATGTATTTAATATGTAATTATAAAATTAATAAAAACTTAATATTCTTCTTTACTCGCTATTAAAAATTATAAAAATTATTTTTTTATTTCAATGAATCTTAAGAGGTACTTTTGAAAAGGTAAACTTTTAACTAAAATATTACATAAGTATAAAATTATTTAAATATTTTTAATTCCAATCAAATTATATAAAATCTATTTTCTATTAGAATGGGTAGAAATCTATTTCTAATAGAATATGTAAATGTATACATTAAAAACAGCTCAGTTTTTTTATTTCTAAATTATGTTAATTTTGTGGTAGTGGAGAAAATTTATAAAATTTAATTTTTACTAATTACTGTTATTTAAAAGAAGTGAAAAGAAAAGCCCAATTTGCATTGTTGGTTAATTTGTAGATACATACATTATGTACAACATGGATATTGGATATACAAACATAATATGAAACGATTTATAACAAAAAACAAGTCAAATTTTTCCCCGAATGCTTGTTTGGATGCCATGGAGATTCTTGTAAGTTTCATAATATTAAAAATTATGAATAGTACATGTGCGTACTTAAATTTATCAAAAAATACGTAGAAGTATTTTTTATAAATATGTTGCATAAAAGTAACAGGTGAATTTTGTTAAAATTTAATCTTTCTTGTTAACAATCCCTATATTCGTTAGGGTTGGGAGTTTAAATTTTTCTTTGTAAGTTGGCTAATACATGATTACAATAATTATCGATTGTAAATCTCGATATAATCATAAATTAATTTATTAAATTGCATCATAATTGAACTAAAGATTTTTTAAATTATATTTTTGATTTCTCAAACAATTTTTTATTAAAATTATTTTAAAAATTAATTAACAAAATAAAGTTTTTAAAAGATCACTTTTAAAGTGAAAATAATACGTCTGACAAACCTCTGCGATTATTTTATTGTTCTTAGTAAATTTATAATACGGTACGTGTCAACTAATAATTAAACAGTTATAGGTACATTTTAGCGCAGTAGAAATAGAAAATAGAAATATATATTTGATTTCGTTATTCTTATAAATATAAAATCTGTGGTATTTTTACATAATTTTATGTTAAAAGAGCATAAAATTTTACAAAAAGTTCAATAAAAAATGTTAAAATTTCCGTTTATATCACGTCATGTAAAAATATCACAGATATAATTTTCTTTTTAAATAATTAAAAATGCAAATAATATTGCTTAATAGTTTTTAACATTTTGGCGAAGGTAACGGGCAATTTTCTTCATAAAGCATTGTTAATTTGTCAAATTCGAGACTCTTACATTTTCTTTTTAAAACTCCATCCTCTTCTTCACTGCTACCAGAAGTTGTATCAGTCAAGCATAATTTGGTTGAAACTCCCTCCAATTCAAGATCTATATACAATTGATCAAGTTGATTATTAACTAAAATTGGTTGATTTAAACATTTTAAGGCAATCATATCATTGGCCAGAACTTTTGATTGAGTAGGTTGTTTAATATGATATTTATATATTAATTCAGAAGTTATTCGAACATTATTTAACCATGGTGGTTCCGGGCGCTTACAATGCCTTATATTTTCTGTGTTATGGATCGTTGTAGTTGCTGTAGTTGCTAATGGAAATTCAATATCATCTTCCAGTGAAGTAGAGGAGATATCTTGAGAAGATGAATTAAATAAATTCTCTTTCATATAAATTTCTTTTTGTTGCTGCTGTTGTTTAACAAAATAATTTTTATTGAAATTTGGTGAAGAAATTTGTCTTTTTGCCTCACAATTTTTATTTTGATCTGAAATGGTCACAGGTGATGAAAGAGAAGACATTTGTGTTCCTTTCAATGGCCTATCATTATTTGAATTGAACAGTTTCGATATTGTTTGTAATGGGACGGGCTGATATATCATACTTGGTTGCGCATAAAACAATTGTGGATGACCATACATTAAACCTGTCATATAAACCGATTTTGGTGAATGATTTCCTTTAAATAAAATTTATAATATACATATGTATTTATATTATAGGAATGTTCAACAATAAAATGAAATTTTAGTCGTGTTTTAGTCTCATTAAATACTTACCATCCACTGTTTTTGTACCGGCCATATTAGTAGGTATATAATACAAAGGATAAAGTCCTGTTGCTGACGATGATACAAAGCAACTTGAATAATCTCGGGAAAAGTGTGGCGTTTGAACTGTTGTAAGACTTACAGAAAAGGGTGGCCATAAATCGACCCCATGGGAAAGTGGTTGAACAGCAACTTTTTCAGTTCTGGAATGAAAATTTCCAAATGTTTTAAGATTTGTTACATCTACAGAATCTCTGGAATTTTCTACATTGTGGTGATGTTTTGTTGTTTTATGCATTTCTTCTTCCCATGTAAAGGAGCCACTGCGTTTTATGCCATGATTTTGGTCATGAGATTTCTTTAACTTATCACCAGATGAACGATTTCTTAGCTCTTTATGCTTTTTTAGCATTTTTACTTCCATGTCTTTGTTATGTTTTTGAAGTAACATTTCAGTTAAAATTGGTAACTGTGTTCGTTCGAATGAAGTGCCTCCATTAGTCCCAATAACTAATGTTTGATGTTTTTGTAAATCTTGCAGATGCTTTTGATGTTGATCTTGACGATTATCAATTTGCTGTATCATTTCAGTATCTTGTTGAAAATCTTGTTGCTTTGTCTGTTGTAAATTAGGTTGTCTCTGTTGAACTTCTGCAAATTGATTATTCTGGTAATTATTACTAATCGATGTTAAATTTTCAGATGATCTGCTACCACCACTTTCAGTGAAATAATGTACTGGACTAACTGAAGAATTATTTTGACTAACGCTCTTGTTTAATTCATCAATAAATGCTGTAGTACCAATTGAATAAACATCATTTGGCGGGACAGTAGTTGGTTTACTATCAAAAAATCGTTTCAAATTTTCATTATAATTAAGCTGATTATATGACGGTGGTGTTTCACTAGAACTTTTACTGTCACAGTAATCATGATGTGGTGATATTTCACCTAACATTACAGAACCACGTTCTGACATGGTCAAGTCAACTTCTTGAGGCAAATCAATTTTTAAGTCTGCACTCTGTGTCACTTCTTCCATTAAATTTTCCATAAATGATGCAAGAGCTTTACATCTTTTTGAAACTTCTTGTTTAATAGTATCTGATGGACGTTCTACTGATTCTGAGAGAAGTTGTAATATTTCGTCTTTTATCAAATTACTTTTGCGCATATTATCTAAAGAACTCATTTGATTTTCATTTGTTGCTGACGAAGATACCTCAAAAACATTACAGTTCTTTGGTCCTTGTATAACTCTATGACTACCAATTATAAATTCTAGTTTTCTTGACCATGGATTTATGAAACTTGTAAATTCGGTTTCCATTATTATATAACATCCATTTTGTACCAAAAATCTATACGGTTTACTAGAATATTTCTTACCAGATATTTGATCAGTTTTGATGAAATGTTCATAAACACTTTTAAGTAATGGTAAATCAGCATAATGATAATAATCTAATATTTGTTTACCAATCAAATCTTGTGGAAAAAATCCAAGAAATGGTACAGCGGTTGTATCAACACTTGATATTATCCCAGATGCTGTATGTTTAGTAGTAAATTTTAAATTTGTTAAATTTGAAGCTAATTGCTCATTTGGTTGTTTATAAACCGATTTAATATTCGTTGCGCTTACAACTAGTAACATGCTACTGCCGTTCAACATTTTAGAGTTTTCAATAAGTGACGTATCATCGGGTGCATCACGAAAAGTCAAATTTAAGCAAAATGGCTCGTATTGAATTACGTTACTTTTGATATCGAACCCAATTGATTTTAAACCTGAAATAATATGAAAATAAAAAAATAAAAATTTATATTATTAATCATTATAATTAAATGCAATTAATGCATTTTTATTGTATTTGTTTTGTAAATATTAGAAAAATACCAAGAGTTTTTATAAATGAAAATTATATGGGAATCATTTTACTTTTTTTAGAAAAAACAACTCTGTTTCAATATATTCTACTTTGAAAAGAAAATTTGAAACTATTAAAAGAGGATCAGGTATATCCTCATCCTTGTATATTTAAAATCAAATCCTTGTATTTAAAGTTCTTTTATTTCAAATATATTTTTAGATGCTGCATGCAGAAAAGAATGAATAAGGAAAATTTCTGACAAATAATTTAATGTGATTCCTTTGAAAAGAATAATTATAGCAGATTTTTCACGTTTTTAACTTGTATAATAGAAATTATCAGAAAATGCTTAAAAACGTGAAATAACTAGAATTAATTAGATTTGATTTTTTCCTAGATTTTTTTTTCAGCTAACCATAAAAAGACATTTATACATACAGATATATATTAATGACATTTTAACAATTTGTCACTGAAAATTAAAAAATCGCTTGAAGACTACTAATTGAATCTAAGTATTTTTCAAACAGATCTAACATCAATTCGTCTACATCAGTAATTAAAGTGATATCGTTGCGAAGAAGTCAAGTAGAGAATAGACATTATGCCTGGGTTTTTATAGACATGATTAAATCAATTTAATCAATTAATAATAGAATATTTTGTTATTCTTCAAATTTGTAAATTTTTGAAATCATTTTGTTGCGTGCATCTAAAACAAATGCCGTGTAATTTAAATATTAAGTAAAAATATCTGTATATAAAGTATTGAGCAAATTATAAAATTAAATTAACTTAAAATTATATTTTTATCGTTGAACGGAAATTCTTTTAAGTATCAAATTTGAGTAGTTTACTATTATTCATAGTTTTATGCAAAATATCGAAAAAATTCTTTTTCGATCGATCTCCATGAATTTCATATTTTAAAAATATATTCTGATCCAGCCGGTATAGAAAGCTTTTGGCATACAATATGGAGATTGAAAAGGGTTTTTATTATAATTTTTCACCAAAATTATTTAATGAAGTTAAAAATTATCATTTATTGACAGCTGCATACTTTTAGGGATTTAAACAATATAACATATAGAATAACTTTCCTTATACGAGTACGTATGTGTATGTGAATGTTTGTAATGTTAATAAAATTTAAATATATTTATATAATATTTAAGCTTCAATTATTTAATAACTAAGTGTAATTTATTTAAGTAATATTTGTTAATCTTATATAAAAACAAGATAACAATATTTAAGTTAAAGGAAAATTATTCGACTGTATTGTGATTAAATAATAATAATAAATATTAAACATTGTTTCCCAACAAGAGTACCTGTATTTTCTCTGTAAGCTCTATGTTTTGCATTGATTGGAATTGAGAGTGAATAAGAACGAAATTTACGATAATTTCTTAATTATTATAAAATTTTATGGCTTCTTAAATTAATGTTAATAAATTAAATTTAATTAAATGATAATAATTAATGAAAAACTCATTTTCTAAATTTTTCATTTCAAAATTTAAACTATTTTCTTATATGGCATCTCTTTATAATTTATTCAAGAAAAAACTCTTTCTTTTACTGTGTGAAAACATAATAAAGTAAAAATAAAAATTTCTTTTCATAAATACGACTAAAATATGCAAATAATATTCAATAAAACAAAAAACAATTAAATAATAACATAATATAAAATAAATAATTAATTATTATTTCATTTATTCATCACAAGGTTATATCACAACCTAAAATTTATTAAATTTTGAATTGAAACCTTATAAGCTTAACATTATTAAAGTATATAAAGGAGAAAGAATGAAAAGCCTTTTTTGACTATTATCTAAATTCTAAAACGTATTTCTGTTTGTATATTTGAATGTAATAATAATGACAATAACAATTAAAATAAATTATAAAATTGAATTTCTTAAGAAAAAGCAATTTCAAAATTGTGTAATATTTTAGGCATTATAAATTTTAATAACTGTTATCATTCATTTTATATATTTAAAAAAAAAACGGTATATGTATGTCATCCGTCTATAGTAATATAACAAAGAATTGTCAAAAAATACCAACAGTTCGATAACAGAATATTTGTAAAGAAAACTACGCTTAAAAAGCTATAATAGAAAACTTAAATAAAAAAATGCAATTTAGAAAACTAAATATTGCGCACAATAAATCTACACTTGACAAGTTTTATGTTTTAATTTTTGATTAACTGAAGTAACGTGATTGACATTTTCAATACGTATCAAATATTAAGAAATTTTATATTAAATATAAAAAACAAAATGGAAATTTAAAAAAAAAATTTCTCCGGTAAACTCAAATTATACGTTCATAAAAAGTCTGTTATCAATGATATAAGGCCTTTTCATAAACGCAAAACTACAAAACAATAATGTGATACATACGCAATATATTTTCAACAGTTGTATAAAAACTATTTGCTCTTTTGAATTCGCAGTATTGTGTTCATGAACAAAAAATGTACCTAACAAAAAAAAATTTATTTATTTTGGTCCAAATATAGTGGAAAATTCTATTTCAGGAAAAATAAACATTAAGAAAAACAAAAAAAGAAAACTAAAACAAAAAGAAATTTTGTTATGTTTAAGTACAACAATTAACAAACGAAATCCTAAGAAAACTGCAAAAGCTAGGAAAAAAAAAGTTGGGTCAAACCAACGGCTTGTATTGTAGCACTTTTCCCTTCAACAAGTGAAAATTCTGCTTTTAAATACAGTCTATGTATACCTATCAAACTATTAAAATTATTTTCATTCATATACAAAACTATTTCTAGAATTGCATATATTTAGGATGACGCATATATGCAGTGTTTGAAATAAAGCAAAAATTAATATAAAAAGGGGTTAACATAATGCTCGATTTTAAGGGTTAATTGTGTGAGTTAAGAGAAATAATTATATTTTTTAATTTCATGGAATTTACCGTTAGCTTTTTGCGTTTATAAAAATTTGGAAAAGCTTGCGGTTTTGGAAATATAAGGTGTCAAAAATTCAAATTTTACAAATTTCAAGAGGTGATAACTTGAGAGGGGGTGGAGATAGAAAAAAATTTTCTTCTAACGAAATGAACTATTTGTTAATGTCTAAAAGCTCCTAAAATTTCAAGCTTCTACAGGCTGGGGTCTAGAAGAAAAATGACATCAAAAATTTGGAAAAAAAGGACTTTAGATAACGGTAAATTTGAACGGCCATTTTGTTTTTCTAAAGTTTAACTATAGTATATCACGCTAGGGGAAGCAAGCCACTGCCTTTCTGCGTTTGCAAAATTTCAAAAATGCTTATGGTTTCATTGCAACAAATATTTAAAAAAGGCCATTTTTAGAGTTTTGGGGGGGTATAACTTCTAGAGGGGGGGAGATAGGTAAAAATTTTGTTCTACGGAAATAAGTTTCTAGTAAAGATCTATGTACGTATGAAGTTTCAGCTTTCTATCTTAAAGGGTGTAGAAGTTTTGTAAACAAAAAAAGTGTCCACGGACGGACGGACGGACAGAGTGAAACTAATAAGCACTTTTTTCAAAAAATTTTTTGGAAAAGTGCTAAAAAAGTACAGCTGATTTAACTGCGCTGATTAAAATATTTTTGTGATAGGTTAGCAATGTTTTTGAACAAACTTATTTGTTTATGAACACAAATATTGCGCAGTTCTCGCTATATATCGCGATATATTGTGTTTATGAAAAGGCTTATAATTTGTTTTTGTATTGCTAATTAAGGATTAAGTTTAAACTGTCATAGATTAATGGTACAAAATTGTAGACCATTTCAAATTGAAACAAAAAGGTTGAAAAACACTTTTTTATTTTATGAAAAATTTTGTTTTACGCATAAAAAATATTATAACAATCATATAATAAATACATAATATATTTAACAATGTGTGTTTCAACATGTGACTTAGATTTATATAAGCATTTATTTATTATGTGATTTGTTAAAAAATTTGGAAGTAATTTAATAAGGAATATAAGGAAGAGATTTTATTCATGATTTGATTATGAAAATTTTTCAATTAATTATATGTTTGTTTATAATTCTATCTATTCTAATTAAAATTATCAAAAAAAGATTATGTTTAAAAAATCGTATTTGTTTCAGTATTTATAATATTTAAACATTTTGAAAATATTTTTAATGTGTTAAAATGAAATTGCCTATTCAGGCTGTTAAGTCTATAAAAATTGTCCCACCCTATATTCTACAGGTGATCGAACATAAGCTCAATACTATGTTAGTAAATCGGGTTTTCGAAACAATACAAATCTTGCCTTCAAATTCCTTATTAAATTTGAATTGTGAAATAGATACTGATACAAATTATGATACAGAATCGAAATACAAACAGACTGTTTCCAAGAATTCTCGGAAAAATTAATTTCTTTGCATTTCTACAACCCCAATAAGTATATTTACAATATTGAAAGCTCAGCATGTGACATTCAGTGTTATCAAAATATCTTGCTCTTATTATATGACAATGAACGTATATATTTTAAAACAAAAAATACTGAAATTCGCAAATAAAATGAATTCAATATGAAAGTGTACAACGAAGTATTGCTTATGTTAGATAACATTATTGAATTTATTTTACTTATTTTGTTTGAAGGTTCCTCTTTCTATATATCAATTTAATACCACTTGCAAGGAATCCTATGCATATGTACGCCTTTTTATAATACTCAGGAATAAAATATTATTAATGAAAGCGTGATTTATTTTTTAGTGAACGATTGAATCTATTTATAGATTTAATAAAAAATTACTTAATTCATTTCTATAATTATTCTAGTTTTTCAATATTTTTTACTTGATAAAATCTTGCATGAATTTCTATATTAAATAAAGTAATCTCATAAGATCCTAATATTTTCCAAACATACTTACAGTGTTTATTTAAAAGAACTAACATTGTGTATATGCATTTTTGTAATAAATAATGAACTGCAATTTCCTGGAAATTCTTATGGTTTTTACAAAAATTTAACTATAACTTTAACTGATGAAGACCTTCAATTATTATAAATGATGGTTATATATTAGGATAAAAATAACTTTTTATAATTTTAATAAGTTTTGTATTTAAATTGTTTGTGTACGTTATGTAATTTTAAAAGAAAAACGAAAAAAAATAGAGTTGACCTTGTCAACTCTGTGATACCCGTACGAATTTGTTATCCTATGTGCAAATAAAGATGCCATAACTGACTAAGGGACACATTAATTTATGCAAAATTTCAATACTGTCTGTTTTTCAAAATACTGTGTGTGCCAAACTACTATTTAAGTTGTATGGCAGCTACCAGAAAAAGCTAAGAAATTTTAACAAATTTTATCAAAAACATTGGTCCTAGTAATATATTCGCTTGTGTGAAATTTCAATACCATAGCTTTTATAGTTTCTGAGATATAGCCAAATAACTTTTGAAGTTGTATGGCAGGTACCAGAAGGAGCCAAGTAATTTCAACGACTTTCATGTAACACATTGGCCCTACTAATATATTCATTTATGTGAAATTTCAATACCACAGATTTTACAGTTTCTGAGATATAGCCAAATAACTTTTGAAGTTGTATGGCAGGTACCAGAAGGAGCCAAGTAATTTCAACGACTTTCATGTAACACATTGGCCCTACTAATATATTCATTTGTGTGAAATTTCAATACCACAGATTTTACAGTTTCTGAGATATAGCCAAATAACTTTTGAAGTTGTATGGCAGGTACCAGAAGGAGCCAAGTAATTTCAACGACTTTTATCATACACATTGGCCCTACTAGTGTATTCGTTTGTGTGAAATTTCAATACCATAGCTTATATAGTTTTTGAGATATAGCCAAATAACTTTTGAAGTTGTATGGCAGGTACCAGAAGGAGCCAAGTAATTTCAACGACTTTCATGTAACACATTGGCCCTACTAATATATTCATTTGTGTGAAATTTCAATACCACAGATTTTACAGTTTCTGAGATATAGCCAAATAACTTTTGAAGTTGTATGGCAGGTACCAGAAGGAGCCAAGTAATTTCAACGACTTTTATCATACACATTGGCCCTACCAATATATTCGTTTGTGTGAAATTTCAATACCACAACTTTTATAGTTTCTGAGATATAGCCAAATAACTTTTGAAGTTGTATGGCAGGTACCAGAAGGAGCCAAGTAATTTCAACGACAATCATGTAACACATTGGCCCTACTAATATATTCATTTGTGTGAAATTTCAATACCACAACTTTTATAGTTTCTGAGATATAGCCAAATAAATTTTGAAGTTGTATGGCAGCTACCCGAACCGGTACCCCGATCATGTCCAATTTAAATAGGGTTCTGGCACTTACTACAATAAATCATTTGTGAAAATTTGGTGAACTTAGCTCAATTAGTTTTTGAGTTATCGTGGGGACGGACGGACGGACGGACGGACGGACAGACAAAGCTAAATCAACTCAGAATTTGACGCTGATCAAAAACATACACTTGAGTCTATATCTAAGACCGTTATTTCTTAGCGTTACAAACGGTAAGGCAAATTTAGTATACCCTTCGAACATACGTTCGTACGGGTATAAACACAGTCCTATAGAGTTGCCCATAGATATATATATAAAATTTTCGTGAATTGACCAATGATATTTTTTTTATAATACGAGTACAAATAAATATTAATATATGCATTAGAACAGATATATTAGGTTAAAAATAACAATAATAATAATTAAAATTACCTTTAATTGTTCATTTATAACAATTGAAGGTCTTCATTAGTTGAAGTTATAGTTAAATTTGTGTAAAAACAATAAGATTTATCACGTTTATACTGAGTGTGATTTAATGCGTTTCATTATAGATTTTCATTAGATGTTCCTATTTAAATTATAACTTTTACACGAAAATATTAATAAAGAATTTATTAACCAATATTAGTTGGTGAAACTACGTAGTGAACCAAGAATTTACGGTTATACATTCCAAAAGGAATTCGAAGTTTTTAAAGGGAATTACAAAAATATTTGAATTATAATGAGTTTTGTGAAACTAGTTAATCATAAATGATTAAATAGTTTCACAAAACAGTACCTACTCACTGCCTTAAGCGGGAACAGCATAAAACTAATTTGGAGCTTTGAGAATCCTATAATATTTTTATTAAGGTGTTTTTTTTAAATCTGTTTTCTCACAAGGATGAAATTGCATAAGAATTTTAATTTGCCATATTTTTTTTAAGAAATTTAAAAAAAATATAATCAAATCCATTTCATTTTGAAAAAATTTAAATTTACATTAATCCTGTATGAAAAGGAATATCCTCGATAAAATAATTTTGTTACATGTACGAGTAATATGTAAACGAGGAATTTTTCAAGAAATTTTATGAAAGGCAAAAATTTAATATTGCATTAATCTAAAAGTTAAGCTGTGGTAAGAACTAAACTTTGTATTTTTCTATTAATATATATTTTTTATAAATAAAATGGGAACTATATTAATCTACTAAAAAAATAAAAGAGATTGAAAAATGTATATGTAAGAGATACTACAGATTTGTTACATAATTCTTTTTATAAAAAATTAATCCGCATTGTTCATTCATAGTTTAAAATTTATAATTTTTACATACCTCTATATTTTCTTAGCATAACACATAATTTTAATTTAAAATCTTTTTGTACGTTTCCTTTATTTTCTGCAAGTGGAATACCAGTTGCAATTTGATTTGCAAATGTTGTACGGTCTTTTGGATGTACAAAATCAATAAATGAACGTCCCAACCACATATCTTTTGGATAACCTAATAATTCAGTTATACCAGCTGTTGTAAATAATACAATACCATCTTGCATCGAAATTAAGCAATAGAAACCATCATCTCTACTTAATTTATTTTCAGTCTTTAAATTGACGCTATCATTATTATTGAGTGATAATTTAGCTAATTGATGATTTTGATGCGATTGCTGTTGCAATTGTAAATGCTGTGTCTGCTGCTGATTATTATTGTTATTGTAATGATGATAGTGATTACTATGATGATGATGATGATGATGATGACTATGATGATAAGATTTATTTGGTTGCTGTTGCTGCTGTTGTTGTTGCTGTTGTTGTTGCTGCTGCTGTTGTAATTCTGCATTTTTTTCAATATCGATTTCAGATAATTGAATTTGATTATTTAAAATTAAATTTGTATTATTACAATTATTTTGTAAATTTTGTGTAATATTTGTTACAGCAGCAAAATCATTTGGCTGTTCGTCAGTTATATTTGTTATATCTGATGTTGATGATGTATTTATTTGACTTGTACTTGTATTATTGTTACCATTATTTGACTGTGTTGTTGTTGATGTCGAAGATGAAAAATTATTACTCTTAATTTTTTTCTTTTTACGTGTTTTTTCCTTTTGTTTTGTTAAAATATGATGATGATGATTTGATTTTGAATTATTTTTATTATTATTCCCTTGATGATGATTTGATGATGAATTATTACCACCATAACCACTGCTACCAGATGAATTCGATCCGCTAAGAATTGATTTAGAACTACCACTACGTTGTGATTGACTATTACTGCAACTGTTTGAGTACGCTGAATCAGATATAACAGCTGTTGTTTTTTTATTTGATGAATCTTCTTCAGCCATATTTTCTATATTTTTATATTTTTATACTGTTAATTTAATCATATAGGTAACAATTTGTAATACTTAATTGAAAGTTTTGTATTTTTTAATTTTTTTTTTTGCACTCACTTTTTAATTTCTGATTTGAACTCGTAGAAATTTTTACTCAATTTTTATTTACTAAATTAAGAAAAAAAAATATTTATTTATTAATCATACAGAACTACATACATGCAAGCGAGTATTGGAAGAAATATTTGCTTGAAATGAAAATGAATCAACATAATATTGTTAGCTTATGGTTGACATTCAAAATAACGTTACATTGTGATTAGAATAAATGTATTGGTAATCGAAAAAAAAAACAAATACGAAAACAAAAACTTAAATATAGTAGAAAAGCTTTTTATTTGTTCTATGTAAAAGCAATAAAAAACGTGTAAAAAAACGTGATAATTTTTAATGTACGAACATGGACATGAAAAAAGTGGTGAATAAACAACCATACAAAATGACCAAAAGGAAAAGGGTTTTGGTTAATATGACAATTTCTTGTAGTTAAAAAATTTAACTCATATTTCCTTTCTCTTTAATAACAAAGTGTAATTCTATAATATTTGTAATGTTACAAAAAATAATGTATAAGTGTATATATGAATATATATACATATACATATGTAAGTATACTACGTGCAAACATATGTTACATGTATGCATTAAAATGTGATATATAAATACTATATCTATATTTCTATTCCTAATCACCTGAAATTGCAAATACGGCTGGGTGCTACAAATTCAAGTAATTTAATTTGATTAAGATTTAACCCAAAGGAATATTTTTAGTTCAGATTAATTAATAATTAATTGTTAAAGGTACTTATTCCTTGAATTTTTAGGTTTGAAAAAACTAAATACAAAATTTTGTTAATACATGGTTAATTTCATAAATAATATAAATGATAAAAAAAACATTTAAAACCTATATTTTGTTATTAGGACCCCAAATTGAAATACAAAAAAAAAATAACTTAAAACAATTTATGTATATATTAACAAAGACTATGCTAATATGTAAGTGTAATAAACTAAACAAAAGTTTAAAAAAAAAGTGTACTACCTACGCTTTATATAACAAAATTTTAAGTTGAGAAAAAAACAAAAATTTTGAAAAAATTTGAAAATTAAAGAAATATTAGTGTAAAGTGCTGCAAATGTGAATATTCGATTTTTATTTATACATACATATACATACAAATATATTTTTTATAAATTTATAATACGTATAGTTAAAAAAGATTTTATTCATGAGAATTAAAATTTAATATGCCACTACTGTATTAGTTATGTAAAATAATGAATGATACATAAATGTACAAAGCAGCAATAAATAGAACACAAAATAAGCAAAACAAATAATTAAAATGTTTTTGTAATCATTATATTTGTTAGAAAATGTATAACAATGTTATAATGCGGTAAAGTAGGAAAAAAAAAGCAAATTAAACACAATAATTTTAATATTATTTAAATAAAATAAAATATTATCTTAAAATTCACTCCAATTCACTCCATTCTACTATTATTTTTTTTTTTCTATATATATATATATATTTTTTTTCTTTTGGTATTTATAAATTGGAACTCATTTAATTAATTTTTAGATATTTTATATAAATAAATTATATGCATGTTTTATTTGTATTTAATATAAGCAATTTGTATACAAAATTTCAAAGGAAATGTTTATATTTGATTGTTTGTTTGTGTATTTTTAATAAGAGTCAATTTTTACTTAGGATTTTCTTTTTTTTCTTTCTTTTGTTCTATAACTTGTATATTTTCAATTCATTTTCTTCTATTTCATTTATATATTTTAATCGTTTTTTTTCTTTGTTAACAAAATTCAAGTAGCTTTAATTTATTATTTATATTTCATAGAAATAAACACAATAAAATAAATTAAATGTACATAAGTATATAATTTGATGGTTTATTTTGAAAGTGACCTAACGTATAAGTTGATTTCAACTAAAATCAAAATATAGTTCCGTTTTGGTTTAGTAAATTTTCAACTCCAACTATTGACATTATGATTGCTTTGGAAATAAAATAGTTTTAAAATTCCAAATGGACTTATAATCACTTTCAAAATAAACCATTCATATACAATATTAATAATATAGTATATATTATAAAGAAATTGCAATAAATTATGAAAAATGTATTTATAAACAAGCACATAATATGAATATTTATATTTTTGTTTAAATGTTTGTTTATAAAATTGAAAATTGAATTTAATTTTTTTATGTTAAATTATTATTTTTACAAAAAAGTGAAGAACGCGTTCGAATATTTATAAATATATTAGATTTTTATCGCATTTATGCATCTCTAAAGTATACATTTCTTATAATATATAATATTTTACATATATAAATATTTTGAAAATTTACAATTAATATAAATATATAAAAATATAAATTATCATTTTATTATTTAATAAAATTTTGTAAATTTCTATTTATTATTTTTTATTTATTTTGAATAAGAACGGAAATTTTGAATTGTAAATAAATTTTGCAATTTTTTTGTTATTTTTTTTTTCTTAAATAGTTTCCTATTAACCTATAATTATAATTAAATTTAAAGTTTATCAATACACATGTACATATACGTATATTTTGATTATATTTAAACACAAATACAAAATTAATTTTACTATGTTATGGTTTTTTTCATTAAAAAATTCAGATTTAAGCTCTAGAATTTTTTAATAGAATAATTTTAAATTCTTTTGCATTATAATATATTTATAATATAAAAATATGTATATCATAGACAGTATAATAAATATAATATGTAATATGAAACCATTGATATAGTTACTAAAAATAAATGAAAAATAATTTTACTTTTTAATAGCAAATAATATTTTTTGAATGTATCGTATAATTTCTACTCAATTTTCAACTCAATTTTCAATTTTATATACATACATATAAAATTCACTCATTTAATAAATATTCCACTCATGTAAAATATGTACTTATATTCTAAAGTACAGTAATAAAATTTTAAATGTGTTTGGGTCTTTGATTTATATAAAATAATTATTATTAAAATTTGATTATGTACAATAAATTTTAATTTGTTTTAAATTGAACACTACTTTTAAAGAGCCCTTTTTTAAATAAAATAATAGCAATTTAAATTCTTATTATTCGTATATAAGAATTTTTTTTTTGATATTTCATACGTTAATGCGTTCTATAGTAGCTTTCACGTTTAATATTTTCTTTAATCACGTTGATTTGTAGCACAAAAATGTGATCAAATTTTTTTTTTTTTCTTTCAATATTCTGATAAATTTTTATCACTTTTCTCTCTTTTTAATGAAATAAAAAATATATTATTTAATTTATTGATATATTATGTATTTTAAAATATTTATTACTAATTAACGCATAATTAATATTTTTTATTATATAAATATCTGTATGATTTCAACAAACAAATTTTTTGAATATTTTATATAAAATACACATTTATCTAATAATTTTATAATATTTTGAACAAGTTAAAGTTATTTTAATAAATTATTATATAATATTTTACTTTTAAATTAATTTTCTGCATTAATTAATTACACTTTCAATAAATACAAAAATTAAAAACGTTCTGAATAGTTTAACCGCCAGTATATGAATGAAACTTGAAATTTGTAATTGAATGCAATGTAAAAATGAAAATACATTCAAACCATAAATTCTATTTAATATGGAATATTTTGTAAATCTAATGCAATACAATAATAACAAAAAAAAAGCTTCAAAGTTTTATGGAAAAATTATATAGAGAATTAAAGAAAACTTTTATGGTATAGCTGTATGATTTTTTGTATATTTTTACTACAAGTACACCTTATTTTATTTTTGTGTTAATATAACAAAACAACGTTTTTACCTTATCTTTTAATCACGTATTTTCGTACATATGTACTTATTTATAAATACAAATTTATAATTAACATATATATATATATATATATATATATATATATATATATATATATATATATATATATATATATACATAGTTAGTATAGAGAATTGCAATGAAAAGTGTGCTTAAAAGAACTTTCAATTTCATATTTTCATCTCCAGTTACGTACAAAACACCAAATGTATATGTACATAAATATTATATGATTTTGTAAACTGCTGATAAATGTGTTTTATTGTGTGCATATACACGGGATAGAATTATCATATACATGTTACATTGTATTGTTTATAAATAATAAAAATACAATTCTAGTGTCATACTGTAATAGAACTTATTCATTATTTTATATTCTAAAAGTAAATACAATTCTATATAACAATATAATATAATATTTCTTATATTAAGATAAAAATAAATATGTAAAAAATATATTTATCAATATACAGATGGTGTTCAGTAATGAACATTTTAGGTATATGAAAAATTTTCAAAAACATCTCTAAACATTTTCCGGTTAAATTTATAAGAGATAAATGAGTTGGACGTATTTTTCGTCAAAATTACAACTACGAGTATGTATTAAAAGCTATTTTTGCATTTTTTTTAAATTAATAATATGAGATAAATTTCTAATATCAAATAGAAAATTTTGAAATATTAAAAAAAATTTATGTAATAGAAGCATAGATATGAATCATTTGTCTATAATACTTGTAAGTCGTGTAAGTATTGAAGGAAATAAAACTTGCTTTGTCCATGAAAATCCATGAAAATTCTTTTAATATTTAGGATATAATGTAACAAAAGGAGTCAACAAAAGATGGTAAATTAATGAAAATTGACTGTTTAATAAATATATAGTTTTTTTTTACTTTTGCAAAAAAAAATCGTATTTTAATTTGATACCATAAGTGAATGTATCAGATTAATCTCTAATTAATTTGATAACGAACCTTAAAAAAATTTCTGAATAAAATAACAATGGAAAAATCATGAAAAAATAATACTCGTATAACTTTAATTTTTATTGCGCATATTTTTCGATTGTTTCAGCGTCAGATTAATATTAAGAACCATCATTTTATTTTCTTGTTGATTTATACTTCCAGTTAAATATGTCTTTAAGCAAGAACAAGGATTTCAAAACATACTCTATATTTAAATTAATTAGAAACGAATAACAAATAATAACCTTGTTTGAAACTTTTTCATTTTTCTCTCAAATTTTTTGTAAACACTTTATTTAAATCTCTTATAAGCACTTTTATTAAATATGACTTCAGTATAGTGATCTCTTGACCTACTTACCTTTAATAAATTCATTTCCTATACCATTTAATTTTGTTATTTTAAGAATACTTAAGATTGCGGTTCCAAGTAGTGTTTTTTTGAGGACTCCAATGTCTGTTTAACATTAATGTTGTTAAACTATTTTGTTTTATTAAATTAATTAATTTCCTTAAAATTATAAGCAATTATTAAAATGCAATGATTAATTTTATACATAATTATGAAATGTACATACCACATATTACTTTTAAATTTTATTATTGCGGTCGTTAATTTTTTGTAATATAAAAATATAAAAACATTTTGTATTTAATTTTGGTTAAGTTGAATTTTATTTAATGTAAATGAATTTAATAAAATTTTCGTATTACATATATTATAATTGTTTTAAAAACAAGTATATAAAATGGCTAAAATAATTGTTTTTGTTTTTTTATATAGTAAGCTAATAAAATTGGAATTTTAATCAAAATATTTAAATATTTTGTTATTTTATATTATATTCACATTTATATATTAATATAATGTTATAAATTACAGAATGGATTATAATACACATATTTAATAGAATTTTTATTTTTAAACAATCTTCCCAGAAATAACGTAATCTTAAGAGAGATTATAAATTTTAATTATAAAAACACAAAACAAAATAATTTTATTTTTAACAATTATAAAAATTTAATTTTGGAAAAATTTTAATCTTAATTAATATCGTCACAAATTTCTCAAAAATTTTTTCTGTTTTCATTTTGCATTTTTTTTAAATGCATAAATTTAAAAAAAAAAAAACTAATAGATTTTTTTTTAACATTAAAGTAAATATATACTAAATAAAAGATATATTTAAAATTAAAATTTATGTATCATGTGTATTTAGTAGTAAGAGGCAGGTATCTGTTTCATTCACAGGTTTCATTTTTGTATAGAGAAAATATAATACAGGATTAATCCTTTGGCTGTGTTTAGAAAAATTTTTTTTAATTTTTTCTTTTTTGTCATATACATATTATATACACATAATTTTATTTTTTAAATAATACGATAATTTAATAGGAACATTAAAAAAATTGTCAATTTTATACATACATTAGGTATGCATAAAATTCAAATTACACACAAAAATTATATATGTATATGTATTTGAAAGAATTGCTATTTATAATAATTGAATTATAATAAAGTACATTCAACTTAAAATAAAATATAGTTTTAAAATTCATTTGGAATTCAATATTTTTCAAAACCAATTTTACTCGGATTTATATAGGATTCTTTACTTCAAAAATTGCACTTTAGTTAAACAAAAAAAAATTAACAAAATTTAAAAATAATTTTTACGCTTTTACAATAAAAACACATTACGATAAAGATAAAAACAAAATAAATAATTATTTTTTGCATATATTCGGGCGCTCCACAGGAATTTGAGCAACAAATATTGTAAATTTTTTGTGTTGTTCTACAAACAGTTTCATATTTTTAAAAGTTTTTATGGTACGATCCCTTTAAATATAAAAATGTATGAAATTATGTATGTAAATATGTGAATGGTAATAAAGGTATAATCTATTATTTGTAATTAAGTTTGAAAGTAACATTTTTATATTTTAAAAAATTACAAGAATTTCATCTAATGCATATAAAAATTCGAGACAATTTATTTTTTTACTAATATTTTATAACTATCTAAAAACATAGATTAATTTTGAATGCAAAAATATAGAAATGAAAGTGTCAAATATATCTCTCCGGTTGTTAAAAATCATAACAATTATCTTTATTACCATTGTACATTTTACAAATTATATTTTAAATTAAAATCTAGCGTTATAAATTATGTAGAATAATTATATAAATATGAACAATTACAAATACATACATCATATAAATAGTTAGATAATAATCAATGATTATTATAATGCAAAAGTTTGACAAGTCTACAAAGGGACAAATACAATATCTTAACACTACCATACACAAATATATTTTTAGAAAAGTTTTATATTAATTTAAAAAATTTGTTTTGGTTAATTCAAATTGTAGTGATCGCTTAATTATTTTTACTGACCTTTAGAGAATAGGTTTTATCAGACGTTCAATGAGATTCAAATTATTTTTTATATTCATAATAAGAATGGCAAGTATGGATTTTTAAAGCATGCAGATTATAGAAAGGTATTGCAACTTTACAAAATATTGCAAATAAAATTTTGATATTCAATTCTCAATTTAAATTCAATATTATTTGAATTAAGTTTTACTTTTTCGTTAATAATTGAGCTAAATAATATAGATATAATATGTAAGATAATCATTTTGTGTTGAAGTAATAAGAAAATATCTTTTTACAATTACATTTCAACAAACATTAAGCATAAATTTTGAAAATTTCATAGATATAGACTGTGTAAATAGTATTACACATGTGTAGAATAATGAAGAAAATGCATTTATGCATGTATTAAGGAAATCTTTTATGTTCAATATTTGCAACACTATTGATTTTTAGACGAAAAAATAATATTAATATAAAAACAAGAAAAAAATTCATGTCATAGAAGTAAGTTGAAAATGTCATGACATTGGTGTCAATATTTAAAAAATAAATTTATCTTTTATATAGAGAGTCATGCATAAAATTGAAAAGGTGTAATATCCAATTTTCACTTCTCGTTAATTTTATACACTAAGTCGCTTAGAGTAAATTCTATAATGATGACATATACATACATACATATAATTAAAATATATTATTATATGTTTTGTTAATTTTCTTAACAAGATTTGTCATTTCTATCGTTCAAATCGCTATTATTTTCTGATGAAATCAAGGGTAAACCAACTTGGTCTTTATAGCATTCCTCTAAGTATATTTTCAAATCATCAATTGTATCTAAAGTTTTTAATTGATATTCAGTTGCTTCATCTAACATTGTACGAATTTCATGTGATGCTTTTAAAACGAAAAATGAAACTTTCATATTTGTTAATTCTTTATGTAATGCACCTAAGCCACGTGCTGCGGTAAAGTCAAATTCATTTAATGTTGAGCAATCTAAAATAACAGGAAAACTACCAACTGACTCCACAGCTTTTGAAATACCATTACGCACCCATTCAATAGCTGGAAAATATAATAAACTATGATTTGGTTTTATCAAAATATATTGAATACCATCATCAGTAGATGATTTTGATACAGTTAGAGCTGGTCTAGCAGTTCTATATACCAAAAAACTTAAATCAGTTGTAACACCTAACAATAAACCAATTTCTACGCCTAATAATAAACTTGCTATAAATGTTATAGCACCAGGTAAAATTTCTCTACGACTACAACGCCATAATGGCTTAACAACTTCATATTCAATCATAAATATTACGGCTGATATAATAACAGCACTTAATGATGCCTTTGGTATATATTGAAAATATGGTGTTAATAATTTTAATGCTATTAATACTAATATACTGGTATAAATTCCGCCAATTGGTGTTTTAACTCCACTAGCATGATTGACAGCACTTCTTGAGAATGACCCTGTTACTGGAATTGAAGAGAATAATGAACCGAATATGTTACAAAATGATAATGCCACCAATTCTTGTGTTGGACTAACTCCATTGCTTTTAAATGCTTTTGATATTGCAACATTTCCTAAAACTGCTATTATTGGTACAATTATAATAGATGGTCCAAGTTCTTGTATCATATCCCAAAAATCTTGATGAACTGTCAAAGTACTATTTGAATTGCTAATTTCTGTTTGGAATTCGGGAAAACTAAAATTGGGTAATCCACTTTTAACTGTGCCTGTTAATATAAAAGGGCAAAAATTTGGATCTTGACATTGATAAAATGCAATTAAACTTGTTGCTAAAACTATTAAAGCATTTCTTGCTGTTGAAATAACCCATATTGTAGTCTTTAATATTTTATGGGCTCCAAGATTTTCACTAATTTTTATATCTTTCAATTTTCTCAAGACTAATAGAATTATTATTGCTAGTATTCCTGCAAATAAAAGAAAATTTTTTATGAGTGTTATAAATTTCATAGTAGAATAAATTTGTTTTAGGTAGAAAAAAATTTAAAACAGCAATTTTAATGGTTCTATTTATTTTTAAGCCAAAGTAGTCATTTTTCACGAATGCGTTGTTGTAATATACGTTTGATTTTTCCAAATACAAAGCTTTCCGAAAAACTAACATTTGTTTTGTATTTAAGCTTGAAAGCTGAATAAATTTTTTGATCAACTTCTACTAAGTTAAGAATTAAAATTTTGTATAAATCGTTTAGAAATACAAATAGTAAAATTATGAGCAAACTAACAATGTCCACATATAAACAAACATACGTCATCATATAAAAACATCAGTTTTATTAACTATTAAAATAGTAATTTTTTTTATTAAATATTTTGGACTGTATTTAATAAAAATAAAACTGTTTTTTTCCTATATTTTAGAAAATGTTGAACTTAATACTTATTACTAGTATTTTATTTTTACCAAAACTCGTAAAATTGTCTTTAATACAGGTCACAACATAGCACAAACCCAATAAATTGAAATTCTTAAATTTTATTTAATATTCAAATATTTAATCAACTGTTTCATATACATAAACATAATGCTAGCATTAATAAACACATATATGTATTTATAACAATTTTCGAGATCTTTGAACGTGATAGATTCCATTGTGAAGTTCAAATATGTATACATATATATATACATATCAAATTTCTTAAAATTTGAAATTTTATTTTATAAACTCGAATTTTTCATTCTGTAGGTAAGTAATTTATAAGCTTAAATTATTTTAAGCTCAATTTATTACTTATTATTTCTGAGTATTTTGAGCATAAAATAAAATATACTGATTTTATAGTTAATTCTAAGCATGATTAAATATAAATAATTTTATTAAACTTATGCCATTTAAATTTTCGCATATTAATTCGTCATTTTAAGATGAACACCGTTCATAAAATTAAAATATTGTAACCCCATTGACATAGAATAGGGCTGACTAAATTTTGAAATTCTAAAACTCAGAACTTTGGGAATGGAAAAGTTTTGTGAGATTCTTTTAAGTAGTACAATAATTTTAAATTTAAATTTCTTCAATACTTTTAATTTGCTCAACTCGCTTTATTTTCATATCTCGCTTTTCAGATGATTTGAATTGCTAGTCCAAAAAGAGCTATAAATAAAAGATGGTGGTATTAAACAAAAATTAAAAATGATAAAAATTTAATTAATTATTTAATTTTTACTAATGTTGCTAGATAATGCTAGATAAAAATGATTTAATATTAACATTGTTATACCCTTACGAGTTCACAAATTACAATTTGATTTGTCTGGAACAATGAAGACTTCGGCTACTATATTGATTATATCACTACTTATTATAATTTAACTTGTTTCCTGATATGGTTTTTAGTTTCTCATAATTATACTAATATAATTATACATATTTATAAATTTAATATAATTGCAAATTTTTATTTATAAGTTTGCATTTATGATTAGAGTCCATAACGTCTAGGACATATTAAAGTTGAGCAGATTTTTTTGAGATTCACTGTATTTACGAGTATTAACGTAAAATGTAAACTCGTTTTTTTAAACTTTTAATTACTTGATAAAATAATATTAACAAAATAATGCCCAAAAAATATTAGTAAACAAAAAAATGAGATTATTATAAAGTAAAAGAAAGATTATTGTAATATGTATAATTTCATAAAACAAGTATTTAATTTAAAACGAGAATTTTTTGATTTGATATAAAATTAATAATATAGATACTGCAAATAACATTATTCTTTTTTAGTTTTCCAACCATTTTATATTTATATATCTGCTTATATTAATCACAATAAATTTTTGATTTTAAATTGTAAATTCCGAAATTCGAAATTCTATACAGAAAAACGAAAGTCTTTTTAATAATAAAATATCATATCACCTATGCGACTAACAGAAATATGGTTGTATAGGATTTCTTTTTCCAACTGTACTTAACAAAAGAATCAAATTAGCTCAGTTTCTGCATAAATATAAGGTGTGTAACAACTATTTTCATTTTATTTTTTAATATTTTTATTTCTGAGTTTTGAAATGAATGTATTGACAAACCAATTTGACAAAATAAATTTACTTTGGGTCCGCTGGTAAGAAAAGATTTGGAATGCTAAATGATATATTTAAAAAAGTTACATAAATCATTTATCTTATAATAAATAGTAAATATTTTGGGCAATAGTTTATTAAATAATTGCATATTCAAAAAAAAACGTATTAATTTTAATTTTAATCCTAAACTAAGAATTTTTCATAATTGTACCAAGAACTTTTCGAATGTTAATATGAAAATATCGAAATAGATATTTTGCTTTTAAATCTTTTTTAAAGAAATTGAGAAGAAAAAATTTCAAAAATAGAAAATGTATTCTTTAAGAATTTTTTATTTATTTAAGTTTTATAAAATAAAAATTTTTAATATATTATAATTACAATATTTTATAAATAAAATGACATTGTATCAAGAAAATCAACTTAAAAACTTAAAAAAGAAAATTACATTTATTTATAAAACTTAATTTATTACAAAAAACATACTACAAGAATCCTAGGTAATATTTTTTTTAATTTTTACAATTAAAGCATTGTATATAATACGACATAATCAAATAATAATAATCATTCATAATATTTTATACAATTTTACAAAAAAAAAAGGAATTGCTTACGAATAATATGTATGTATGTACATTTTATACACATAATTGTATACAAAAAAGAAAAGTGAAAATAACTAAAGTTTCATATAGTAGAAAGAATCAAATATTGACCCTTATGGAATGCTTTATTTTCTTAAAAAAACAAAAAAAAAAACAAATTATTAAATTTTGTATTAATTTCGAAAAATGTCTTAAAGAATTCTTTTAAGAATATATACATTTGAAAAAAAAAATAAGAGGAAACAGGTCAAAATAAAATGAAAAATATAAAAAATATTAAAATTATGCCTTGAATTACATTAAACATGTGTATAATGGGATGAATACTGGCATTGTTATAAACAATACTGACTCTAACTACTAGATTGTGTATTAGTGTAACTGTAAGCAATTGATATCTATTTAGTGGACTAGTTTAATTTTTCATTGTTGCGATTATTTTTATTAACCATTAAACTTGTAAACGAAAGTAACAATAACATAAACGTATAAAATAATTTTTTTTTTTTTTATTATTTACATATTAAGTATATTTTTTTAAAGAGTAATTACGTCTTTATGATCAAAATTGTAAAAATTTTCCAAAAAGTTTCATAAATTTTTATTGTATCACTTCTAGTTAACTTGATATAAACTACTTTAAAAAGATTTGTCACAAACAAAAAATTGCACTTTATGCTTTAATTCATTTAAAAATCTTAATTTCTAATTTAAACATTTTTATTATCTAAAAAAATTTATCATTTAACTTTTTAATATTTTGAAATAGGTTAGTGCCAGTAACAGTGCCAGTTAAACAAATGTTTTTGAAATATAAACATGATTTTTCATATTTTAATTTTAAAGACGTAAATTAAGTAAAAAAAAAAAAAAAATAAAGTATTAATTTGAAATGCGTTTTAATTGAATTAATATTTAATCGAATGAATTCAAAACTTACTATAACGAACGCTGATTGACAAATTCAAAAATATGTTCCAGCCAAATTTTTGAGCTATAAGTATTCATTAATTTTTTTTTTCTATTTTTAATTTTTATGTCAGATGCATAAATCTACACTATAATTTGTGTTATTTCAATCAATTATTTTGTTTTATATACTAAGTGAGATGCTATTAATTGTCTTTTTGTTTATATATATATATATATATATATATATCTGCTAGCAATATTAACAAGTTTTATTAATTAATATGGAACAATATACATATTTTAAACGTTACATTTTCGTAAAAAAATATTTGTGTTTTACAATACATACATATTTTTATATTAGTTAATTTTATTTTATATTTTCAATAAAAGTGAAATATTTCCAGGCAATTGCTTGTCTTTATTTTATATTCATTTTTATTTTTTTCTACATTTAAAGTCAAGGAAAAGAAACATCACAATAATTGGTGCGGAATTCATAAACATTAAATATGGCATTTAATAATAAAATATATTAGTAAGTTATTTTTTAATTATTGCAATAATTTAGATTATAATAATGTTGGTTCAGTGACAACTCATAAACGATTTAAATTTTTTATCAATAATCATTTTTCAAATACATACATATTTACATTTATAAGTTTTAAAAATACCTCCAATCATATTAAAAAAATCTATAAAATAAGCAATTGACTAAAATCTTTAAATTTATTTTTATATTATATAATTTTGGTATTAGATATTTTCAGTAATGCCAGCAAAAATATTGGAACCGTAATAGTATATAACAGGAGATTTACACTTACATCTGTCTTATAAATCTAATATTCTGTTTAGAATAGTTTTCTTAACTATTGAAAAGTATTCAAATCGTATCTAAACCATTCAAACATTGTTTAAGCTTTGAAAAACTGCTATATAATTATTTGACTAATCCGTTTTTAAAAAGTTTTGATTGTATCTTTTTTCTACAATTTTGTATCGTTAAAAATATTCCTATTTTTTTTAAAAAATTCAATTCCATTTCATTAATTTTATGTGTTTTTTATAGAAATCAAATAAAATTAGAAAATGAAATTTTATAACTTATAAAATTCAAAATAAGTTTATTGGAAATATAATAAAGATCAGCTAATATTAAGTTAATATTTAATTCTAGAAAAATTTACTTGAAGTTTTTTTGACAAACATAAATGCATTTTTATAGGGATTTAATATTTTTTTGTTTTTTAAAATACATACATTTGTATAATTTTTAAGGCAATATTGTGCAGAAATACCGAAAAGAATTGAACATTTATTACAAATAAAATAGCATAATGTATAATATGTAACATTACTACTTTGCAGTTACATTTTAAATATTGTAAGATTCATAATTTCAAGATTTCACTAATTTTTAATACCAAAAATTTTTAAAATTAAATAGAACAGAATACTAGACTTAAGTAAACGAACACTTCGCATTATCTAACTTAAAAATGTCTAATGTTGGATTTATGAATCTGAATTAGTTTTATTTACTTTTAATCAAAAACATTTCAGTCTTTATACGAAATCTATTTATCTCATAATATCCTCACATTTGCCAAATACTTCATTTTAAATAGTTATTTTTTAAGCAGAAAAGCGCAATACATTTCATGTTTTAATCTAATATGTACCTAATTAACTTACAAATAGTATATTTTGTTTACTTTACTTGCTATAAATTAAATTTTCTTCTTAATAAAATACACCATGTTAGCCTTGCTCAGTGTCATTACCTCGTGCAGGACAAGTTTTACTCTTGTCATTTAGTATTAACTGTTGTTGTTCATTTACCTCCATTGAATTCCTAAACTTTTTGTAAGCCTGAGAAGATTGTTTCGATATTTTCTTTTCAGATCTCAAACTACCAAAATTAAAGAATTTTTTTGAAAAAAAACTTTTTGTTTTAGTTTTTGTTGTTGTTTTAAGTTTATCCGAATTTTGTGTATTTTCAGGTTCTTTGACATTGTTACTTCTAGAATTACTTGTATTTTGTTTGATAGGTATCTTTGACGTTGCATTTACATTATTAGTATCCTTTGCATTGGTAGTTGGGGTTGCTGGCACAGATATACTTTGGTTAAAAAGTTTTTTGGATTTATTTTTAACTAATTTTAATTTATCATTATTTGCTACTATAATTTTACTATTATGAGAGGTACCACCACTGCTAACATTGCCAAAATCTTCATTTGCATCATAACTATTTAAACGAGTCCTATAATTTATTAATTCATTACTATTTAGAATTTCAAATGAAGATTTATCACTGCATATTGAGTTATTAGAATGTTCTTCTTCTAACGAGTTGTTGATGGCAGGAATGGCACAAACATTGTTTATATCTGTTGTTGAATTTGTTGATGTATTCAAGGAGCTGGAGCTCTTAAAATTATCATTAAAAAATGTATTTTTTAATTTATTAACTGCATTTGACGTTTCGCTGTTGTCTGTTTGGAATTCAATTGAATTTGCTTGATTTCGAAAAAAACAATAACGGGGAAATTGAGATCCAGAACCATTGCGTTGAAAGCGATAAGGACTATCGGGATTCATATTTGTGTTACTATAGCATTTTTCTTCTTCGTCTTGATAATTGTACATGGTTAAATCACCACTTGATTGTGAATTAACTTTTTCTTCTCTAGCAGTTAATTTTTTTGAGGAAGTTGGTATTGGCTGTTCTGAATTTGGAGAAAAGAGCTTGCATTCTTCTTCGGGACTTGAAAATATTTGTTCCAACGATTTTTGAACCTGTTTATAAAATGCTTTATCATATGTTATATTCGGATTACTATGGTTTTCAGTCGACGTCCCTTCATATCCATGCTTTTGATATAACAATGATTTTCTTTCCTTTTCTCTTTCAGTCTCTTTACTATCTAAGCTATGTTTTTTCTTGTTTTTCAATTGATTAGACTTAGTATAGGTTGATGAATTCGAATTGTTAGAATCAGCATTAGATGTTTTTCGAAAATTAAAACAACCTGTTCTGCTGTTTTCATATTCTTCATCGCAATCGTATATGTTAACTATATCCCTCTCATTTTCCACATCATTTAAATTGTTGTTACTATTTAATTGTTGAAATTTTGTAAACCTATGCATAAATTCTAATGCTTCTGGCGACATTTTATTTACTTCTATGTTATTTATAAAACTATCAATATTGTATTTTAAATTTTTATTATCTAAAAATGCTGGAGGTGATAAAATAAATGTTGAATCTCCAGTTAATTTGTGTATATCATAACCAATGGGAATGGTGTCACAAGGTATAACAGCTATCGATCCATTTGTTTTATTATGTACCAAACTAGTAGATCCCGAATAACCATCTGGCAGGTTACTTATTGTCAATTTTGATTTGTCTAAATTTGGAGCACTTTTACTAAAACTGGAATGAGAAGACCATTCTGCTGGTTGTAACGATGGCAGATGCTTGCGTTCTTTTTGATGAGCAGTTGATGGGCCCCAAGTTTTGCCCTTTTTGACTGGGCCCTCTGTAGTTACAGATATTGTGGTCGCTGGCAAAGCCACAATTTTTAAATCAATAAATGCTGGTGGTGATTTTGATGTTGAAGCAATATTTAAAGGATTAGGATTTCTTATTGTCGTTAAATTATGGCGAAAATCTCTTGGAAGAGAAATTTCTGTTGGTTCAGTGCGCGACTTTAAAAAATTAAATTTTTTGGGAAATTTTTTATTTAAACGTTTCTTTGGCATTGGGGTTGTCCTTGCTAACATTGTCAAATTAAATTCACGTTCACATATCTCCCGCTCTCTTGCTTGTATTCGTTGTTCACGCAATTTTAAATCTTGTTCATGTTGATGTTGCTTCAATTCCACATTTTTTAATTCTTCTTCTTTGCATCTTAACTCCTTTTCTTTTGTGCGAAGTTCTTGCAGTACTTCTGCAATTTCTTTTTTCCAACCATCTTGCATGTGATGAAAAGATTCGTGCGGTGTTTGGGTAAAATTTGATCTAGCAACAATTTCTAATTCATGTAGTACATTCTTAAAAGTTGGTCGTTCTCGAGCTTCAATCGCCCAACAACTCTTCATTAACTTAGCCCATGTATCTGGACAAGTTTTAGGAATTGGCAATGCTAAAATATTTACAGCGACACCATAAGCAACAGATAATGTGTCAAATCCTTTATATGGGGTTTCACCAGTAAGAATTTCCCATAACAATACCCCATAACTCCACACATCTGATGCTTTTGAATATATTCCATGTTTAATAACTTCAGGCGGCATCCAAGCATATGTTCCTGCTGCTGACATTCGAGTTGTATTATAAGCTTCCCTTGCTAAACCAAAATCTGTTATTTTCAAAGTTTTATTTTCTAGGTTTTCTAATCCAAACGCTTCAAATATTAACACATTAGAACTCTTTAAATCTCTATGAATTACAGAGATTGGGGCTTCATTGTGTAAATAGTTCATTCCCCTCGCTATTTGAATAGCCCAATTAACTAAAACATCTGGGGGAATTTTTTTTCCGGCTAAGACACGATTTAGTGAACCACCTCTCGCATATTGCATAACTAGACACAAATTCGGAGCCCTCAAACAAACTCCTATTAATGATACAATATTTTCATGTTTCAATGACCAAAAAAGTTTGGCTTCTTGCAATACGCTTTCTCGTACAATTTCTATATCTTCCTCGTTCACTTGTCGCGCCGCTTTTACCGCAACTTCTTCATTTAAATAAACTGCCCTATGTACTTTACCAAAACCTCCTATCCCTATTATCTCTTGAATGTCTAATTCGTTGAAATTAATTTCTAATGGTTGATTAGCTCCATATTCAGAAGGCACTGTTATAAGCATTGGATCTTGATTTGTGACGAAATTTGATGGAAATATGCCAACTTTGTCACCAATTTTCCCCGTCCACCAACCTTCATCACCAGAAATATTACTATCAGTTGATAAAACATAAACTATTTGACCACATTCCAAAGATAATTCATCCTCCCCTTGAGCTTCATAATTATAAAGGGCTGTCCATAATCTGCATTCACCTAAATCGTCATCAACAACATCTACGTCGTTTTCCATATTTTTTATCTTGTTTATTTGTTTGTTAAGTTTCAAAGGTGTAGTTTAAATTATCGTGAGCTCTTTTTTTTTTTATTTTTTTTTATAACATTTTTTAAATCTACAAAAATTATTTGAATACTTTTTTTGCAATAGCTAAGTTTTTTTTATATGAAATAGTTCAATATTTTTTGCAATCCCAAATGTTTCTCTTTTAAAATACTTTTTCTTTTAAATTTAATTTTAGCACTTAAAAGTTTTTTATTGTATATACATAGGTACAATTAGTTTTTTATTTAATTCTGTATTATTATGATAAACTAATGACTTGAAAATATTTATTATAGTAAAGTCAACATTGAAAAACTCATTTTCGTTTATATACAAAGAAACTAGTAAATTTCACACTAGGCGTAAATTTTTAAATATTAATATTATATCAATAAACGAAGATATTAATTTATTTATAAAATAAAAGTTTAATTAAAATATTTTGTACAAGAAAAAATTTTATCACTTTTCCAACTTTTCTTAGATGTCAGACGAAATTGACATCTATGAAAATCAGAAAATAAACGTCAAATAAATTTTGGGGTACGTTCAGAATTTATATGAAAATGTTATTTTAAGGTATCAAACAGTCATAAGCGACAATTTAGCTAAGTTCAATTTTACCGTATTTAAGTATGTATGCATATGATTGCTAAATCAAAAATTCCTACTTATTTCATTATTCAAATCAAAATTTATAAACTTTAAGTTTATTTTGTTTAAGTACATTGATATGTAACGCATAAAAGATTGCGAAAAACGAAATAATTAATCAATAAAATAAACTTCAAAACTTTTTTTCATTTAAATGAAAATATAAATAAAGCCAACATACACAAAAAAAATTTTTAAGGAAGGAAATAAAAATTTTAGATTAGTTTTTTACATAGTAAAGTACATGTTTGGTTGTTCTAAATCTATTTAAAACCAATAAACAGTACGTATGCTTTGTAAACAATGCATAATCTCGGTTAAAGAAACTTATTGTTGCAATTATTTTACTCTTATCACTGCAGAAAAAAAATATTTGATTCATATCGATACAAGTGAGTAAAAAAAATACATTTCATTATTCATGTAAAATATTATGTATCATTTTTAAAATCGAGTAATTGAACAAATACAAAATTAACCATAAAAAGTTTTTATAAAAATTGTAATTTATTAAATTACAAATTCAATAAATCAGACTATTTAATTTACGGATTTGTTCTAGTACGATTAAGACGTACAAATAATAGTGCGACTAAAGTCCAATCACTGCAAAAGTCTAATGACTGTACTGTAAACTAAATAAGAATGAAGTGAGTGTTTCATTCTTATATATTCTTACGTCATCAAATGTTTCAAATTCAATTATTAAGACAAGTGCCAGTTACTTTGATTGAACTGTATTGTAATAATGCAATATAAATTGACTATTCTCTGAACAAATAACGATAAGGTTAATGATTTTACGAAAATTTATACTGGTTTTATCTGGAAATTTAAGCAATTAAAATAAATTTATGTTGTATTTAATAAAAAAAAAAATACAAATTTTTGTTTTATTTACTTTAAAAAAAATAATTTTTTTCTCGTAGTCGTAAATTTCTGACGTTATATACATACATTAATATGTTAATAAAAATAAGTGCTTAATCACATCTCCAGTTAACATTAGGTTACCAAAAAATTTGAAATAAATATGTCTTTTTAAAAAAAATCCATCAATAATAACATTAGTAAAATAATAAATTAAAAAATTTTAAACTGTCAAATATAACAATATGCTGATCATCCACTAACGTAATTAGTACGGATTATTAGGAAATGTACGTATTACCTTCAAAAATATTTTTTATTTAAAAAATATCTATAAAGACTTATTATAATTTGAAATTGCTTGAAATATACAAATAAAAAAAACTATGAGCAAAAAAATTATTGTAGTAGTCCTATTGTCTTTCAACTTGTTTCCATCTGTTCTGAAGTGTATTTTTAGGAATTTAAAGTTTTTTTTTGAGATTTCTTAAAGAAAAAATGATCTCGCAAAAGGTTTTGCTTATAAAAATTGAAAAATATTAAAATTTCCGAAAAGGAGTCTAAAATAAAATTTTTGCTTAAGTCCAAAGACGATAACTTTGAGAAAAGTTAATTGGAAAAAAATTTGGTTCCGAAAAGCTAAACCATTCATTAATTTCTGTTAGATCTTAAAATCGTAAAGAAGAACGATGTCAAAAAATTTAAAAAGGAATTGGTTATAACGGTTAATTTCCGTGATGACGAAAAATTTTGTGAGAAATTGAGTGAGGTGACAAATATTTTATGGTTTTAATGTAAAATTTTAATTTAATTTTATTATTTTCATTTTGTTAAAAGATGTATGTGTACATCTATTTAAGTTAATAATTTGAATTTAGGCCAATAATTGAATTAATTATGCTAATAATTAAAATAATAATTTGAATTGAAATTATGGTCATAATTCACCGTTTCAAAATAAAAACCACTCATCTGAGATCAAAAGAAATGGAACTTCTAATGATAGTTTCCACATAATAATAATTTACAGTATAATTTTTCAGAGATTAAATAATATAAGTTTGTTTATTAATATTACATAGACAATATATTTTGGTAATTAATAGTTACAAACCTTAAGAAATAAAAAGTAATAATAACATTAGATAATTTATCAGAAAAATTGTTTTTGTTTTTATAAGATCTTATGCTACAATGATTTTTGATAATGTAAAACATATTAAGCCTTGGAAATTGTCTCTCAGTATTGTATTTCTATTAAAACAACAAATTATGTATACCTAATAAGCGAATTTTTTATACACATAATAAAACCTGTTCATGATTACGAAAACTCATAAATGATTTTGCGTAAATTTGTTGTACAGCAAAACTGAATAATAAAAAGATATTTAAGAAAATCGACAAATTTTGTTTTAATCGAATTAAAATAAAATTAATATTGCTTTCAACTGTACACAATTAAGCATTACAGCTACTTCAAAATAAACCAATTTAAAATTTAATTGTTTGATTTAATATTTTTATTGGTTTACTTAATTATATTTAAGTAAAATATCATTCAAAGTGGAAAATCAATTTGAAAATGCTACCTATTAATTTGTATTCATTAAAAATCGCGATGTTCCAAATAATCTTACGGGCAATAAAAAAAAATATTCCGGTTAATATTAAAATGAATTAATTTATTAATTAATTTAATCATAAACGTGAAACACATTGTACTTTCTAGTTTTCGTTAAAGATTCAATGTTAGTGGCTAGTAGCAATTAAAACTTTTATAAATGTATGTTGGAATGTATTATATGGCAATGTCTTTATGTTGATAAACATGCATATTAAATATAAATTTTAATCTAAATTAAAATAAAAATTTAAATAAAAACAAACATTGAGTAACTTGAAATTTTTGAATCACTAATTTTCGCTAATTTATGGTTTTATATCAAAAAAACAAAAATATTTGCATAATATTTATGTTATAGAATCAAATATTGTCAATATGAATTGTGGTAAGTAGTACTTATATTAAAATTTTTACATCATTTATTAAAATATGTAAAGTAGCTACGCATGTTATTAAGTTGTTAAAGCTTACCTTTAAATACAAGTTTTATAAACATAAGTATAACCAGATTGCATTTAATTGATAAAAAAATTATTTATAAACCAAAATATTTCCGCTTCGACAAAATATTTAAGTATGTGCGTGTTCTAGAATTCAAGGAGCAAAAACCGATCGAATAAAATAAAATTAAATTTATTAAATAGTCTCCAAATAAGAATTCGTGAAAAATGCGACATACTAAATTTAAACACCTGTATTTTATTATTATCGTAATAATAATAAAAAAAAAAATAAATTTCACGTTGTTTTAAAGTATTCGTTTTTTTTATACCTAAGTATAAGCAACAGTACTAATTTCTCACGTATATTTGCCAGATCATGTCACAACCAAGTGGTGAGTAACAACCCGAATTCGATTTGAAAATAAATATTTGAAGATTTTGAATAACAAGGAGTCCCAATGTAAACACATATTAAAAAATTTTGGAGTTCTCAATTTCAGTCAAGGGTATTTTTAACTTTGAAAACCAAAAAATAGCATTCATTTTATTGGTAGAATGAAAGGTACATGTATTACGTAATAAAATCAACAGACTTTAATTTTCTTTTATAGCATAAGTCATGAATATGAGAATTGTTACCGTTATTAATTAATTTATTAATTTTTATTCGTATGAACGTTGTTTTTGTGAGTAAATAGTTAAACACAATAAATTAAAAAAAAGCTTTTTCAACTTAAGTGTACATTGTACTAAAATTTTCGCAAAGCTATTACATAAATTCCAGATCAACTATAGAGAATTTGATGATAACATTTCAAATAATACGAGATTTAAATTTTTAGATTTTTTTAATAAGTACCTATAAAATTGTTGAGATTTTATGTAGACATACTTAAATAGGGCTTTATTAATATATATAATTGATATAAATTAAATGTAAACAAATCAAGCGACAATAAGAATAGCTGAGAAAACTTAATTTGAAATAAATTGTCATTTTATTGATTTTGTTTTGTTGCAACGCTTTTTTTGTTTTTTTTTTTTGTTATTAAAATAAAAATGCCTTACACTTCATATCACGTTTGTACTGTTTTTTTTTGGATAATGTTAATGTGATTTATTGTACTTACCTAAAGAGCAATCACCTATACGAATTTTTTCTAAATTTTTTATAACAAATTCGATAGTTCCCACAAAACCAGATGATGATCCTGAGCCTTTTAATCCTAATAAACCTTTTAATTGTGAGGTACCAATAATGACTGCTGTAGCTGATGTAAAACCAACTGTAACGGGTAATGAAATCAAATCGACAAGTGCACCTAATCTTAAAAATGCCATTAATAATTCAACTAGACCAGATAAAAAGCACAATAGTATAGCATAAGTAGGTCCAGAATTTTCACCAAGAGATGTATGTCTAGATGTCATTAAGGCTAATAATGCGGTTGGTCCTATAGTTACTTGCCGACAACTTCCTAATAAAGCGTATATAAAACCACCTATGAATGCCGAGTATAATCCATATTGAGGCTCCAAACCGGCTAAAGTAGCGTACGCTAAACCTTGTGGTAAAACTGTAAGACCAACCGTTACCCCAGCTATTAAATCTGAAACACCATCACGCACAGAATAATTTCTAAGCCATCTTATACCAGGAAATATTTTAGTTAGTTTATCAATTATTGTCATAACTCGTAATTTAAAATTGTTCTTATAGTAAAGCTGTCTATATTAATATAAATTTCATTCACTTTCTTCTTGACCAATATGCGTTTAAGTTATTTTCTTTTTCTTTTTTTTCTTTATTACAAATAATTCACCGCATATTAAACTTAATTTTATCACATAAACTAAACAAAATATTTATATTAACTAAATTTTATCGATTGTTAAAACTTTAATTTAATATATTGCTTTTATACATAACATAAAAGGTAAACACTAGAAAATTTTGTGTAATTATTACAAAGTTTTGAAATATTTTTCAAGTTCTTCAACTTAACAATGTGCCAACAAAACAAGTTTTTGTCCGCGCACAAATTTTGCTTCACTAAACTCTAAAAACATATATTTACTACAAGAAAAAAAAATAATTCACGTATTTAAGTTTAGGTTTGAAAAATAAATTGTTTATGTTTTTACTTTTCTTGCAAGTTTCGTTTATTTTTCTGCTTTTTTTTTTTTGTTTTTGCCTTTTTCTCCTTGACAATTTCGGCTGTCAATTATAAAGGGTTCGTTTAAAATTTTGAATCCGAAGTATTCATTATTATTTATTATGCTAAATTTATTTTATTTTACATTTCAAAAATTTGAAGCTAAATTGAAAAAGTTAAATTATTTTTCGATTGTTGTATACAGGCCGATACTGAAAACCACACGTTTGTTTGGTTAGTTCAATCAATAAGTTATCGAATGATGGTAAGTAACGTACATTTCCAAATTCTTATTCTCAAATACCCTAATCTTATTTTCAAATTTTTTATTTTAGCAATGTATCCAGATAGTATTTAATCAAAAATCAAAAAGTCGAAAATTATCCAAATCTTAAAAAAATTAGACCTAATTTAATGAATATATAACTGAAACACTTGCTTAATTGCTTTATTTTATTTTTTTTTTTATGATCATTTAGAAGTCATATACTTAAAAAACTAATTATCAAAAGAAGAATTTAGGAAATGAGAGTTAGTTTTTGTTCGTTGATATACTTTAAACTAAAATAATATAGACAAGGAGCGGTAAACTCTCATGCAGGCAGTATTTTTTTTAGAATTTTACTGCTAAAACGAAAGATCCAGATCCAAATATGTTTTTTTGCCTTATTTTGAAACCATTTTCAAGCAGAGTAAGTAAAGTTAGCTAATAAGACCTAATAAGAACTTTTGAGGGCTTTGACAGTAACCAGTACGTTTTTTTTTATTACACTTAGTGAGTGACTATGAATTTTTTTATTACATTATATTTGACACGAATAATAGACCCCTTCGTGAGACAAAAACTTAAAATTAACTCAATTAAATTTCAGTAAATAGTAAGATCTGACGCCAGTTTTAAATGAATTTTTTTAAGACGCTAGTTTTAAATGAATACCCTTGGTCAAAAAATTAAAATAAAATTTCTTGGTGAAAAAAACACAGTCTTTGTCTTATTGTTTTTTATTAAGATATTGAAACTTATTGTTTTTTATTAAGATAACTCAATTGAAATTTGATATGGTTTCGTGAAGGAACCCAATAATTATGTAATTATAATAATACAGAATATAAATAAACAATAAAAGTGACTTTTCAAAAGAAGCCTCAGGCGCTTTACTTGAATTTGATTCAACTTTTTGAGAAAGAGAAAAAAAAATTGCACTAAAAATAAAGCAAATTTTATTAAAAATACATCAAGTCGTCGCAATTAAATTCCATTTGTGAGAGAAATAAGAACTGTGGAAAAGAATTCGTTTTTTCATCTTGGTACTAGATGGATAGTCAAAACCGCTAGTAAAAGAAGGCAATAAGAAATAATAGTAACAGATCAATAAATTCTGAATTAAAATCCATGAAGGAATAACTTTGACTATCGCTTTTTAAAAATTTAAAATATGGCAAGACCCTGAAGTGTTTTTAGCCATTCAGTTGCTGTCAACTTGACAAATATCATTTGATCTTATTTTAATCATTTGAATTCATTAACATATTTATATTAGAAAAGAAAAGAAAAAAGATTGGTTTTCTATTTAAACGAAAAAAATTAAATTAGAATTGTTTTTATTGTTTTGGAATTGTAAATTGGCCAAATTAAAAGAATTTTGAAAAAATGACCTCATAGTGTTTTTGCAAAGTATGGTATAGTTTGATTTAACTGTTCGAAAATGGGTGCGAATGTATCACAATTAGAAAAAGAAATAGGATCGGATAGCTTTCCACCAAATGAACATTATTTTGGTTTGGTGAATTTTGGAAACACCTGCTATAGTAATTCAGTGCTGCAGGCATTATATTTTTGTAAACCTTTTAGAGAAAAAGTTTTGGAATACAAAGCAAAAAACAAACGTTCTAAGGAAACATTACTTTCTTGTTTAGCCGACCTGTTTTATAACATAGCAACTCAAAAAAAAAAAGTTGGTTCAATAGCTCCAAAAAAATTTATAGCTAGACTTCGAAAAGAAAAAGAAGAATTTGACAACTATATGCAACAAGATGCTCATGAATTTTTAAATTTTCTAATAAATCACATAAATGAAATAATTTTGGCAGAGAGAAACCAAAGTCAGAATAAGTTGACAAATAGTAGTAATAAAGAAGGTAAATGATCATGTTTTTAAATACTTTTGGGCAAAAAAATACTTAGTAAATAATTTCCATGTTTAAGGCTCATCTTCAAGTACTGAAAATCCTCCAGATCCTACGTGGGTCCATGAAATATTTCAGGGAATTTTAACAAGCGAAACACGATGTTTAAATTGTGAAACTGTTAGTAGTAAAGACGAACACTTTTTTGATTTACAAGTTGATGTTGACCAAAATACGAGTATTACACATTGTTTACGATGTTTTAGTAATACAGAAACATTATGTAGTGATAATAAATTTAAATGCGATGTTTGCTGCAGTTATCAAGAAGCTCAAAAACGTATGAGGGTTAAAAAATTGCCAATGATATTGGCATTGCATTTAAAACGCTTCAAATATATGGAACAGTATAACCGTCATATTAAAGTTTCACATCGTGTTGTATTTCCATTAGAGTTAAGGCTGTTTAATACATCAGATGATGCGGTTAATCCAGATAGGTTATACGACTTAATGGCTGTTGTAATACATTGTGGATCTGGACCAAATCGTGGACATTATATTAGCATTGTTAAAAGTCATGGTTTGTGGTTGTTATTCGATGATGATATGGTTGATAAAATTGAAGCATCTAGTTTAGAAGACTTTTACGGTTTAACTTCTGACATACAGAAATCTTCTGAAACTGGTTATATATTATTTTATCAGTCTCGTGATTGCGTGCAGTAAAAATAGAATTTAGGAAGATGTTTTTACTTTAAGTGTTTCTGTACTAAAAAAATTTAGCCGTTAATATAGTTGAATAAACTATAATTTTATTAAAAAAAATTAGTAATACTCTTATATCTACTTTGTATAATTCTAATTATCACAACCGGACTGTCAAAAATTTTTTTAAGGTGAATTTCCAATCATTTAATTGAAAATAGATTAGGCTACAATATAATTTCATGCCAAATTTCAAAAACTTTACCAAAAGAAGTCCAGTTTAAAACAAACTATTTTTTTATTATTTAACTTACAACGTATATGTAGATATAGTAACGTATATTTAGTTACAACGGACATGTAGATATAGGAAACCAATTTTTTAGTCTTAATATTCAAAACAAGAAAAGGTAAATTTGCAAAATTCGAATCAATAAAATTTAATATAAAACAAAAATCCATTATGAAAAATTTGACATTAAAAATGCTAAAAACCTAACAATGATAATAATTAGTGAGTACAATACAATTGCTTATTTGTAAATGACATTTTCTGTGCCGTCTCGATACGATACCGCTACATTTTTTTATACTTTTTGTATTGGTTTTAGCATTACAAGAAGTGTTATTTTAGCACTGAATTATTAATTGTTTGAAAACACCGTACGTTTCGAAAATTAAATATGTATGTATGTATGTATTCGCGATTCCATTCGTATTTTCTCTTTCATCAAAATTTAAGACTGATGTTTCATTGGGTTTATCGCACATGGACGTCTAAATTTTTAAAAATTTAAAAAATATATTTTATGCTTTTTTTATGTAATTTATAAAAAAAAAAACAAAAAAAAAGATTGCGTGCTACGATTGAATATTTGTGTGATAAACTTTTGTCTTCAAATTTCCATTACTGTATAATTGAGAATCGTTCATTTCTACGACTTAAGCATTTCGCAAACAAAGTTTTAATAAATAGAATAGAGAATGTGAAATTTGCGGTTTCTTACGAAGTCCAATTCCGTCGTACAACTTAAAAAAACTTTGTTAATGAAAATTGTCATATTAAAATATGTTTGTTTGTATATTTGATTCTAGTGTAGTCATTACTAATTGCACTCATCGATTAATTCTGAGAATGGAACATGTGAACGAGATATCGATTTTCGAATATTTTTAAATTCTGTAAACATTTGCAGTGAAATAAAAACAGAAAAAATAGTTTTGACATACATAAGCAATCTCCAAATGTGGAGATTCAAGTTGTCAATCAGAAACATGTTTTTATTTTTTCTAAGTTGCTTTGCAGAATACGAAATTCTGCCTACAAAATTAAATATAAAATCAAATTTCCTAAATCAAAATAATCATATCATATTCTAAAAGGAGAATAAGTAAGTAGATTAGTTAGTCATTATGTGCAAATTGTATTTTTTACCATATTGATTTACATTCTTTTAAAAATTCATTTTCAATTAATAAAAATCTACTGATATATATGTACATGCACATTTATCAAATCAGATTTCATTCTTTAGTTTTTTTCAATGCTCATGTTATTAGCTGCAATCGCTGCTAATATATTTTCGTCTTTACATTCCAGATAAGAATTAATTAGCCTATTACTAAAAATAGTGTCTTCTTCCTTTTTTTTTATTTCGTCGAATGGAGTCCAAGTTAAATCGTTTTCATAACGGAAACTATTTACAAATTTGTCTTTACACGATCCATTCCAATCCTGCAACACATCTGTATAAAATTTGTGCAATATACATATATCTATAAGAGTCTTACTTCTGGTGATAACAAACTAAAATATTTAATGCCAGATGATTTTTCATAAAGATGGTAAATTTGTCCAGGCTTCTTAATAAAATTACATGGCACGTGATTCAATTCGTTATTCTGATCCATTTCAGTTAATATAGTTTTCGCTTGCATTTGTAACATTCTTATCTAAAAATTTGCGTTAAAGATTATTTATGAAGTTTCTTTTTTGAAAACAAGCTTACTTGATCTAAAATAATTGCTAACTTCCCCGACGTATGTGTCCTAATATTTTCATCCGCTCTTTGAATATGTTTGGCTAGTTCTATTATATCCTGAGATTCGTGTAAAGCGGATCTATGTTTGTTTACTAAGTTTACACCACAAGGTACAACATTTCTCTCCACCAAATTCACTATTAGAGTAATATTCAAGCATATTTAGTTTGTGTTCAAAAACGATTTAAAACAAATTATGTACCTCTTTTGAGCGCAGTATTATAATCAATTTCATTTGCATTTGACATTCTTTTCATTATAAAATTACTGACCCATTTAATTACTGATATTAATTTCAGACTAAATAAAACCAATAATTTAAAATATTAAAAATTAAAATAGCACGATTTTCAGCTGAAATTGACACTTGACGTTATGTAGAGTGGTAATGAAAGAGTGAAGTTTAGAAAGAATAATAAACAGAAATTTTGATACCTACAGAAATATACATACATATTTCGAAATTCACTTTTCAACTATTTAAATTCGTAATTATTGCCATATGAACAAGTATATTTTCGCTAGCTTTGTCTATAAATTTATTGTTCCCCAAACATCTAAAATTATGAAATTTTTTCTAATTCTAACAAATTAGATAAGGGTAAAGGGTAGCTAGGTACTTACAAAGCACTTACATATGTATGTATTTATGTATGTATGAATGTGCGTTACTTTAATTTTTTAGAGGAATGCTTTTTCAATTTTTATTTCTTTTAAATAAATTTCGCAGTTTATAATAATCAAATAAATATTTCAAAACTAAGAAAAAGTTAATTGAAGTATTTACATATATACATATGTATGTACATATTTAATTAGTTTCCCTATAACAAAAATTAAAACCTATAATGTTATACATTTGTACATACACACATACATATGTAAATGTAAGCCTTCAAATGATAATTAAATATGTAAATATTTAAGAACTGTTTGATTTTTTAAAAGATTTAAAATTTGAAAATTCGTTTTATTACTTCAGGGAAATTTCAACAAAATATGCTTTACAAAGTATCAAAGCGAACATTTTCATCAATTAAAAATTATTTTTATACAACGACTCCAATATTTTATGTAAATGCTGCTCCACATATTGGACATCTATACTCTGTTGTTCTATCTGATGCGATTGCACGTTATGAAAAGTTGAAAAATCCCGATACTTATATTAAATTTTCTACTGGTACTGATGAACATGGAACCAAAATACAGCACGCCGCTACAAATCACAAGATTTCACCACAAGAATACTGTGACGATATTTCACAAAAGTATAAAAGCACTTTCAAGTTGGCAAATATAAATTATTCGGACTTTATTAGAACAACTGAAAGTCGTCATATAGAATCAGTACAAAGTTTTTGGAACGTCCTTAGATCAAAAAATGTAATATATTCGGACCAGTATTGCGGATGGTACTGCGTTTCCGACGAAACTTTTTTAACTGATTCACAAATGAAAATAAATAGCGATGGTAGTCGTATTTCGATAGAATCTGGTCATCCTTGTGAGTGGACTGAAGAATCCAACTACATGTTTATGTTAAGTAAATTTCAAGAGGATGTAGTTCATTGGATAAAATCGGGCAATAAAATCAAACCCGAAAAATTTGAAAAAATACTTTTAGATTATTTAACGGAACCGTTACCAGATTTATCAATTTCAAGGCCTACATCGAGAGTACATTGGGGTATAACTGTACCTGAAGATGACAGTCAAACTATATACGTATGGTTAGACGCATTGGTAAACTATTTAACATGTATAGGATATCCAGCAAAAAATTTTGAAAACCATTGGCCACCTAATGTTCAAGTTATAGGAAAAGATATTTTAAAGTTTCACGGAATCTATTGGCCAGCATTTTTGATTGCTGCAGGATTAGATCCGCCGAATCAACTTTTTGTCCATTCGCACTGGACTGTAGATGGTCAAAAAATGTCAAAAAGTAAATTTAACGTGGTCGATCCTGTAGAAAGGTCACAATATTATACAATGGAAGGAATAAGATATTTTCTACTACGTGAAGGAGTAGCTCATAGTGATGGAAATTACAGTGATACCAAATTGCATCGAATATTAAATTCTGAATTAGCAGATACTCTTGGCAATCTTTTATCAAGGGCATGTGCAAAGTCATTAAACCCAAAACAAATATATCCAAAAATCGATGAGAAAGCTTTTAAAGACTTAATACGATTAAATTTTACGAGAAACTTAGTCGAATCTGTCGTTTTTCTGCCGCAAAAATGTTTTAGTAATTATGAATCGTATAATTTTTATTTAGTTATAGATGAAATAATTTCAGCTTTACATGTAGCTAATAATTTCTTTGAAAATTGCAAACCATGGGAATTGAAGAAAGATTTTTCACATTACAATGCTTTAAAATTGGAAACAATAATTGCATTAACTATGGATGTTTTAAGAATTTCTGGAATTTTACTGCAGCCTATTATACCAGATATGAGTGAAAAACTATTGAATAAATTATCTGTTCCATTCAATAGTCGCTCTTGGAAAGATACTTTACATTTATCACAAAACAACAAAGATAATATACCAAGTTGTGAATCTTATGTTACCAATCGAGAAAAAAAATATCCAAACATTGAAAAAAAATTATCAGAATTAGATGCAGTTTTGTTTAAAAGGATTTTAATCAAAAACAAAGATAATGACAAGAAAGATATTATAAAAAATAAAATTAAGAAAGTAAAATAAACACAAATTTGTTTGCTAATTTAAATTTATTTGTATTGAGAATATTAGTTTTAGTAATAAAGTTGTTGAGAATTCCTAAAATAGTAAATATTTGAATTTGCTAAGTTCAAAAATTTATTGAACACAAAAGAAAATGCTTGAAAATTATATGTAGATATGTATGTATGTAGGTATGTATTTATATTACGACTCGTTTTGAAATTTAAACGGATTTCAGACAAAACATTATCGATTCGTTCTTAAATAATTAAGAGGCGCATAAAATACCTACATACATATATTAAAAATCATGAAAGAAAATGAATGTACAATATAGAAAGAATTTTCAATACACCAAAATACTACTAATTGCTTTATTATTGAAAAATTTAGTAAATAAAATACATATAACTTTTTGATGGAAACTTTAAATGTGGAGAATTAATCGTGAAAAATTAAAAGATTAATTACTGATCAGAAAGGTTATTACTGATACTACCGTAATCACATGTTCTTAAAATTTAAGAAACATCAAAACTTAATTTCTGATTATGGTGTACATAATGTACATATGTATGTGTTGTTCACTATATACACACCTACAAGCATATAATTGTAATAAAAGATTAACCGAAACTAATTCTGAATGTATGAGGAGAAAACAAAGTCATAAAGCGAAAATTTTCTTATCAGTAGTACGAAATTCAAAACAAAATTCTGTAAATCGTGCGCTAACTTACTCGAATAAGAACTAAATTCTGTGAGATAATAGGTAATAAGAATCTTCCACTATACTTATGTGCTATTACCTCATTTTACATTAAGAAGGTATTATGTTACATGTTATGTGTATGTGTACGTATGTGTATGAATTTATTCGTAGGGGTATAACTAAATAATCCAAGTCGAACATTTATCTCAATAATGACTTTGACAAGCGTCATTGATTTATTTGAAATGCTAAAATTATCAATAAATTTAAATACATCTATTTTTAGTTCTTATTTTGTTGTCATCAGTAACACATTTCATTTCATTTAAAGTCAATTTATATAATTACTTCGACTCAGTTTTTTACATTTTTAACGTAGATTATTGGAAAAAATATTTTTATTTATAACACTAAAGACCATTAGCTTGCATATATATGCATATAGATATTAATATTTAATATTGTTGCATTTTAATTTATATTAAATATAAATTAAAATAATATTTATTTTTTTTTAATTTTTTATAGAACTTTTTTAAAATGATAACACAGCGTTGCAATACCATCTATTATCTTATAGCAAAAACAAAATCGATTTCTTTAAAAACATTGGCGTTTTCGTCATCTACAATAAATTGTCGTAATATTTATTCCACAGCAACATTGAATGCAACAATAGTCTTAGAAAAACGATCATCAGAAGCAGATCGACAACAAAATAAAAATAGTAAAATAAATATTCTACTAAATAATAACATCAAGTCTAGTTTAATTATTAGAAATTTATCAACAAATAATAATTTTATTAATTTAAATAAAATGTCTGGAAATGCTAAAATATTACACTCAACATTAGAAGCAATTGATCCAGAACTTTTAAAATTGATTCATAATGAAAAACAGAGGCAAATTCGTGGCTTAGAAATGATTGCCAGTGAAAATTTTACATCACTTGCAGTTTTAGAATGTTTAGGATCATGTTTGCATAATAAATATTCGGAGGGATTGCCTGGACAAAGGTAAGAATATTGGGGCTGAAGTTTTTTATTCCAATATAAAAAGTTATACATACATAAATATTTATAATTAGTTAATTATACGGTGTTAAATAAAACCACATGTTGCTGTAAGCTTTCATTTGAGTGTAGGATATCAATACATATTGAAAATAGTATGCATATACATACATATGTATATATGTCATGTTTTGGTTTCGTCATTATATGCTATAAATTTAATTAAAATTATATTACGTGTGAGTATTATGCATTTTTTTTTTGGGAATCAAAATAAATTTTACATTTTAGTTTTCCGCAAATACATATAGTCTAGTTTTAATAATACATAATATAATTTCTCGAAAACATATTTGGCTTAAATAAAAAAAAAAATTAAATTGGGATTTTAATAAGCCAAATGAAAACAATTAGATATACATATGGACACATTATGTACCTACATAATATCAAGCCACAAAGAGGCTCCAGAACACTAAAGGCTCGGCTACAAATAATATTCATAAATTCTAATGTTTCTCTTGTAAGATTTAGATTTGAAGAAAAAGAAACTGGTATCTACTCACTAATATTCCGATACTGATCATATTTTATTTTCTATTCAAATATTTGAACTATTTTTCATGAATTTATAGAAAGTTTTGCATAAATTAAAAATCGAAAAACTCGTTTACTAATTCTTTTTAATAGGTATATTATATCTGCATATAATCTGCTTTTATCTGCTAACTTTTGTGTAGACACAAGATGCATTAGTATTCTTGATATAAAACATTTTCAAGAAAAATATAACATTAAGTTTTAAATATTCGATTAAGAGGACATATTTAAAACTTTTGTAACCGCTTCGTCTTCGGATATCGCATAATATATTTTATATTATCATACTTATGTTAATATAAGCAGGTACATATGTATTTCCGATTTTGTTGATCAATTGCTTCATTAAAAATTATTTCCAAATCATTCTAGTATACATTGTACGTATGTACATACATATGTATGTAAGTACATAAAATAGTTAAGGTGTTACATTTTTTGACATCGTCTTTCAAAAAATTTATATTGCAAACAACAACTAAACTGATGAACATTTAAAAACAAACTTACACATTATCATTGCGACCAAAAAAAAAAACAAAAATATTTAATGAAAACATACATAATTATTTTTAAAATTATTCATGATAACCTTTATGACCGCTCGAAGTTAAAAAAACAAGAGCTGCTGTATTTAATCTACATGGAGCTACATAGTATATATATACAAAATGCAAGAAGAAAAATAAAGTCATACATGCATTGATAATAAATTCATAAACATAAGTATAGATATTGTATGTATTATTTAATTTTAGAAAGTTATCAAATTTTCATAAAAATATTTTCCAAAATGCAACATTTTTTTTAAAAATGATAAAGATTTATAATATGCACATACATATGTATTTATAATAAATAACATTAATAAAATTTTTTATACAATATTTTCAGATATTATGGGGGCAATCAATTTATCGATCAAGTTGAATTATTAGCACAAAAGCGTTTATTAGATTTGTATAAATTGAATCCAGAAGAATGGGGGGTCAATGTTCAACCATATTCCGGTTCCCCAGCTAATTTTGCTGTTTATACCGCCTTATGTGAACCACATGGAAGAATTATGGGACTTGACTTACCCGATGGTGGTCATTTGACTCACGGTTTTATGACAGCGACAAAAAGAATTTCAGCAACCTCAATATTTTTTGAAAGCATGCCATACAAGGTTGATCCAAAAACTGGTTTAATTGATTATGACAAATTAGAAGAAAGTGCTAAATTATTCAAACCAAAATTAATTGTTGCTGGTATTTCATGTTATTCCCGTTGCTTAGATTATGCAAGATTTCGAAAAATTTGCGATGATAATGATGCATATTTAGTATCAGATATGGCTCATATATCTGGTTTAGTCGCAGCTGGAGTAATACCATCGCCATTTGAATTTTCAGATGTTGTTAGCACAACCACTCATAAAACATTACGTGGTCCAAGAGCTGGTGTTATATTCTTCCGCAAAGGTGTACGACGTGTAAAACCAAATGGAGAAAAAGTATTGTATGATTTGGAAAACCGTGTAAATGCCGCTGTATTTCCAGGGTTACAAGGTGGTCCGCATAATAACACAATCGCTGGAATTGCTACAGCAGCTTTACAAGCTCAATCCCCAGAATTTGTTATGTATCAAAAACAAGTTGTTAAAAATGCACAACGTTTGTGTAATGGTTTAATTAAAGCGGGTTATTCAATAGCCACTGGCGGCACTGATGTGCATTTAGTTTTAGTTGACTTAAGATCGACTGGAATCTCTGGAGCAAAAGCAGAATATATTCTAGAAGAAATATCAATTGCATGCAATAAAAATACTGTACCAGGAGATAAGTCCGCGTTAAATCCTTCCGGTATCCGTTTAGGCACCCCAGCTTTAACAACAAGAGGGCTTACCGAAGAACATATTGATAAAGTTGTCGAGTTCATTGATCGTGGAATTAAATTGGGAAAAAAAATATCTGATATTTCTGGTGTCAAATTGATTGATTACAAAAATGTGATTCACTCGAATGCTGAAATTGTTGCCGAAGTTTCAAATTTAAGAAAAGAAGTGGAAGAATTTAGTGCACAATTTCCTCTGCCTGGTTTCTCGGATTATTGAAAGGAAATTTGCCATCACTTTAGTTTTTAAGAAAATAATAAACGAAATAAAGTGCTTTTAAAAAATACACTGAAAATTACTTTGGTCTTCTCATTTTACTTAATTTAATTATTTGTCTAGTATTTTAAAAGTACTCGAATTTAATGTATGCCAAATTTAAGTAGTATTTTTACACAATTAAGGGATTTTTCACTTAAACTTCCAAATCTATTGTATAATTACATATACGACTGTGCAAAATCTAAATAGCCTTGCTCTTGCAGATTTGTTTGATATTTTCCAGCATTTGACAAAAATATGTTATACAAATACATAGTCAAACCAGTATTGTAAGTATATAAAATCATTGATTTTGATATTTGCATGCTATGTTAAAATAAATCACCTAGCACTTCTGAAAATATATATATGTAGTTACATTTATTATTTAAAAGGGAAAATAAAAAAAAGATTTTCTTTTAACCTTTGATTGCAAACACATTTAATATACAACTTTATATAAATATTACAGAAATTTTTTATTTCCAATTTTTTTATATTTTCTTGTTTACATAGAGTTAAAATTTTACGATTTGTTTCTATCGTTCTTCCTTTTGAAAGAATTAATAATTATTTATTAGAATGAGCAATAGAATTAAGTTTTGAATCCGTTAAGTTTTTGTGCTTTATGTAAAAGTTAATTTGGTTTGATATTTAAGTTGAATTGAATTTTCATAAATGCACTTCATAATTAACGCCTAAATTGATTTCAAAATTAAAATATTTGTTTAAATCAAGAATAGATTTAATGGATATAAGTTTCACGTTGACGTTGATTTTTATTGCTTTTTATCATTTTCAATCAATAATGTTTTTCGTATCTATTATATAAGAAATCTTAGTGGTTTTAGTTGTTAAACCAAAAATTTAATTATTTGACATAATTTAAAGGTTTCGTTTATCGAATGCAAAAAATATTGACACATTTTTTGTTTATATAAATATGAAATTTATATGCATGCATTTCAAATTTTACAAATAATTTAAATATTTTTTATAACTAAATTTATTATATACAATCAATATTCCTCCTAGTTCATATTTCCTAATAAAAAAAAGCATGTTTAAATACATAATTTGTTTTTAAAAAAAAGTTTTTAAGGAGGAACACTATTTAAATATTTAATAAAAAGATGGGGAAAAAAATTGGCATATAAATTTGTTAGAAGACTTCTGTAAAAGTGATTTTGTTAAAATATCTATTTATTTAGTCTAGATCAATTTGAAAATGAGATTCTTTCGGCTGAGGTGAATAAAATTTAGCCAATTTAAATTCTTTCATGTTGTGTGTTTCATGTGTAAATCTTATAATAGAATATTTTTTATAATTGAATACTATTTTTTATTTTATTTTATATAATTACAAAAATTAAAGTATATCATATTTTGAGGAGAATTAATTATTTAGCGAACTATTTTAAAGTATGAGATTATGTTTAGCTTAGAATTTAAGTCGCATATATACGTCTGTTAATTACTAACATAAGTAATTTAATAAGAATGTTTTACATACATACATATATTACGTCATTTATATTTCAATATAATGCATTCATTTGTTGGGAAAAAAACCTTTCTAATTCTATGTTCATTCTTTTTAAATACGTTTATATACTAATTTATATAATTATAAAAATAAATTTGATACAAACTATAAGCTTATTTTTTTATAACTGAAAAAATTGGACTTTCTTTTTATTACTGGTTCAAACTACAACCTAAAAAAATGTCTTTTTTAATAATTTCGGATTTTTAAAAATATTTAAATATAATTATGAGATAATTTACTTTTGACCTACATATAAATTGGTAATTTTTTTACATAACATAAAAATTATAAAACAATGAAACAATGAAATTATATATTATTTAAAGTATTTTTAATGTATGTATATCTAAATTTATATATACTTTTAAAATCAAAAAAAGTATTATTAAATTTTTAATAAATTTGTTAAGAAATTAAAATTAAACCTACTTGAGTAGGATATTTCAATAGTGCTTGTTATATGAGAATTAATTGATTAAAAAAAGATACTTATTTTCTGCTACATGTTAAAATGTATACATAAAATAATATATATATATATATATAAATGCAGAAAAAGGTTTTTCAAAAAATTAACGAAGAAATCATTTTTCTAACACTTTCATTATTCGAATTTGTACTACATATTACGTCTGTGTCAGATTCTTCTTCAAAACTATTTTCCTGTTGTATCAATTCTAATTGCTCTAATAATATTTCTTCAATATTTTCTGCATTAATATCCACTGGTTCAATTTTAGCAACTTCTAAATACCTGTAACCCAAAAAAAAAAATTTTTTTAAGTACGTAGAGGCTCTTAAAATTCAAATATTGTTTAATTTACTTAGCCTGTTTATATTTTTCCTGTATGGCTTGTTGCTGTAAAGTTTTTGAGGAATTATGACTACGACATAAATGCACTATAATTTCTTTTAATTGAAAAAGATCATAGCTGGAAATTTTTTTCAATTCATTATCCCACATTGGTAAATCCAAAGTAAATCTAGCTAGTGCAACAGAAGCTGAAGAAATTTGAGAAGGAAGATATTTTAAATATGGGTCCCCTTCCAAAAGAGCCAGCTCGGCCAAATACTAAAATCAAAATATTAATATTTTGTATTGTATCGTATTTGAAAGTTGAAACAATAAATTTACTTACGGTGGCAAATAATCTCACTTTGTCCGACATACTATATAAAACAGCATATGTATTTATATATACGTAACTAGTTGGACCAGATAAATCAAAATCTAATATCCTCAATAGAATTTGTTCCATTCGTAATACTTGAGTTTTCGTGTAAGTGTCATCGGTAATAAAAACAAATTCTCCAACATCTGGCGGATAAATTTCTTCATATTTGCTAATAAAAAAAAAATATTGCAAAAATTAAATACATCTTAAAAACTTTAAATATATTTACGCAGCAATAAACATTGCAGCTGTTCCAAGTAACTGTAATTTTGCTCTAACAACGCACATACAACTTAAAAATCGATCAATGTACGATATGGCTAAGAACAATGTCTCAGTATTTAATTTGTACTCTTCAGATACTTCAACTAGCCAGTCAACAAGAATAGTGCGCATTGTATAGTTAATATCCGCTTGACGTTTCATATACCCAGGCTTAGGTCTGCTTCGTTTCTGATTTAAAAATATTATAAATGGAAGAAATTTAGATTTTTCTTTTGTACTTACTTCAGCATCACGGAAATATGATAAAATATCATCTTGATACTCTTCAACTTCATAAAAACGCTCACGATCGTTTCTGGGTTTTTTCAATAATTTACGCTTTTCTTCTGAAACTAAATCTTGAGCAACCGGTGCAATTGAATCATCGATTACAGCAGCAATAGAATCATCACCAATAATGTCAATTTGACTAATTGATGATTTATCAACCGACATAGGTGACGAAAGAATATCAGTAACTGACATTGGAGTATCAGAACCAGATTCATGTTTAGTTATGTCTTTCAAAGGATCTCTAAGAAAAAAGAAAAAAAGAAAAATATAATTAAATAATTTTTACAGTAAATATATCAAGAACTAATTTAAGTATAAATTATAACTTAGTATACCAAATTGGTGTTAGGTAAAAAGTTAATTTTACTGCTGCTTCTCGATAACACTAAAAAAAAGTCACACTGAAAAGTATTCTAATGATAATATTTTATGCACTTACATTCGAATTTTTTTTCAATAAAAATAGTTAAACCGTAAAAAGACGTCATACTTCATTTTTTTTATAAAATATGTAATTTATGTATAAAAAACACATAGTACTAATTTGTTAGTTATTTTAACAACTTTTATAGAGATGCGAATGGAATAGTAAATTTTTTTAATATATATATATATAAATATATACATATAAAATATTCAGTCACGTTATAATGTTTGTTTGTTTCTTATTTCTATGTTAGTAGGTATATATATGAAAAAAAATTTGTATTCTGATGCTTGATGATAAAAAAAATTATTTCGTTATAAAAGGAAAATTAAAATTTAAAAAAAAATTAAAAATAACAGAAAAAAAGAAAAATAAAAACCGGATAAAGGCTTTGAAGTAGCAATTCTCTGATATTGATCGTCGAATTTTATTTCATTTCAAATTAATAAGAGTGTGTACCTAGGATAGATTCTATTCCAATAATTCCAATAATTCCTACATCAAATAAATATTTGATAAATATTTGATTTTATTATTCCTAATGGAAATAAATATTTCATATTATTAAAAAACCAAAGGAGACATGTTTTTTACATAAGAACAAATGTACCCTTCACAATTTTATGAGAGAACTGTTGCTCAGATCAATCATAAAGCATCATGCTAAAAAGATCATTAAAACAGAAATTGTCATTCAATACTCCAAAAAAAAAAATTAATTAAAAATATTGTCTTTTAATATGTAGAAGTTAATTAATAATATTGTCTTCGAAAATGCAAAAAATACTTAATAACGATGAAGTGAAATATTAGAACAATCTGTTAAAAAATACAAGATCAGTGAAAAATTTATAGAAAATTACAAAACATTTTTCAGTAAGTAATTATATATATATACTTTAAAAATTTAATGATTTTAAAAGATTTTTAGGCATGTAATTTTAAAATGAAATTGGAATATGGAAAGTAAACTAAAAAATAAATTTTGAGAAACTTTATTTATGGGGAAAATAAATTTTGAATTAAAACTTGCAACAGTATACAAAGAGTTTCAAATTAAGCAAGATTACTGTCATATGAATAAAAGAAATAAATTTTTATTTTTCAATTTTAAAATATGAAAAGAATTAATGCACTTCTGATAATTTTATTAAGTGCACAATGTTTTGCTTTGGATAACTATTCAGGTAATTAATGTAACAATTATGTATTGAAAAATATTAAAAATTTCATGTGATATAATATTATTTCTGTTATTTTTGGATTCAGGGAAGAATGAAATCAAAAGAATTGTAAAAAGGCAAGTAAATCAAGAAGTTTCTAAAGTGAGTAGAAATTCAATATATTAAAAAATAAAATGTTGATATTGATCAGAAATGAATGAGAAGACAAAAAAAAATCGATCTGCTTGGAATAAAGTTCAAAATAATTCGTGATTAATTAAAAAAAATAAAAATTTTAAATTGATTCAAATATATTCGGAGAAAAAGTTTTATACTGAACCGAAGGAGTTTTTTTTTTGTCTTCTAGTCAAACTTGGAATTATATTAATTATGTTTATATGTATAAAATTTTTCAACTCTGTTTCATCAATTAACTACAGAGCGCTCAATATAAAACATGTACCGTCCCTAATGGCTCAAAAGGATTTTGTGTTCCAAATAACATTTGCAATTTGCCGCCAATTAAAGATGATATATGGAAAGCTGTAGGGTACTTTTGTGTATTAGATAATGAGTAAGATTTAATTGATTCATTCATTAAAATGTACAAGTCAATATTATGTATGTATTAAATTTCAAATGCATTTTATATTTTTTTTATAATAGTTCAATTGGAGTTTGTTGCTCCCGTACTCGTTATTCAAACTTTACAAGTCCAGAAATAGCAAATAGTGTTAATGTACCAAGAAATACTGACAATGAAGGTACAACCCAATTTAGATCCGACCAGCGAGGTTGTGGATTAACAACAAAACAATTTCCGCGGATAATTGGAGGCAGACCAGCGGAACCTGAAGAGTGGCCATGGATTGCAGCAATAATTCGACGTGGTTTCCCATATGTTTTTTGTGGTGGTGCATTAATTAGTGATAAACATGTACTGACGGCTGCCCATTGCACTAATAAAATTGAAAAAGAGTTATTTGTTCGATTAGGAGAGTATGATGTTCGACAAATAAATGAGACAAGATCGAGAGATTTTCGTATAGCAAATGTCAAACAGCATATTGATTTTGATCCAATTACTTATGAAAATGATATCGCAATAATAGTATTAGAAAGATCAACAATTTTCAATTCGTATATTTGGCCTGTATGTATGCCGCCACTGGAAGAGAATTGGGAAGGTTGGAATGCAGTTGTTATTGGTTGGGGAACACAATATTTTGGAGGGCCACGTTCAAATATTTTGATGGAAGTTTCAATTCCAATATGGGAACAACAAAAATGTAAAGATACCTATGAAGTATCATATCGTATTGGTGAAAATGTTATCTGTGCTGGAGATGTAGAACGTAATTTAAGTTTAAAAAACAATGAAACTTCATTTTTTATATTATATTCTTTTTTAGAAGGAAAAGATTCATGCCAAGGTGATTCAGGTGGTCCACTTTTAGTTCAACTACCTAATCGTCGTTGGATTGTTGTTGGTTTAGTTTCTTGGGGTTATCAATGTGGAGATAAGAATTATCCAGGAATCTATACACTTGTAAACAAATATATATCTTGGATTCTTGATAACACATCCAACTAAAATATATCATTCAAATGAAATTTAATCCAATTTAAAACTTCAAAAATCTTGAAAATAAAATGAGGTACTTTCTTAACTTATAAAAAGCCTTATAATTTTATAAATTTATTGTTTAGGGCATTCATCAAACTCAACATAAATACTGGAGCTAAATCCCATTTTTAAACAAAATTTGCACAGTTAGTTTTCGTTTTAACTTTTTATATACTACTTTATTGGCTAAATGTATTATAAGTTTGCGTAGAGATTATTGCAATCGAAATCTATAGAAACTGATCATATTTTTATTTGAATATTTAAAAAACTTGCCTGTTAAATTTTTGATTGATACATTTAATATATTGAAAATTGATGGAATATACCTTACAGACATTAAGTGGATCAATGAAAAAACTCATATTTACATGATCAAATTATTTTTTATGAAATAAGATACTATGTATCTACCGATTTTCTTTTTCAAACCCTTCTTCTGTTTATATAGTAAGTAGATAGACATACATTGCGCGTATTATATTAGCACGGAGCCAATTAATAGCTAAGAAAAGTGGATTTCTTATAAAATACATCTTTATGAAATTTGAAAGGGTATGCACATTCTAGTTCCTCCATCAACGCCAAAATATAATTTGTTTTAATTTTTAGCAAAAGAAATATAATCAATTTCAATTAAATTTGCACACGAAAGTGTATATATGACATGGCAATAACAATATATTGACGTACAAGAATGAAAGCCATTATTGATTCTACTTGGATAAAATAAAAACCCTTAAAAATCCTATTGCAAAAAAGTATATGTTTAGGTGTGTATCTAAAATTCAGTTTCGCAAACACATTTTTATAGTCTACCTGATCTTACCTTTTTACATATAACATTATTCTTTATTTTTTTTTGTCAAACTCAACAAAAGAAAATTGTTTTACCTGAATCGGAAAAAAAAATCGCGCGTTTTACAAAAAAATTTGGGGTTTTTATATGAAATAAAATTTTGAATGGTATAAATCTTTTTGAAGAATAATATAATTTAAATTTTTTAAAAAATTCTTGTTGTAAAAGTTAAATAGATCAAATCAAGCGTATAAGCACAAATTTATATAAAATTTTTTACCTTATTGCACCCTCTAAGTTATTTGCACTTTCATCCAAAGTTTTTTTGTTTTTAACGTTGGTTTTATCGGAAATTTCAGTATTTTCAGAAGAGTCGTCCTCGTAAACAGTAAAAATTTTCGATTGTTCGATTGAAATTGCAGTCGAAGAAGCCTGATGATTAACAGTGTTTTCAACCGTCGTCCTTTTAGTTTGAACGCAAATTGCTCCAGTTCCATAATTTTCGGCTCCCCCAATTACTATCGAAGTTTGCTTTTGTTGCTTAAAAACATTTTGTTGGTAGGTTCCCGATAATTTAACATCCGCAAACGCCTATAATTTTATATTTTATGTACAATAGAATCAATAATTTTTGCTAAAAAAGTGATCTAAATCATGGTTAATAAAGTCAATTACGTATTTTCAAGTTATTATGTGCAAAGTTATAAATAGTAACTAACAATTTTAAATTTTAATATTTAGAATTTATAATTAACTGGCCATTACTCTAACTGTAAAAATTATTCTCAATAAAAATCAACATTTCTAAAGAATGACAATATTAGTTTGAATAAACTAAATTCAATTAGCCACATACTTAAGAATTTTAGCGATACATGGTTGGAAAATTCCAACTAGTAATAAAAATGGCTACTATTTAATATAAATTACCGTTTTTCCTCCTTGAAGTGCCCTTGCTTGATTAGACAAATTGCTTAATACAGCAAGAGTTGATCTTTTGTCTTTATTAGTTATTGCATTGCTAGATTTGGATCCAGCGGCTATTGGGTGATCAATATTTTCTTTCTCATCATGATGTATTTTGAATGTCGCCATACTTTAAAATATATCAATTATGTACTATTGTAGATATACTGATTTATATTTATTTTATTATGATCAAAAATCGAAATTTTAAAAATATGTTTTATTTTTTTACACTTCTACGGAAAATAAATTATAAAAAATTTACAAGTAATTCAACGCGCACTAAACTTAATATGTATGACGGCACAAAAATTAAAATTTATTTCAAATAAACTGCATTTTAATATTAGTTTTTTTTTTTAATTAGTTGCGAGATATATTTACATAAGTTTTTTAAATTTTAATTTAATTTACAAAAATTACTTCTTGTAATATTTTTCAATGAAATGCTTGATCGCAAATGTTCTGATGTCTTGATTTTGTTCAGTTATTTTAAAAACAATATGATGGAAGTTGCCAATTTACAATAAAGTATAACCTATGCTAGTTTCAAAATAATTTTGTATGAATATAATTGGAGTTTTACTATATGGTAATGCTTTAATTAGAGTTTATCAAGCAGCTGGCGCAAATTCAGAAAGAGAGTGAAAATTTTCTGGCGCGCAGGTTTACTCTTTCTTTCTTAAATTTATGAATACGTCCGAAATATTGAATATTTGATTGACACTGGTTACGTTCAGAAAATGATGTCATGTGCTATTCCACTATTCCGGAGATTTCAAATTATTGTTACACTTCCTGATGTTAAATATGTACATAACCAAAAAGTTTAAAGTACCAAAAAGATGTACTTTAACTCCAAAAGGCTACGTTAATTTTTTTTTTAAACTATAATACACCTGATCATAGAAATTTGAATCAGGTTGTAAGTCTCAGATATTCACCAGCGCCCGGTGAACAGTTGTTTTGAACTTTACTTCAAAGTTAAAAATTCTCTGTTTTCTTCTTCCACTAACACGACTTCCATGATGGGAAATGAATTTTTATTTGCTATAAATTTTGTTTTAGCAAATCAAAAATATTTAATTACTGAAAAATCCAAAACTACGCATTTAAAAATTTTTCTTTGTATATGTAAGTTGTTTACTCAAATAGCAACAAAAAATATAAATAAACAGTGGAGCGAAATTTGTGATCATTCAAAAATCTACATCATAGATGTAGTTGTCAAAAATCATAAACTCATAGCTGTAATCCTATAACGCTTTCTGTACGAAATATTTGCATATAAGCTACCTAAAGTAAGATAATATTCAATCTAAATTTCTCATGTTTGGTATATAATTGAATGATATTTAAATAATAAAAAAAAGGGCAAGTTTCTTCGGAGTATTTATATGCAATATGGTTTGCAAATAGAACTTTGTATTTCAAGAACATTCTTGTTCGCAGAAGTGAAAGTAAATCTTCAAATTTATATCTGGTAATCAAAGGTACGTAATCATATATGTTTAACATAAAAAGAAGAAAGCAGCAATTTATAACAATAAACGTTGGTTGTGATCTCGGCTTACAGAAATATTTTTTTAAACAAAGTTGCTATTCAACTGGCAGTTCTTTTAAAAAATTCATTTTTGACATTTTCAATAAAATAAATCACGAACTGGATTTTAACAAGTATACAGCAATGCCAGGTGAAAAATATTAAAGCCAGATTTAGCTATATTTTCTTTGCACATAACATAAATTTTGCATTGTAAAACAAAGTTAAAAATAGAGTTATCATTTTTCATCTTACATTGTAAAGTCAATAGAATTATTTTTTTATGTATGTTTGTACATTAAAATATAATACATCATAATTTACCTAAATTAGAAACTAAAAACCGTAGAGTTTAAATTTAAAAATTGCCTTTAATTTTCTGGATTTATTATAAGCTAATAGTATTACACATTAATTTACATATATTTATTACACATTATAATATAAACACATTAAATTTGAAGTAATAGCCTTTTGTAGCAAGAAAGTTTTGTTACGGAGTATTAAAATTGCACGCTGATTATGTACGAGAATTTTAAGTTAAAAAATTACTTAACAAAATTTATGTGAATACTTTGTAACACTGTTACACAAATCCACGTAAACTAATGATTTAATAAGAATGATACCAAAATTAAAAATTTCTTCTTTTTTACTAAAGGTAAATAATAAAATATTTATAAAATGTAGATTTCATAACTAGATGTATATTTTTTAAGCGGCTAGAAAAAGTAAAGCAACAATGTAGTGGATGTCTTTTTGGGGTATTCTATGGAGATGGAATATTACTTCTTTTAGGATTCAATTTGGAAAGTACAATTGGTCAATTAAATTACAAAAACATTCAGTACAGATTTCCTGCCGAAATAGATCTTTGTGGATTAGTAAAATTTGGTGATTGTACCGATAATGAGTGCCACTTAAAAGAAATAATGCAAGATGTTGATATAACAGACAACCCCATATTATTGAATTGTAAGATAGAAACACTTGTAGAACTGAAAGCTTCAATATTTATGCATGGGAAATTGCTTGATATTCCTTATGAAGTTATGACTGAAGAAGAATTGTATAGCAATTTTTGTTTCACGAGACTAAAATTTAACATCAAATTGTATACTCTTGAAAAAGAAGAATCAATAAAGAAGGATATCCAAGATTTAAGAAAAAATGTAGCTTCAGGACGATTAGCTTTTCATGTGAAAAATTCAAATATATTTTTAACAGGTTTATTTTCAATCGTTAAGCAATTTTTTTTTTTATAAATATGTTTCTATTTTTAGCTGGAGAAAATGGTAGATCAGCCAACCAAACGGCACCTTCAGAAACAAAAATTGCTGATGTTTTAAATTTTATTAATTCACAAAAAGAAACTGTCAAATTAGAAGAAAGTGTAAAAAAAACGACCAGAAAGAAAAATGTTCAGGATAAAGAAAACAGAAATGAATACGAAATAATAAATATTGAGGTACTTAAAAATAGGACAAGAGAGCCGAATTCGGAGAAAGTAACGGATGCACTTCCTTCTATGGCAATGCGAATTTACAGAGAAGAAAAAAAACTTGTCATACCTCTTGAAGTTGATGCAATGGCAATTTTGTTTATGGAAACTAAGCTCTTAGGCTTGTATGATATTCTAATTGAAAGTATTTGTCGGTCTTTACGTCTTGTAGAAAATTCTATAGTAGAACGTTTAATTGATATTAAGGAAAATAAAGAAAAGATTGAAGGTAGTTCGGAAATTGAAGAAATTGAAGAAACCAACGAAACTAAAATTAGTAAACCCGAAATATACCATTTTTCTCCAAACAATTTTGGTCATTTCATAACCGCAGTCTACCTCAAAGATTTAGGTGATAATTTACCTTTAATGCAACAAAAAAGAAAAAAGTTTCATCATTTACTTGGTTTGCCTCAAACAAGACCATATTTTAGAAGAGGAAATCGATATGTATTTAAAGATGATTTACCGTCAAGTCCATTAATAGATACACATTTAGGTTTAAAACCGTCTGGTGTTAAAAATGGTCGACAGTATATAGTGCAGTTACATTATAGTTATTATCATTACATGCAACAAAATTTTGATGATAACGGTTGGGGTTGTGCATATCGTTCTCTACAAACATTATGTTCATGGTTTAGATGGCATGGTTACTCAAATGAGGAAATCCCAAGTCACGAAAAAGTACAGCAATATTTATATAGTATTGGTGATAAACCAAAATCTTTTGTCGGTTCAAAACAATGGATTGGCTCCACGGAGGTTTCAATGTGCCTGCAAGGTTTTTTGGGTGTAGATTCAAAAATTTTACATTGTAGCTCTGGGGGAGATTTGGCTCACAAGGGGTTCGATTTGGCTATGCATTTTGAATCTCAAGGAACACCAATTATGATTGGGGGTGGTGTTCTTGCGCATACTATAATTGGCATAGATTTTAATGAGGAAAGTAAAGAAATAAAATTTTTAATACTTGATCCACATTATACTGGTGAAGATGATATAAAAATTATTCAAAATAAAGGTTGGTGCGGTTGGAAGGGCGCGGATTTTTGGGATAAAAAATCGTATTACAATTTATGTATGCCACAAAGACCAATTGTTTATTAATTTTTTACATAAATCGTTTTAGTTTTTTTATATTTGGTGTTTTTGCATGCCTATTGTTTTTTAAATTATTTTTAATTGTTTTAGAAGGTATGAAATTATGTACATTGTATCAATAAAAGTTTAAAGATTTAAGCTTTTGTAAAATGTTTCTTTTTTATATTACATTATTAGTATTATTGCTACACATTTTTTTTTGATAAAAATGATTTCTGGTTCCAGATGGTTAGTTTCTAATAGAGATACCTTTTACATTGGCGGCGGTGGTACAGGAAGTACGCCCATAGGTGGTGGAGGAGGTACTGGGTTGTACCGTAAATTCGAATGTAGATGCATCATTCTCATATTAGGAGGAGGAGGTGGAATGATTTTAGGTTCAAATTTGAACGAAAATTGTAAGAAAAATTGCTTTGTGTCGCGGTTCCAGTAAGTCCAAAATTTTCCCTCACTTTTTTCAACCTCACGCGAAGGTACTTTAAACGCTATTGTTTCATATGGTTCTGCTGCAAATAATAAATATTGCCATTTACGATCAGGCGGTTCTATTTTTTGCTCATATGCCGACATAAATCTATGACGTGGAACTACTCCATCGGATATTTCTGGATAATCAATTTGAAATAATAAAGATTGCTGTCCATTTTCTGGATTTCTCTGTTTTGTAACTCGGTATCCAGGTCGGCCAATTTTAACAAATTTTTTTGGTTCAACGCGTGGCTTTTCTGGTGCCATTAGTGTTGGAGCTTCTTTCGCTTCCTTTGCAGCACGTCTTGCTAAATTTTCTTGATGTTTTTTTCCTTGAGTGTGAGCTAGATAACTTCCTTCATTATTATGCAATGTGAGACATAGTTTGCATTCATATGATCCTAGATGATTTTTCATGAAATACGGATCTTTATTCAAATCAATAGTTTCAAGAGCTAATTGACGTAATCTCTCTCTTCTGTCACGATTGGTTTCTGACCATGAGGCCACACCACCGCCTCCGGTTTTTCCTCCAGGTCGGTTTTGAAAGTCCATTTTCTATGACTATTAACAAATATTATTAAATTTAAAAATACACATTCACAACTGCAAAACTTACAATAAAAAGTAGGAAGTTACTGTTAAATTCTGCACTTAATTTTGCAATTAATTTGAAATTCTTTTATTAGTATAGTAAAGTTTATTTTATAAGTATAAAAATAAACTTAATTGTAATTTCCAAAGGAAAATATTAAATTTCTCCTTGTGTTGTTAAACTTTGATAAATGCTTTAAACTTTGTTAATCAAAATGGTTCAATAATATCAAGGTATGTCCGATGGTTTTGACATTTCAATTGTGACATCATCAGGGAGAATTTTCTTCGGAGAAAAAATTATCCGATACAATTTCGTATTGTATACATATATAAATTTTAATAAATTTGTTACATATTGTATATACATATTTATATAAATTTGTTTTTTAAAAGTAATCATGTACTATTGTTTCTTTTAAAATAACAATGTATGTATTCCTGGCATTTTTTCTACAAATAAAATATAGCAAAATAAAAAAAACAAACATATTTTGTCATTTTGTCATAACTTAATATTATTGTACTAAATTTTAATAACTTAATATTAAACACTTTAAAATTTTTTAAAACAACAAATCTAGGGTTTTCTGTCAAAACATGATAACTACATTTTTGACTAAAAAAACTAAGAACGCAATATTACTTAAAATTTTAAGCGCTTTATGATGGAAGAATAACAAATTTAGTTTTTCCAATAATTTTAGACGTTTTTAAAAAACGTTATAACTAAACTATTGCTCCACAAATATACCTTACAAAATTATATGTGTACAGTTATTCACTTTTCGAGATTATAAAATTTTCTAAGGAGGCATTGAAATGCCTCAGACATACCATCTTACATATATACTGTTGAAAAGAAAATATATTCTATTTTTTTTCGAGTTCGTTTCAAGTTGAAAATAATTTTTTAAACATTTGCAGATATTTATTTATACATTTCATATTCTAATATTCATATTTGTGATATATTGTATAATTAAAATTTAAAGGCTTATTATATTATATGTACATTTCAGGAAAGTTTTACTTTGAAATGAAAATGGAGATCATATTATATTTTAGTAATGTGTTTGTGTTTAATAAAGAAACATATTTGAAAATAAAATTTATCAAATGTCAAAGTCGCCGAAAAGGAGGGGGAATTTTTTTGACTTATACTGAGAAGAGAAATAACGAAGTTTTGAAGCAAAAAAAAAAAAATGTTTTTGTTGAAATATTTATAATTTATCAATATTTTGTTATTTGAAATTTAATTCAAATTATCATTTTTATTTGTAAGTGTTTTAAAAAAAATTAATGTGATTTGTATAACAATGTTTTGAAGTACTGAACAAAAAATGAATGGTCTGCCAAAATTTGATATCTAATCTATGTATTCCTAAAGTTTCTGCGACATGAAAAAGGTAGGTATAAAAATTTGTTTTATAAAAGTGGTAGATTTTAAAAATATGTATATTTAAATTTTTTTTAAAGACCTGTGCATAAAAGCAAATGAATTCAAAAAATTTTTTTTCTAGTGCATTTATTGAAATTGAAAGTTCAAATTTTATTTCCTGCTAAGTACATAGCTACTTATATACATATGTACATACTAAGGAAGATTGGACATTTCCAAGACGTATTTTGAATTATTTTTGTTTTTTCTTTAAAATTAAATAATTGATAATATATCATAGTTATCGAAATGGAATTGATTATTTAAAATAAGTATGTAGTCAAGTAGGTATATATCCATGCAGAAAAATTTAATTAAACATGAAACTTTCGATATAAAATTAGACATACATACCTACTCTTTCCATAATATATAAATTTTTCAAAAAATTTTACATACATAAATACATATTTTGAATGGCTTAAATAAAATTAATGTTTTCAGAAAATCAAAGCTCATTAGTGGAGTTTAAATAAATTACTAAGGGAAATATATTTGGCATTTTCTATAGCAATTTTAATTCGACTATCTTAAAGTATCATGAATTATTCTTATATTATAGAATTTATAGTATAAATATCTTAACTTTTTCAGATTATTTTACGAAGCATTTAATCCTACAAAACAATAATGAGCAATAAATCAGAGTTAGATTATGAAAAAAAATTTCAAGATGATTTGGAAAAAGCAACAGCTTTGAGTTTGGAAACGTTAGCCTTGGAACAGTACCGCCGCACAAAACATTTCTCACCTACTAGTACTAGAATATCAGATCAACGTATCTCGCCCAACGTCGTAAAACAAATATCAAATAATAATAATATAAATAATAATGCTACAAAATTTCAAACAACGTCAATTCAATCACGTTCGAGACCTGGTTCATTCAATGCAGGTCAAACGCGTTCTGATGGTGTTTCACCAATAGCTCCACCACCATCTGTACCACCGCGTCGACATAGTGAAATTCGTTACACCCCATCAAATAGTCATTCAACAGATGATTTGATTTCGTTTAACACAAGTCCTTCAGAACCAAAAGTTGAAGAAAATGCAAATTTTGATAAGCTAATACAGGAAATTCATAAATTAAATAATCAAAGTCAGCATGTTAGCATAAATAATCAACAGTATCATACTCAAGCAAGTTACAACTATGGATCAACACCTTCATTGAATAGCGCTGGATTAAATTCTAAGAGTGGTCCAGGAATGCAATTAGTAGTATATAATCAACAATATTTAAACAAACCTGCTTTGACAAATGAAGAGTTGAAAAAGCTATATAATATGCCTGCAGCTTCTTCTGCAGCTTTTGGATATCCCACAGTTTCTCATCAAAGAGTCGTTACATATCCTCCAGCCGCAACAACGGTTCCAATTGGTCCATATAATCAAATACCGTCAACACAACCACCTCAGCCTACACCTTCTTATAGTTTTAGAAATTTAAATTTACTTCAGGTTCAATCATCTCATAAATTGGATAATTATTCCCAACATACTTTTCAAAATTCCGCAGAACAACATGTTTTATCAGTAAATCAAGTTCCATCAGTTTTTTGGACATTTTCATTCATATTGTAAATGTTTTTAATCATTATTTTTTATTTTCAGAAAGCTGAGGCCCAATTATATCCAAAAATCCCAAAGTCTGCTTCTATATCTGGTATGTCTAATTTAAGTTCGAGCTCAAATAAAAAACCGAATTTGAATGATGCACAAGTATTACGAAGAAATAAGAAAACGTTACTGGGAGATGACTTAATAGATTTAACTCAAGAAGACAAGTGAGTTTGAAATTATTAATGTTTCTTATAAAACATTTATTTTTTAATTATTTTCTGTGTTTTTTTGCTAAGAATTTTTAATAAAACACTTGTTGAACTTTTCTTCTTTTTGATTTTAATGTTGTTTTTCGATAATTTTGTAATTTAATCCTAATTGTTTTTTATTTACAATATTTAGTAGCCATTGTTTTTAAATTAATTTGTGTTATTTTATTTTGAACTATTTTTACCTCACTTCCCATTTAAAATAATAAAAAATTTTTCATTTAATACTTTTAGCTCTCGAGTCAGCGTTTTGGAAGCTTTTGATCCTCTTTTGTCTAATGATGAAGACGAAAACGGTAAGTGTATTATTGTTCATGTTTTTTTTAATGAAATTTGCTATTTGTCGGCAAAAAATCAAATTTTTATTGTAATTTTTGTTCATAGACTAGTGAGAAAACCTTTTTTACATTAACGTTTATGTATTAACGTTTAAAATGTTTACGCTACATGTTTATGTTTGTATGCAAAATATATTTATAATATATATTTACATATTACATAATATATTTATATATTATTAATATATAATAACTTTGACAACTGCAGAAAATATTTAGCAGTTTTGATACATTGGTACTTTTTATGAAATGTATGTTAAAAAATAATATTCTCAGTTTTGTTAGCTAAATGTCAAGATCTTTTTCTGAAGAAATCAGCTGTGATTTATTTTTAAACACAATTGTATACAAACACAAAAAATAAAGTTAAAATGTAGGAATGTTCGGACGGTTTTTTGTTGGGAATTGTCTATTTTTTTGCAGTTGGTGTGAATAGTATTTCAATTAGTTGAAGTAAAAGTTTCCTCGCAATGTTTTTTTCGGATAGGTTTCATAATAATTAAATAATTTAAAATATAAATTCAAAAAAAGAAAAAAAAAAAAAATGTTCTCAATTCTTATAGGAGACGCACTATCAGATTGCACAACATCATATTATGCTGAATATGACCCATTTGATTATTTATACAGTTGCGGAACGCAATATTCAGATCCAGTTTATGAAGCTGTTAATAAAACCGACAGGACACCTATAAGTCCTAGTGGTAAGTTTTATGAAATTTTCGTAAATCTTAATGAAGTAATTTTTATTTTTTAGCATCTATAGGCTGGAAAGCCGAAATTTTTAATTCCTATCCAGAACAATCACTAGAGTCGGTAACGACTCCACCCCCACTTCCGCCGCGTAATAGTTTTGGTAAGTTTTTAGTTAAAATGCAATATAAAATATACAATTAAGACATTTTTTTTCAAGGCAACATGACAGTTCCAGATATTGATTATAATGATAAATCAAATAGGGTTTTAGATCGTAGAAAAACATCATCTCGCTTGTATGAAGTTATTACAGATAGAAGAACTAATGAGCCGGAATTAATGGCATTTTATAATATGGTAAAAGAATTACGTGCTCAGTATAAATTCGATGATCAATTATCAAATGTTGGTCACATAGTTGCTTTGGAATTTGATAATAAATACATAGAAGAAAAAAGTATAAAACTTTTAGTTCATCCAGCTCTAGATATTTTGATAGACGACAAAGTAAACACAACTCAGGAGGGACAAGTATTCGGTTATAGTACCCCTATTGCATTCACATGCGATTTAAATACAAGTGTTGAGCATGTGCTGATGCACGCTTTTTGCACACTTGAGGGACAAATAGATGGAGAATTCGGGGATTTCGTAATAAAACCGATTGGTTTAATGGAATGGTTAAAACCAAGTTCAAAACTTAGTCAATTAGAATGTGTCCATGATAGTATTAAACTAGAAAAAGACGTTCAATTAGGTATGTGTAAGAAAACGAATGAGAATATGTTGGCGATCGCACGTACTCAAAAAGATGATAAACGTGATTTAGACTTGAAACCTGAAGATATTTTGCCTAATGAAACTGCAACAACAATTACTTATGATCACATGATGATTTTAATTGAAACTTTAGAAACGGAAATTGATAAATTAGAATCTTCAGCATCAGATGCTAGTCCACATACTATACTAACATGTTCTGGTGTTGTTCAAGGTGTTAAGGCTATATGTGCTCTACTTGGGTCTATTGACACAGTGCAAATATGTCAAAGTATAGACGAATTGAAGAGGATATGTGCAGCCGGACAAACAGTGTATACTACTCATAGCAGCCCTAGTAAGTCAACTGCAAATCAACCAGATATTATATCTGAGTCTGGGGATTATGCAGAAATTACCCTGAAACCAAAAACTACAGTTGATTTAATTAAGCTTAAGTGTAACCAAATTCGTGAAGGAATACAGGATTTAATAGAAACATATGTAAATGCTTTCAGGGTTGACTTTTGCGTAAAAAGCTTGGAATATATAATTAGTAATATATGATTTAGTTTTTATCTATTTCTGAATAATTACATTTATTTATTTTAGCGCCTATACCTATATCATGTGTCTTGAAACCAATAATCGTAAATGTATGCTGTTTACATAGACCTCCACCTAATTGGAAGTACGAAGATTATGTTTTAGGAGCCCAGATTTATCACGGAACAAAATTTATAGGTGACCCTGTAGTAACTAAATGTTCTAATGAGACTACAGGCGGTTTATTTCCTCGACTTACATTTGACAGTTGGATTAGTTTTGAAAAGAATCCTATTTGCACTTTACCTCGAGAATCTCGTTTAATATTTGTACTCTACGGAACTGAAATCGAAAATCAAGACCAGTCTAAATCCGGAAATAACGATGATTCAACACAAGAAAACAAAAAAATTACAACCGAATTGGGTTGGTGTGCTATTCAATTGTTTGATTTTTCTCGACAAATGATATCAGGAACATATTTATTGTCTCTTTGGCCGCCAACAACAGATAAATTTTTGGGACCTGCCCCAGCAAAAGGTTCTCATCCACAACCAGATGTGTGTCCTGTTTTAAGTATAGAAATACCAACATATGGAGGACCAGTAATATTTCCCGAAACAGTAGAAAATTCTGTCCAAGCCCCTCGGTATGATTTTAATAGTTTGGATACAAATTTACAACAAGAACTACTAGATACAGCCGAGCAGGGCTATCCAGGTGCTTTAGAAAAACGAGAAGTTTTTTGGGAGAAAAGACATTATTTACAGAACTTTCCGCATGCTTTGCCAAAAGTATTACATGCGGCACATAGTTGGGACTATGCAAGTTTAATGGATTTGCATGCTTTGTTAAAGTCATGGAAACCACTGACTCCTTTGCAAGCTTTAGAATTATTGTTACCTCGTTATCCTGACTTGGAAGTCCGATCTAAAGCAGTAGAGTGGATATCTAAAATGCCTAACGATCAATTAGTAGATTTTTTACCACAACTTTTACAAGCCTTAAAGCATGACACTTATGAAGCTTCTCCAATGGCCAAATTTTTACTTTGCAAGTGCCTTGAATCACCTAGAATAGCACACCATTTATATTGGTTGTTGGTACATAGTTTACCTGGTGATGCACCACAGAATTCAATTGATACTACAATATCGGTCGTAGAAATTGAAGAATCTTTAATCACCCAGGCACGATATCATAGGAGAAATAAAATGATGTTGAGAGCGCTTTTGGAGATATGTGGGGAAAAACTGTTGGGTCGATTTTTGAGTCAGAATATGATGTGTAAAGAACTGGCAGATATTGCTGTTTCTATTAAGCAAACAAAAGAGTCTTTGCGTCAAAAAGTTTTGATAAATAAATTAGAAACTGTTCATCAATATTTGTCTGATCAACCAACTTCATTACCTCTTGGCCCTGGATTGGAAGTTTACGGGGTGAATCTTCGTTCCTGTAGTTATTTTAATTCATATACACTTCCTCTGAAAATAGCGTTTAATGGGTCAGATAAAGGAATAATTCCAGCTATATTTAAAGTAAGTAAATTGATTTTCATATTTATATTGAGCTGAAAACGCAATACATAATAAATTTTAGGCCGGTGATGATCTGCAACAAGATATGCTAACCATACAGCTCGTTCGTGTGATGGATAAGCTATGGCTATCTGAAGGCTTGGATTTAAAAATGGTTACATTCAATTGTGTACCAACTGGATATAAAAAAGGCATGATTGAGCTTGTATCGGATGCTGAAACTTTGCGTAAGATTCAAGTGGAGTATGGTTTAACAGGTTCATTTAAAGACAGGCCAATAGCTGAATGGTTAGCAAAACAGAATCCGAGCCAATTAGAATACCAAAGAGCAGTTGACAATTTTACAGGTAAAAATATAATAGAATTTTTACAATCGTTTAAAATTTGTAATATTGAAATTATTTTGCGTTAAATTTCAGTGTCATGTGCAGGATATAGTGTAGCTACCTATATTCTTGGAGTATGTGATAGACATAATGACAATATAATGCTTAAAACTTCTGGTCATTTGTTTCATATAGATTTTGGAAAATTCTTGGGAGATGCTCAAATGTTTGGTAATTTCAAAAGGTAAAATTTCTTTTATTTTGGTTTATTTTTATTTACCTATTACAATTTGTTCAATTTAAAATTGATTTTTTTTTTTAATAATCTCTCAAGAGATCGAACTCCATTTGTATTAACGTCGGATATGGCATACGTTATAAATGGTGGTGATAAACCCTCCACAAAATTCCATCATTTTGTTGATTTATGTTGCAGAGCCTTTAATATTATTAGAAACCACGGTGACTTATTGTTACATATGCTAGCATTAATGGCAACTGCTGGAATACCAGGTAGTTTGAAATACATTATTTTCTAAACAGCACATAATTTTGAAACCATAAATTCCAGGTGTAACTGCTGATGCTGTGCAATATGTTAGGAAAGCGCTATTACCGGCACAATCAAATCCGGAAGCTGCTGCATCCTTTGCAAAAATGATTCAATTTTCTCTTAAAAGTTGGTTTACACAATTCAATTTCTTTTTACATAATATAGCGCAAATGAGATTTACAAGTGATGATGGTGGTGGAGAACTTTTAAGTTTTGTGCCTCGTAAGTACACGTAAGTATTTGATTTAATAATTTGGATTTTTAATTTTTATTTATATAAGTTAAATGTAATAAAATAGAATGCAACAAGATGGCAGATTAAAGTCTGTGATGGTGCATGGTTATCAAAAACGTTATGATATTGAAAAGTATTATACATATATATTAAGAGTAACCAGACATGGACAGCCTGATCCAGCTCACCTGTTTAGATCATATAAAGAATTTTTAGAATTTCATCAAAAATTGTGCCTTCATTTCCCATTAGCTAAATTACATAGGTAAGTCAGTTTGATTAAACTTTTACTTAAGATTTCGTATTTTATAAAAAGATCTTGACTTGAATATTATTGAAAATAGTTTTCAGAACTATTTTAACCGTCTTTGAAATTCGAGAAAATTTTTTTATGATATGAGTTGCGATATCTTTTGTTTTGTATTATAGTTAGTACAATCAATAAGGTCAATTGAAACTTTACACATGACATAAATTTTATGTGCATGTGTCATATATTTTAATACCCACTTATTTTATTTTAATTTGCTCTATATCTTTCTGGAAAATTGGGAAATCGGATTGGTTTTTTTTTTGATATTTCACTATCCGAAACTCTTATTCATTCTCTTATAAATGTCGTATGCCTTTTAAATTTATTATTGTTTTAATCTCTGCAAATTTTGTTTCAGAAAAAAAAATAAAAAAAAGGAAATTAATGAAATTTACATTTAACAAGAATTATTATGAAAATTACTAAATAAAATTACGTTACACAATTTAATAAATTTTATAATAGTTATTTGTTTTATAGTTATTTTAACATGATATTTCAGATTCTTCATCTTGGTCGTTGCTTAAACTAACTTTCTGATTAGATTTTTTTTCTCTTTCCTCATTATCGTGTTGCTTTTTCTTAACATCTTTCATATTTTTGGGCTTATGGGATACGGTATTATTCATATCATCATAAGCTAATGGATTCCTTAGTTCACGTCTCGCAGCTTTTTCTTTCGCTGCTTCCCGTATTGCTTGATTATGCTTTGCCATTTCTTCAGTTATATTTCTATAGTTTCGGACAATTGACCAGCTATCTTCTTCGTTTTCTGTTTTTGTATTACTATCCTCTAAATTATTTGATGTGGCTTTCAGCAATGGTGAAGATATTGAAACATTTTCAATTTTTGCAGTTATTGTTTTTGCATCTTCATCTTTCGATTGTCTTAAAGTTATTCTAGGTTGTGGTTCTGGTTTTAGATTTGTAGATGATTTTTGTTCTTCTGAATTTTCAATTTTACAATCTTCGTCAAGTTTAGTTCTTATTTTAAGTTTAGAATATAAATCTTCATCATCATCCTCGTTATCTGAGAATCCGGTAATTTTAAATGTTAATTGACCATTTTCTTGTTCGATAACACCAGGATAATTTTTGAAATCATTTTTTGTATTCGATTCATTCTTTCTCCAATTATTTATAGAGCCATAGTCATCCTCTTTCTGTTCTGATCCAGTTTTTCTTGTTCCAAAAGGTTCATTTTCTTCAATATCATGAAATTGTATAGAGTTAAATTTTTTTTCAATTGTATTTTCTTCTTTGCTTGCTAAATATTCAAGTTCTTCAAGTTCTTCTTTAGAAAGAAGTTCGAAACCAGTTGGCCTTCTTTTCTGTTTGCTAGGGTTAACCGGTGTTTGTTCACTAAGAGCTTCTAATTCTTCTAATTCTTTTTGTGATAATTTTGTAAATCCAGTTGGACGACGATGAATTTGTGATGAATTCGGATCATCTTTTTCAACGGGAATATTATCAAATTTAATTTTTTTTTTAATATTTTTCTTATTTTCCATTTGCTTATTATTTAAAAATGATTGCGCTGAATTTTTTTCCTTAGATTTTTGCAAGGGTGAAATATTTTTTTCGGAGGAGCTCTTCTCGTAATTTCTTTTACTATGCCTATTTTGATGATGTTCTTTTTTAGGTGACCTCGAATTAGATCGACTTCCGCTAGACTTACTGTTACTACTTGAATTATATCTAGTGTTGTGAACAGTTGGATTTACAGCTTCGGATTTAAGTTTCTCTTTAGCAATTTTACTTTGTTTTTGAGAAATCGATTTAGAAATGTTATTTGTTAATTGTTGAAAATTGGGGCTTCCCGATTTTTTCCCCGAAGAGTTATTTATTTTTATAGCTAAAAAAGTAAAGAAAATTATGACAATATAATATTTTTAATTTTTTTTTTTAATTTAATTTAATTTTTCACTTACGAGGTAAATCTCTCGGTCTTTCTAAATCAAATTCATTATCTGATTTCTTTCTAAATACACCAACTTCATATGGTGTTGGCTTATACTAAAATTAGAGATTTAAAAAATAATTATGATCATAAAATAGGATTATAGAACTCTCGATGATAAAAGAAAATTTGTTTACACTAGTTATAAAAAAAAAATTTAAAAAAAATTGCATAATAGATTTCAAGTTTATAACAGAATTTTAAAAATTATTGAAAATGAAAAAAGTATTTTTTATTTATTTATATGGAAAACATTTTTGGAAACAAATCACAAATTTTTTTCATATTTCTTAAATTAAAATCGAAACAATAATATTACGAGTATGTTACCTCATAATCATATTAAATACAAACGAAAAAAAAATGTTAAAACAAATTTTGGTTTACTTTCTGTTTCTCATTTTCAAATTCAAAAGATAATTAAGAATTTTTATGATAACCGGTGATAAAAAAAAAAAATTATCTGAAAAATTCATTTCGTATGAAACATTTTAATTTGTTCTCATTTTTGATTTTGTTATTGTCATTTTTTTAACACGCTTTAATTGAAGTAATAAATTGTGTAATCATTAATCAACAATACCTAAATGGTTTAATAAATTACAAAAATCATGAATAAACTTAATAAAAATATTCGCTCTTTGTTATTATCCTTATCTTAAAATAAGAAAAAAAAATATGAAGATATAAAACCTTCAACTACAAAATTTAAACTATAGGATATTTAATTAAAATAACAAATTTACAAAATTTCCAACCAATTAGATTTCTGCTGGTTTTACTCAAAATTCTATACTGTTTGAAATTTTAATGTAATTTAATTAAAACTTTTTATGTTCATTAAAATAAATCTTACTATTTCAATTTCAAAATTAAAAAAAAATTAAATATTTACAATTTTAGTATAAGGTGTAGTTAAATAAAAATTTAATTTTTAATTTTTAGTACATAAATATGTCCATACGAAAATTTGAAATTTTTGAGCTTTTAAAAGATTTAAATAATTTAATTATTAGAATGCTAGTTGTTAAATAATGTCAAAAATAATAATAAACAAAATTTTAATTTTTATAAGGATCAATATTAAAAAGAATATTCTTTAATTATTAATCTTTTTGTTATAATGAATTTTTTTTCAATAATAATAGGGACAAATAGTTTTTTTTGTTAATTAATAATAGTTAAAAAACAAAAATTTATTAAAATTTTAGTCTTAAATCTGATAAATTAGGGAAATCGAATTATAATTATTAAAGTTCATTTATTAGCAAGAAATTAATTAAATTAACTAACACAAATTTCTTAGGTTATTGATTAATCATAATTATTATGTTTTTAAGTACACGAAGACGTTATTATAATGGATGAATATGAAAATTACAATATTAATCCTTATTTCGTTTGATATCATTAACTTAAATTAATTCATTTATATTGAAAAATAATTGTCTTTTTATTTTTTTTTATGCTGTCGTGGCATTTTAAAATTTTATTTTTTATTTTTTCTTAATTGTCTCAAAAAAATATTTTTTTTTTCAGTGTAAATAATGAAATAATGTTAATTTTATAGTTACTTACTTGCTGATTAAGGCTACGAAAAGTTTCAGTTTGTGTTGTGCTACTTGCTGAATTTGTTTGATTGAATTCATTTAAAGATGACTCAAAATTTAATCTATGTTTAAACCATTTGAGTTTTATTCCTAATATTGCAGCTACTATACAAATAAGACCACAAAATGTTAATAAAATTCCATATAAATTGGCATCATCTTTAATAACAAGAAAAAAAAAAAAAGGAAATGTAATAAAATAAAACATCCCTATTATTATTAATATATGTATACATATATGAAAAATTATATTTAGATATAAAAAATGTGTCTATTAGAATTGTTTTCTATATAAAAGAATAATTCTGTATATATATATTAAATACATTTTTATCACCTTTGTTATTCAAATATTCAATATTTGCCATTTTTTATTTCTTTTTTTTTTGTTTATTGCAAAGGAAATGGGAAAAATTATTGAATTAATAAAATAAAATTTATTTGTTTCTTTTTGGAAATTTTTAGAATTAATTTTAAATTTAAGAGAAATTTTTCAAATAATTCTTATAAATGGTAATAACATAAAATTTTCTAGTTGACATAATGATGATTAGATATTAACTAAAGGCACTTAATTTGAAAATTATCATGATTTCTAATTGAAGTGATATCTTTCTTTCTTTTTTTCTATATATTATGTTCTTGTTATTATTATTATTGTTATTTAGTTTGCTTGAAAACTTTTAATACATTCTTCTAATTAATGTTGCAGTAAATTTTACTTACATTTCAATGATTTTCCACTTGAATTTAAATTTTCAAATCTTATCAATTTTTATGTCGTCGATTTCTGATAAAATATTTATACACATATAGAAAACAAAATGAAAAACTTAAGATAATTTTCAATTTATTAATATAACTGAGCTCTATTGAAATTATTGAAAAACGCTTCTATTATATAGATAAAAAAGTAATTTTTTCTAATTTTGTATTGTTTTTTTTTTTTTTTATATGTAATTATAAATTTATTGAGCGATGACTGTATAGACGTTACTTTTCATAAACGGAATGAAAAACTTTTAAATTCTGATGCAAAAATTGCATACAAAAATTAAAACAAAAAACAACATACACAAAAATATTCTAATAATGTAAATTGATTGGAAATTTAAAAAATTACAAACAAAATATAATACATGAAAAAAAAAAAAACAAAATTGAAAATTAAAACTAAAACTAAATAAAAGAAAATTTTATTGAGTGTAGGAGCTGCTTTTCAATTGAATCGTTTAGTATTCATTAAAAGAAATGATCACCACACCGGCTTTGACACGCGAAAAATTAACATTTTACATAGGTTACATTTTACTATATTGTACGTATATAGAACGGTAGCGAAAAAAATAAATTATCATAAAAATATTATAAATATATGCATTTAGTTCAAAAATTTATTACTCTTGTTTTTATATTTTATTTGTTCAGTTTGTCGCTACTTTTTATTTCTTTGTTGTATTTTTTGGGGTTGTATTCGATGTGATGATTTAACTTTGCATTTATGCATTTTATTGTGATCATTAGAAATAGGCAAATAGTGGAGTATCTCAATTTTTCTTTTCTTTTTTTTTTTTTTTATTTAATTAGAGTTACCAGACAATTTTAAACAAAAGTATTGAAGAAAACAAAAATATATGTAATTACTTAAATATTGATACAATTATGGAATTATATTAAATAAATTGCCGACAGGAATATGAAATAAAAAATATATATATACTATCAAAATTAATTCATTGTTATTATTTTGAAATTATGATTTTAAATTGAAATAATAATGATAATAGTAAATTGATTTAAGAATATTATGAGAAGGAGCAGTAGCTATCTTATTTTTAATCTTAGCAGTGGAGCTATCTTAGTTCGAATTCGAAAATATTTTCACATTCGAAGAATAATATCATCTTCATTGTTATTTGTTTTCTATTTAAATATCAATTGTAATATTAAATTACTTCTATTAGATCTTTTGATTGCAATTATACTTTAGTCAATAAATTATTATTATTTGACAAATAATTTGATATCACTTAAAAATTTTCTTGCTTATTTTTAAGAATTTGCAAATATATAGAATACAAAAATTTTTGTTTATAACATCTGGTAAAATTTTTTTTTTTTGCATACTATCAGACAAATTTTATTGTCTTCCTTAAAAACAAAAGTGTAACAAGATACACAATATGATTTTCACACTTTAAATTTTAATCTTTTTTAATCTCTTATATATTCTTATTCCAAAAAAAAAAATAAAAGAAAAAATATAAAAATTGTAATTTACATATGTAATGATTATTATGATGAACCAGTTCTCAACAAAAATTATTAAACTCGTTATTTGTGAAAATGATGTGCATGTAGAATAAAATGAAAATAAAAACAAGTAAAAACGTTTCAGTCGGTATAAACCGATTGAATTATACCCTGCACCTTTCGTTATTGTGTAGCAATTACTCGAACCCGTGAAGTCATTCTATAGAAACTTCACAGATATGTCTGACCTATAATTGGACAACCGATTGCCAAGTTTCATGAATATAACTTTATTATTTTGCCGAATATAAAAAATTTGCTGTTGGCTTTGTATGGCAGCCACCCGAACCGATGCAGCTATCCCATTATAATTTTTAGAGCATGTGTAGAATGTAATTGGACAGATGTATACAAAATTTTATATTTATAGCTTTATTAGTTTTTGAAATATTTAAAATAAACTCTTTGAGTTGTTTGGCAGTTACCCGAACCCGTTGTCCGAATTAGTCCAATAACAATAGGGTTCGCCCTTGGCACAAAAGAAAAAACTTGTGAAAGTTTGGTGTCGATTGCATTATTCGTTTTTGGGTTATCGTGCGATCGGACGGACGGACGGACGGACATGTCTAAATCGACGCAGAATTTTACGCTGAGCAAGAATATATATATATGTCCATACCGCAGATGACTCCTTCAAGTAGTACAAACTCCATACCAAAGTTAATATAACCTTCACGAAGTGCAGGGTATTAAAATATTAAAGCAAATATACGGGTATGTAATAAGCCGCATAAATATTATTTGTAGCTAAAGATTAACAGTATTTTTAAGTACATTCAAAATTTTATATATAAATCGTGTACATAGCTATGATGCTACGTTAGATAAATTATTTTAGAATTTCAATCAAATTGAAATTTTACTTTCATTTTATTACAATAATGTGGGTTTTCACTTGTTAGTTCAAAAGGTCGTCGTATATCGATGCATTGATGTATCAGAGCAAAACTTGCAGAACTAAACATACAATTTATATATAAAATAAAAAAATATTCTACAAAAACATAATTTAAAATATATTTTTAAAATTTTTATCGAAAATTTCCCTCGATCGTTCACTAGTTAGAGGAAAATATTTTTTTCCCTTTTTTTTGCACTAGTACATCAGTGAGTGAAAAGTGCTTCTGTTCTCCATAATATTCTTTTAGTATATATGTTATACTTATAACACAAGATTACTATTACAACATATTTTTTACTTTTAGATGAAAAAAAAAAAATAAGTACTTTAATGAACAAAAGTAAAATCCGCCAAATTTTCTTTAAAAATATATTTTATGAATGAGAGAAAACTAATTCAGTAGTATCCAATATAACTGAGTAACTGAATCATTGCAAATATTTTAAATACATTTTTGTTTTTTTGTTTTTTCTTTAAAATTTTCAACTAAAACGAATTAAAGCTAATGCAATTGCAATGATAATTTATTTAAATAAAAACTAAAAGAATTAAAAAAAATTTTGAAAACATACAGGGTGTAAACGAATAATAAAAGTTTTTATGCTTATATTTTTTATATACCTAATATAATATTATTTTTATATATTGCAATTTTTTATGGTTTTTCGTGAAACTTTACTATAAATTGTAACTTTTCACCAATCTGATTGTTGATCTGTTTGTTGATCTATAATTAATATATACTAAAAAAATATTGAGAGTGAAATAAAAACATAGTTAAGTAATTAATCAAGATTTTTATTTTTGAAAAACTTTCCGGATGTAAATTTTGGACAAAAACGTTATTAGGGTCCAAAATTATATTGCCATATTTTTATATTTTTTTGTGTTTTTCCAATGTAGTGTTCTAAAAATTTGGTAAATATGTATGTAAATTACATAAAACAAATTAAATTGTGAAATAAAATTAAAAATAGTCAAAAAATTCTTCTCTTCTAGAAAGAGGAAGAAAATCAGATAGGAGTTTTCTTTTCATACACCTAACATGAAAAAAGTGTTATGGCAACGAAAAATTTTAATTGAAATCTACTTTGTTTAAAAAACATTCTTAAAATCTGAATATAGTGTAAAAATTACACAACAAAAATACAAAATTGAACGTTGTTTCAATAATAGAACCTTTAAAAATCGAGCTTACTGCTTAACAAATTGTTCGTTAAATAAATATTGCACTGTACTTGTCATTTGATTGCATTTGAATTGAAAAAAAGAAACCTAGTCATATAATTCAATTATGCAATATTAAGTAAATGTAAAAGAGTAGAAGAATGAAGAAAAATATCTAAAAGTAAACATTTTTTTTTATTTTGTTTTTTAACAAATTTGTTACAAATAATTTTTTTTTTACTTTTATCTCTTTAAATTCTACGAAATAGGAATAAGAACTCGGAATTGTTTTCACTGTCGGAAACTAAATGTATTCGAAAAAGATCATATATTAAATTATTTAATTTTACAAGCTGTTGTCAAAGTGTCCTGCTAAACAGAAAATTTGTTAAAATGGAAATTTTTCTATAATAATATATATTATATTTATTTATTTTCATGGCGTGAAGTAAATGATAATATGAAAATTATTATTTTTCTTCTTATCAAGTTGCATGGTTTCCTAAAAGTAGCTTTAAATAAAATCTAAAAAGGCAAATATTTAAAGGAAAAAGCCAAGATTTCATGAAATTTAATTTAACGTCGAAAATTCATTAAATTCTTGCAATAAATTTTTATTATTCGAATTCTTTCGTTATAAATTTTAATTGATTTTAATAATTTATTTTACTTTTTATTTCCAGCCTTCCAAATAATTTACATATAGGGCGATCAAATATAAAAACTGTAGCTGAACGTCGTTTACCTGAAATTCAAAGTTTTCTAATATCATTATTTAATTCAGCAGATGAAATAGCACATTCCGATTTGGTATATACATTCTTTCATCCATTATTAAGGGATCAACAAGAAGCCAATATTAATATATCAAAAGTTAAAGGTATATTTTTTTGTATTTTGTACAAAAACTATACCATTACATTTTTTTTATTATTTATATTATTAGATATTAAACCATCAATACAACAAACTGCAAATGTTTGTGGTGAACTAAAAATTTCCTTACAATATAGACGTGGTACATTAACAGTAATGGTAAATTATATTTTTATTATTACCATTATTTTGACTACTTATAATATTTTATTTCAAAATATAGATTCATCATGCCCGGGGATTACCAATATTACCGGGTGGACAAGAACCCAATACTTATGTTAAGTGTTATTTAAAACCAGATCCAATTAAAGTAACAAAAAGGAAAACTAAAGTTGTTAAAAAATCAACAGTTCCTAGTTTTATGGAAACGGTATTATTTAAAATAATTTTGAAATAAGTAAATAAATATATTTTTGTATTTTGTTTTCTTTTTATAAAAGTTGGAGTATCGAATGCCTTTGGAACATATACAAAATAGGATATTACAAGTAACGGTATGGTCTCATGATACTTTACAAGAGAACGTGCTTTTGGGCGGATTTATTTTAGATTTATCTAAATATGATTTGAAATTGGAATTGATAGAATGGTTCCGTTTAGAATATTTACCAAGAACGTGAATAGAAAATTGAAACAAGAAAACAAAATTTTTTTTCAACTCCGTTTTTATTTGTTTTTTTTTTTTTACTACTTATTGTAAGTTTATGAAAAACACACAATCAAAATATTGTTTAATTTTTTTTTACACAATCAAATTATTATTAATTATTTACTTATGTATAATATTATGTGTATCGAAAATATTAAAGTATAGTTAAGTTTACAAATTAATTTTTAGTAACTTTTTCTTTATATTTTATTGATTATTTTCCAAAATAATTGTATATTAATCTAATATAATGTTTAAAATTTATACATATATATGATATTAGAAAATTGCTTTATAAATCAATCAATTTGAAAAATTTCGCTTTTTATAGTAAATTATACATATTACCTTTTAAGTTAAAATGTTTGAAAAAATTTAAATCTTTGCTATGGTTAAAGCTTTTCAAAATAATTAAAATCAAAATTTGGTTAAATTTAAACCGGAAAATTTTTTATTCATTCAATTTTTTTTTTTTGTGGAAGAAATTGATCTTTTTAAATGTTTACTTTAAAGTTTTGTTCAAATTAAAATTTGTAAGTTTTTTACGGTGGCTATTTTTATTATGAACAAAATTTTTCCTCTTAAAAAATTTATTTATACTTAAAGTTTATTTAAAAATGTAATAAACACATTCCAAATCATGAGTGCACAATTTTTAAATTAGTATTTAAAAAAAATAAAATAATCTAATTGTAAGAGATTTTTTTTTGTTCAAATAATGTTCAATTAATTTTCTGAATGTATTTAATTAACTTTTTTATATAAATATTGTGCAAATAGAAAAGTTTCAATTTTATAATAAACATTTCTGCTTTTATTGTACTTTTTTTATGAAAATAAATAAGGGAATAAATTTTTCATATTTCTTAACATAAAGGAAAAATTATGTAGCTCAAATTGTAAAAGTATTTTAAAAGATATTATTGTATTTTTAAAATCAAAATTATAATTGTTAAATATTGTAATCAAAACCAAATTTGTATAATATATATGTATGTACTATTTAATTAGTTTATTTGTTTTCATAGGCAATTTCTGTTTAGCGGACAATAATGGTTTTCTTTAATTTTATACTACTTCATTCATTATTTAAAAGGTAGAAACAAAGTTTAATGTGTAATTGTATATTTTATACAAAATTTATGTATGTAGTCATGTAAGATTTTTATTTAAGATATATATTTTGTATGAAAACGGTAAAAAAGAATTTTTGAAAAAATTTCAAAGTTAAATTTACTCTTAAACAGTTTCTACCATAATTACGCATAAACAGTTTATATTAAAAATTTTCACAAAATTTCCAAATATTATATTTCTTGGAGAGTATGTAACCTTTATTATAAATCATTTTTCTTTTTATAACTTAAAATTTATTTTTGAATAAAGTGATACACGCAATTAAAAAAAAAATGTTATTTTATTAAAATAAATTGAAACTAATAAATGAAAAATTCTTGCTGATTTATTGTAAAAAGCTATTTCAATATAATTCTAATTTCTTTTAATTTTTTTTTAGGCCATCATGATGTGAGAAAAATTTATGGAAATATCACTAAGTACAATTATGTGTTGATTTGGATGTAATTGGAGAAAAATTGTAATGCGCTATTTTGAAAACAAATAATACACATGTATGTATGTAATACGCCATTCCCCTTTAACAAGTTTAAGATACACAATTAATATTCTTTTTAAATATAATGGATCTCGCTTTGTTCAAGTAAAATTCAGCCACTTTGTTTTGGAAACCGGAAAATTTAATAGGTATTCATACAGTTTTACTTGATATTTTGAGGAAAAGAAAAAAATTAAATTGAAAAAGACAGTAATTTTATTGGAAAAATGACGATTCTCATTTTAGGTGCAGAATATTGTCATAAATATAGAAAACAGAATAGAGATAATTGAATTCCTGCTTGTATCTTAAACCTCATAAACTTTTGTAAAACTCTATTTTTTCTGCAAAACTTTACATATTTTTGCTGTTCTTTTTTTAGTTTCCTTAGAAGACGATCAACTGAAAAAAATGTAGATAAAAAATTGATAAAAATAAAACAATAATTAATTCCTTGTTATATTAATATTATTATATTTCAAATATAATTTTTCAAGATTAACATTTTCTTTTTTTTTTCATTCATTTTAAGCTCTTTTTCTTTTTTTTTAATATTTTCATTAAACGAAATTGTCATTATAATATTGTATTGTATGTTCTTCGCGTTACTTTTATATTTTTATTCCTATGTTTTTTTTTTATATAATTTTCAATCAAATTTACATAATACGTATAATTAATAAATGTGTTTTTTAATATATATTCATATATTATATAAATATGTATAGTGTATACATAACTATATAATATAATGTATATACATACATAATAGATACATACATATGCATATTATCATATTATAAATTTCATTTTTTGTCTAAAATATTTTTTGAAAATTTATAATGAAATTTGAAAAAAAAAAATTTTCATGTCATTTTTATATAATTAACTTTATTTCAGATTTTTTTTCTTATCTCTGCTTATTATGTATATATTATGTATATTTTTATAATTCATGTTACAATAAACATTTACATAATTTTAGATTTATTGAATTTATAGTAATTAAATTCACAGTTTCAAAAAATTCATTTTTTTTTCTTAAAATTACAAATATTTTAAATTTTAATTCATGTTTTACTTAAAATTATTTTCTTTAATATAAATTTAATATTATTTTATTTATACATAATATTTATATAAATGTTAATAATATTTAAACTATTTATATATATTTATTTCTTTGATTGTTTAACATTTTGTTTAGTATTTTTTTTTTTGTTGTGTCACTTAAAATCTAATACATAAACTGTTTAATTTTATTGTTGAAAATAAAAATCATTTTTAATTAATATTTAATTTTTATTTTATATATATATCTATGTATATATAAATATGTATATACGTGTTCAATCATACATACATACATATTTTTCTATAAATTTTTGCATATATAATGCGTGTATTTATTTTATATTTAATTTTCTAGTACATTTGCAATGTACTTGTTCCATAAATATTTGTTAAATATTAATTAAGTTTAAAAATTGTTGACTTTTAAACATTTTCTAAAATTACTAGTTTTTTTTTGTTATGAATTCTGTACTAATTAAATGTATGTGTGCATAATAATATAAATTATTTGAAATGTAATAAAAATATACATTTTTATAATAGATTACAATGCAATTTGTTGTGCTACTGAAAATACGATCCAATTAATTTCCATATAAAATAGAATGATATATGAGCCAAAAAATAAAAGTAAAATGAAATAATAGTGCAGAAGAGCTTATTCTAAGAAACGTATAACCTTTTCATGACCTACGTTACTGTTTTATCAGATCACTAACTTTTAAATAAAACCATAAAACTTTAATTTCAAAAAGTTTATGGTTTTAATTTTGAAAAGAATGGTAAAATTATCAATTACTTAATGATAAATGCCATAATTTCTTAGAATATTTGAAAAATTTTGCATGAATATTGAAAATAACAATTGATGATTATTGAAACAATAATGTTACTTTGAAAATAAATCTGTATAATGTAACATAATAATGAACTTTAATCATTTAAAGTAATGAAAATTGATGTACATTATGTATGCATCCATATATGAGTGTAATAATGCAGTTTTCATTTAATATTTATTGTAAATAAAAATCTCATTACAGAAATTTAATATTAATTAAATTTAATTTTATAAAAACAAATTATTTTAATTGAAAAGTTCGGCTCTATTATTTTCCGTCACATTTGCACAACAAACAAAATAATATTTATGTATTTTGTTTAGAAACTAATATTTTTTTTTTATTCATATACCAATTAATATTGATATTAAATTAAAAATGTAAATTAAGTAAATTTTTGTATATATTATAAATCTTCTTATTTGCAATTGATTATTAGTTATTACATAATATTCATTTTACAAATTACAATAAAAAATATGATGTGCTTAGAAATATTTGAGCGTATTTTGAAAAAAAAAAAAATAAAACAATTTAAGTATTAAAAATTTTCGTATTAACGACACAAAAATTAAGTAGGTTTATGATTTATGCTTAAGACGTGGTTAAAAAAAAATATTTTAATTTTTTGAATTTTTGTGTCTTTTCAAATTTCAAAAAATAAATCTTTTGTATAATTAGATAGGTTTTATTAATATTGATATTTTTTCTACTTTTATTTTATTGTACGTACAGACAAATTGGATTGAAATCGAATTTTTATTTTTATCCTTAAATTAATGTAAGTACACATGTACATATATTAGAGCTTTTCATAAACACAATATTGCAAAACATTAACTGCATAATGCTTTATTTGTAAAAACATAATTATTCTTTAAAATCAAAACAGTTCGTGTGGTTTAACTGGAAAAATTTAACAATTTTTATTAACAAACTAGATTATTGAAATTTGTTTGTAAACGTAAATTAACGCAGTTTCCACTATGTATCGCGATATATTGCGTTTTTGAAATGGCCTGGTATGTGAGATACTTATTGTAAATTTTAATTAAACACCCATGCATGCAATCGAAAAGTTATTTTTATTTCAATACATTATATAAAAACTTATAATATTTCTAATATTATATAATAATGTAAACTTTAATTTAATGCAAAAAATTTTTTTTCAAACTAATTAAGATTTTTGATTTATGGCCAATTTTACTATAATGTATTAAAACAAACGCATAATTCTCTAAAACAGAAAAAAAATGAAATAAATTTTTTTTTTATCCTCAGCATAAATGAGGCAAATGTACAAAATTTTTACTTTTCTTTTAAATTCCAATATAATTAAAGGATTTTATTATATTATTATTATTATATTATGTTATGTAATATATAAAATATATAATTAACATTTTCAAAATTATAATTTTTTAAATTAACAGCACCCTGTAAACACATTTTATAAAAATTAATTTAAAAGGTGAAAAAAAAAACATATACGTATATATATTATTTAAGTACCGCGTATATTTATAGAAAAACAAAATATTTTTTATTATATAG